AACAGCTAATTCCATGATATTAAATGTTTCGTATACTAAACGTTAGCATGGGGCAGAACTTAATAAAAATCAAACAAATTCTAATGGTTTTCTGATAATTACTTAATGAGTTGTTACTCTTAATCAGATTTTAGTGTATTATAAATGTTTCATTACTGACAAAAGTAAAAATATGTGACAACTCTGGTTGATTGCTGGGACGATTTAGTTGCTATGGGCGTATGTTTCATTGCCTGGCAACCTATCTTTGTATTCAGTGTATTTTATGAAACTCTTTACTAAAAAGCTTTTTAACATCTCAACTATATTTTTACATGTAATTAGAATTAATGAATAGTGTTCTTTATAATTTCAGTTTTTTGCACAGTTCGCAAGTAGCTCTTTGACTCCAGGTTATAGCCCTGTTAGACCGGGTATTACACCAGGTATTGCAGCCAAAGGATTCTCATCATCTGTTTTATATAGAGGCTATATAGATGATCCTTCTAATACAGATAATGCATGGAGAGAAACTATTGTGTGGAATTTCCATTATGGTATATCAGATACATTTGATGAAAAAATAAAAGACGTTAGTATTGAATTTTGTAAATAAATCATAATGATGAGTAAAGGAATACAGTAAACCTTGCTTAAGTCGGATTCATATAAGTCGGATCTTCGCTCAACTCGGATGAAATTGTTTGCACCCTTTGATCCTGCACATTTTTCTTATTAAATTTCTGCGCTTAAGTCGGATCTTTGCTCAACTCGGATCAAAATGTTCGGTCCATTTGTTCTAATTCCGGCTTTTTTCCTTCACCTAAGTCTGATCGGCAGTATGTTCAGAATTTGACTGTCAGTTTCGTCATAATGGTCTAAAATGCGGTTAGGTATTCCATGCATAGAGCCTTTATCATTTTGACTCAAATCAGCCTATTTGACGCGACGCAATAATAGAATTTTCACAGAAAATTCAAAACTCGCTGTCTGCTGTACGAGACACTTTCTGGGAAAATTTAGGACATTTTTCAAAGATGGCAAATTTATCTACTCGCACCAAAACGGAATTTATCTACTCGCACCAAAACGGAAGTTATCTACTTGCACATCCGAACGAAAGCTTGAAATGTGCCTTTCAATCAATTATTTGCTGACTCTTGCAGTTTATTTCTAATCAAGCTAAGATTGAATTTCGGTCTTTGGCTGACTCGAATCTTCACTTAACTTGGATAAAATTGGTCAGTCCACTTAGATCAGACTTATGCAAAGTTTACTGTACTATATAAAAGCACCTTTGTTAATTGCTATCGGCAACCAAATCAAATATGCAGTGCCATGAGTCACTGGTTAATTTTTAAACAATTTAATTTGCGTTTTCCAATAAACTCGTACCATAGCTAATATTTTTGACAATGGAGAATAATTAGTCATGGCCATAATATTATTATACATATATATATATTGTGGTTTTTTGCACAAATCTCGCCCTAATAGTACTACACTATTGGATGTTTTATTATTGTAAAAAAAAAAAGAGAGAATGGGGTTTAATGGTCCACTTAACACAAACTAAGTCATTTTGGGACTAACATATAGTAGAAACAGGCATAACTGTCGTCCTCTCAATTAGGTGGATAGATTGCATTAAATCAGCAAAAGATAGCAATATATAATCACAAATTGGGGGAGGGGGGGATGGCCGAATGGTTCACAAGGTCTGTCATTGAGTCAAATGGCATTGTTTTGATTCCCCCGGTTGTATGTGACAAGGAGTAGTGACAAGAAGTAGGATCGCCTGTCAAACCTCATAGGTTTTTTCAGGTCCTCCTCCCACTGCTAAAGACCCCTATGCGCAAGCGAATTAATTAAATAAAATTGAATCACGTGTTAGTCGAAATGTCCTAGTTTGTGTTGAATGGATGTTAAACCCCCTTTCTCTCTCTCTCTCTCTCTCTCTCTTTCTCTTAAACCACAAATTAGGTTGTTTATCTTCAATTGGAATAATTTTCATATTTACAGAAGGAAAATCTATGGAAGGATGTATCCTCATATACGCATCTGTTTGGTAATCAGGATAGTATTGTTCAAGAAGCAGCAAAATTACATGGTGCATATTTCTAAGCTACCACCAGATTACAGCAAGGAAATATTAAATTGTTTGTTCAACATTGGATGTTTAATATCAAATCATGAACATATTTAAAGTGAAATTTTTGTTAGATTATTTACCCTATGAAGGGTATAAGTTTTATAGTGCTAGATGGACCTTACAATGTCAATTTTAAATCAACCTTATTAATGATTGTCATTTATAGTGCTAGATGGGCCTTACAATGTCAATTTATTATCAACCTTTTTAATGATTGTCATTTTGTTACTTGCCACGTATTAATTGGAGTTTTTTTTATGATGGTGTAAATTTTAGTGCTGCAGATGAGATTAATTAATAGTTATTGTGTAATTATTATATAGAATAGTTTGTCTCTCACCATATAATACTATTCAATTACATTTTTAGGACATGGCATTTATTCCAGCTGTATATTCCATCCAACCAAAGGACTTTTTGCCTATCATAACATGACTAAAAATAGTCAGATTTTGATGAAACTTGTAGCTTTTATGCACATTTTATGTGAACCACTAGATAATTAAAAGAATAATAATATTACAAGCCAACCCATTGTTAATGTCCACTTACACCGGTGTTGATATCGCAGACTAAACCAGCCGATTGTCTTGAAGGTCTTTATATACTATTTATGATTGGATGTATTTAATTACATATTTACAAGCGTCTTTATATTAAAATCTTATATATTTATTTGAATTAGTTGTGTCAGCTGATTCGTATAATACGATAGTCTGATTATGATCTCGTCGGTTATTTCATTATCTAAAGATACAGTAGATTTATTGGTGAGGGACAATTAGTTTCAATGGCTTGTTTTTACTGTAGTCAGTGTGTAAATCTGCTATTACCAGGCCCCAAGTTCACAAAGCATTCTCAGACTTAAGTTGTGAATTTACTCAAAATTGTTTGCCCTATTTTAACTGAAATATAGCCCTTTATAAAACTATTGTTGTTTTAATGTATCAAATACATCAATAAGAAACTATGTGCAAAGTTTTGTGTTTCTGGATCAAAGATATTTGTCATAAACAGTGATTGAAAGCTGAGTAGAACTTAATTGAGAGAATAATTTGTGATCTCGGGGCCTGTTCTTCTATTTTAATGTTTATAAAAGTTTATATTATAGGTATGCACTTAACAATTTATATTAGGTTTATTTTTGTTATTTTTACAACTGAATTTTAAAATGGTGTTCATAAAATGTGACTTTTTATTGGGTCTTTGTTGTACACTTTTTATATGTGTTTTACATACACCAGTGTTTTTGTATTCATTTTAATTATATGACAAAAAAAAAAATATGCATTACAGTTGCATGTAAATGAATTATTGGCTTGCATTCTGCCATCTTCTTGTTACTCTTAATATTACCCTGGCAGAAGAATATTATCGATTTGAGGATAAATTGTTTCCGCGTGATTGGAGGAAATCAATCTGATTAAAATACACATCTATATTTCGTTTCGTTTCGTTTCGTTTTTTTTTTTATACTTTCGATGGTCTACACTACATGAAAATCTGTCCAGTTGTAGTGACAGGTCGCGTCAGATGTCATACAAGCAGCTTTTGACCTTATGACATCAAACATTGATTAATCAATCAGCGTTGACGTTTCTAGTGGTTAACCCAATGTTCCGTGCAACTCTCGCCAAGAGCTCACTGAAACAGACCATTTTATTAGCTAATCCCTCACATCATCCAGAACACGGGTTATATAACAAGTCTTCCACATCCTAGTGTAGTAAAGATGAGTAAAACGAAATTTTGAACTATAAAAAAACGAAACGAAATAGCATCCATGTTTTAATCAGATTGGGAGGTAAAATTATATTTTTGACCAATCACAATCCAGTTTTCATAATTAGGATAATTTAAATCAACCAATTCCAATGAAAATTACTATAAGAAATGGAAAGCCTAATAGTGTGTTATAAAACAAACAATTGATTTCATTGGGTAGTTTACTTTGATTCCAGGAAGATGGCATACTGCAAGGATCCATGTGTACTATATTCTGATAATTTGTTTTATAATCCTGTATATTGATGATATAAAATGTTATATGTATAAATTGTAAGGGTACATTAACATATAACACTATTTTGATAAATTGAATTACTGTAAACTAGCTAGATGAATTACTGTAAACTAGCTTGATGGTTGCTTCTTAATTCAAATCTATCGTTGTTTGTTCTCTACTGGTTAGAGAAACAAAAAGGCACAAAACCCGAGGAACTACGAGTATATGCTTATTGAACTCATAGCTAATATATCCCAGCATTACCGATTTGTATCAAAGTTTGCCCACAATCTCATTTGCATATTAGACAGTTCGTCCGTAGGGGGCTGTAATCCTACAAAGTGTACCCACCAAAGAGATGGGTTTGGGCGCAAAATAAGCCTTTTCAGTCCTATATTTGGTATTTGGGCCTTCGTTTGACCATCTCCAAAACGATTGTATAGTCAAATTACGTCTAGTTTGAGCAACCACTGAAGTTCTGAAAACCGCTTACCTCTTTTTTAAGAAGTTTTATATTTAATTATTATAAATTATATTTATATCCAAATGTTCTACGTAGTATATGGCTCTTGATAAGTGATATTTCTAATATCATAATTTATTAGTTATGGCCTCTTTGACAAGTTCTCAATGTAATATTTGTAAACTTTCTGGCTTGTTGATTGGGCCATAAGTCAGTACATTGCATTTTGTTTGATGTTCGTGTTTTATTGCCGAATTAATCTACTTATTTCTTTTTAAAACTATTACTTAGATTTTATTTCACATTTTCTTTGTTGTAAGTAATAGCACCTTTCAAATGGGATTGAATTGTCTTTAATTTATAATACACAGTTTTCACTTACAAGATTTTCATAGGATCAGAAATAAGTTATCAATGTTTATAGATTCCAATCAACTGAGGCGGGGTTGGATGGCCGAATGGTTAGCACGCGCGCGCTGTTTCATACGGTCTGTCATTGAGTCAACTGGCGGGGTTTCGATTCCCCGGTTGTACGTGACAAGGAGTAGGGTCGCCTGTCCAACCTTGTGGGTTTTCTCCGGGTCCTCCGGTTTCCTCCCACTGCTAAAGACCCCTACGCGCAAGCGAATTATTGAAATAAAAAAATTAAACCATATGTTAGTCCCGAAATGACCTAGTTTGTGTCGAGTGGACATTAAACCCCATTTCTCTCTCTCTCTCTCCAATCAACTGAATTGTTCATCTGTATATGATGAATGTTTTAATTGATTTACTGGAAATAAGTTATCAATTCCAATCAACTGATGAATGGTTTGATTGATTTACTGGAAATAAACCAAATTGGCAACAATACAATCCCATTCAAAGCTAAAATCTAACATCTTTATTTTTGTTTTAAGTTTAAATCTTGTATAGATTTACTATATTCGATTTTGTTGTCAGATATTTTAAGCTTTTACAATGTGTAGCCTATTAATACTGAAAGGATAAATTTATTTACAAAAATTATATCAACATTTTTTTTTTTTTTTTTGCATTACCGAAGAAAGCAAGGGACTATTAAAATCGGTCTGTCTGTCTGTCTCTGTCACACTTTTTGGGACACAATAACTCTCCTTCAAATTGAGTTACAATGTTCAAACTTAGTGTAGGTGTTTATTTTGTGAATGCCTTGGTGGAGGTCAAAGAAGAGCATTTTCTGCTTAGAGATAAGCAATTTGAACGGTTGATTCTTTGGGACACACTAACTCTAGCAGCTAGCTCTAATTAAGTGAGAGTGCTGAAATTTGGTGTATAGTTTCATTACATCAATACCTTGACTAAGTTTGATAATGAGCATTTTCTGCTCCGGGTAAGCAGCGCGATAAGCAATTTGATTGGACGAGACTTTGGAACACAATAACTCTTCATCTAATTGAGTGTAGGCATTCATTTGGTGAATGCCTTGATGGAGTTTGAAGATGAGCATTTTCTGCTTATTTAAGCAGAGATAAGCAATTTGATTGGTTGATGCTTTTGGACACGATAACTTTGGTTCTAACTGATGGACAGTGATGAAACTTAGTGTATAGTTTCACTACCAGGTACTTCAAAACTTTTGAAAAAGATAAATGTGCAAATTATTGAATGTGTGTCATCTATTTATTTTGGGATTTCATCGGGGGATTTCAGTCTCACTGTTGGCTTGTCTTTATTTTGCAAGGTTCGCACTCTCCTTGAAACTCCTTGAAAATCCTGGAAAATTGAAAATGTGATTTCCAATACTGGAAAATCCTGGAAAAACAAGATTACTTCTTGAAACTCCTTGAAAATTAACATTTGTAGTTTCGCTTTAGATTTTAAGATATAAAACTGAACGTAGTCATCGAATGTTTCTTCAAAAGAATAAACTCTGTTGAAATCTAATTTTGATGAGATCCTTTATTTCTTCGAGTCAGTCGAACAGTGTTCTTCAAGGGTAAAACAACCACATGATGATGTAGAATTCTATACAGGGTCTCCTGGAATCTGGTAAATAACTCCTGGAAAACTCCTGGAATTTTAAGTGTTCTGAGTTGTGCACAACTTGTTTTGTTCTGTTTATCCGTGATGTTTGTATAAATGTACTTAATATCTAGATTTCTCATTGGGATTGGCAAGCAGCCGCTTAAATCTATTTGTTAAGGTCAGCTCAATTTTTGTCAAAGTTGATGAGATGTAAACAAGGTTAGGGCACGTGATTGTTGCCGAGAATGTAGGTTAGAGTTAGGGTAAGCATTGGGGCTAGGTCCAGGGTTAGGATTGGGATTAGCACTAGCCATGTTGACATCTCGTGACCTATGACGAAAAATTGAGCTGGCCTTATCATTTAGCACTAACCGCATGCAGCCATATCATTGATATTGTTATTATTATCTGCTTAAAAGCTCTTTTCCAAAAACCGATAATTGTTATACAAACCTACTTGTGTTTCCAAAACCATTATATATTCCAGTAGATCGGTTTCATACCAGTGAAAATATTTATTTGAAATAAAAAAAAACTAACATGTAATATAATTCTATGCCTTGGATAATTTCAAATAAAAATGTCTGCTTAATCAAAAAGTATAAAAGATAAATTTGTCATTTATGAAAAAAGAGCTCTGTAGTTTCCCTAAATAGAAAGTAGTAATCTTAGATAAATGTGTTGGAAATTAAGTTTTTTATGATGAATGTTAGAAATTATCTTGTCCGTCTGCAGAATGGATCTTGTTTTTATAGTTACAAGTATATCCCCCAGTAAATTAGATTTTAGAACTAGGCTTAAGTATGAATTGTGAAAGCAATTGGGTATTCTTCTCACACATTTGTACTGATAATTTATGATCATAAAGAATTTTTTATTAAAAAAATCAAAAACTTGGAATCAGGAAAAAAATATATGTGAGGGATTATTTATAGTCAATATTGTTTATTTTAAGTATTGTATTTGAAAAATTACATGATAAATGTATTATTACACATTTTAATAAATATTCTCAGGTACATTCAAGACGTGTTTTGTTAAAGTTATGTTAAAGAGCACACACGGTCTGTACTTATAGCCAGTGATCACTATTACAAGCTCACACCAATCTGATTAAAGGATCATAATGGGAGATTAGATAAAGAGCTGACAGTTCTTGCTATAATAGTTAAAAACATGGATAAAGTAAAGATAAAATGCTGAAAATTTCAGTCAAGTTGCTTCACTCTGAACCAAGATATGAGCGATTGAGTTTTAGGCCTAGCTTCGATCATCAATACTAAAGTCCGAACGATAAAAAACAAAATCTTGATTATCCATTTTGATGTTAAATCATCCAACAAATTAACTTTAAATAACCAATCTGGTTAAAACACAGATCCTATGTTTTATTTGTCTGTACTACACTAGGATCTGGAAGAGTTGTTATATAACCTCTCCCATGATCTGGAAAAACCTATTATGTCGATATTTGGTGAAAATTTAGTTAGTCACAAATTTGGACTTACTAGGCTTTACCCAAACTTTTTATTAAGTTAAAGTGTGTGTAACTCTTCAATATTATCAGTTTCTCATCTGGCAGAACCTAGTAAGTCAGCAAGTTTCAAGCAAATCATGCAAATTTATCCAAAAAAAACTAGCAAGTCAACTTGCTAGGCTTTATTAGGCTGTTGCTAGGTATGAACCAATCAGATTTGCTCATTAATATTGTAGTTCCTGTCGGATTCTGTTGAATTCTATTCTTGATTTTAGCAATAAAGACTTCGTGAATATCAAACTACAGGTTGTAGGTTGTTGTTGATGAAAATTCTTGATTGTAGATCAGGTTAACTCTGGTAAAACCTAGTAAGTCGTTATGTAACCAGTTTACTCAAGTAAATTTGATAAAAACTAATGCACTAGAATTACTTCATATCATGTACATATGAAAAGACAAACTCAAATTTATCTGCTTTACAGCAGCTTAATCCTGAACCAAAACAGTTTTCCTTCGTTTTCTCAAATTCATGTTCGACTGACTTACTAGGTTTTTCCAGATCACGGGAGACCTGCGTTCTTGGCGTGCGATGCATCGAACTGTGGGTAAACCACTAGAAACGGCAACACTGATTGATTAATCAGTGTCTGACGTCAAAGGGCCAAAAGCTGCTCGTTCGACCCCTGATGCAACCTTCCAATACAACAGGTCAGATCTTCATGTAGTGTAGGCCATCGAAACTATAAAAAAACGAAACGAAGTATAGATCTGTATTTTAATAAGATTGACGTAAAACAGTAGCCAAAAGTAATTATTTACAACCGCCGCCTCCTCCAGCAGAATATTTCAAAGGAATATGTTATTGATGCAGGATAAGAACTTCACATCCAGACAAAAATGAAATGTAACGTCTTACTTTGCTGCTCAGGGGGGTTGGATGGCCGAATGGTTAGAATGTGCGTGCTGTATCATAAGAACTGTCATTGAGTCAACTGGCGTGGTTTCGAATCCCCAGTTGTATGTGACAAGGAGTACGGTAGGGTCGTACGTCTCTCCAACCTTGTGGGTTTTCTCCGGGTCCTGTGGTTCTTCCCACTGCTAAACACCCCTATGGGCAAGCGAATTATTATTGAAATAAAAAATTAAACCATATTTTAGTCCCGAAAGGAGCTAGTTTGTGTCGAGCAGTGGACGTTAAACCCCATTTCTCTCTCCCTCTCACTTTTCTGCTCCATCTTCATTGTGCATTTGTGGTCTGCCTCCAATTGTTCAAATTATTTCCCTTGATATTTCCAAGTTGAAGGCTGACGGCAGTGTCAATCGTTCCGCTCTGGTGAGCAACGGAGGTGGCTTCTGAAAATGGCGAAAAGACGTTCAGAATCAAAGCACTGTTGATATTTTATTCGCCGTGTAGGCCAGCGTTAGCAGACGATGAGATGCAAATCAGACGTATATCAACTTTTAATGAACAAGAAGAATGAAGTGAGTTTGATGACATGTGTTTGGTTAGAACAGCAACAGGCTATGAATTTATCATATATTATGTTCTTTTTTAAAACTACCGGTGAGACGCCGGGAGTGTTATGCTGTAACAGTAAACAAATAAATGGAGTTTTTTCATTTTAAATTCTTAGAAATGTACCGTATAATATTTTCTACTTGAGGTAGGGGAGGGTTAGTGGGGTGTGGATTATTGTTGTCTATGCCGTTTTAACCACTCACATATCATAGGCCTACTGTTGGTTGTATGAATGACATTCCCTTCACCCTGCTGTCTTATTCTGACGAATTTGAGAGAATGTATGACAACTCGTCCCAAGACAACTCATCCCAAGACAACTCATCCCAATAAAAGACAACTCATCCCTAGTTCAGCTCTGAACGTTAAGATCACTTATCCCAAATTTAGAAGACCACTCATCCCACCATAGTCATGTTTGTTTCATTCCATTACTTTGTTGTACTAATTGTAGCCTACCTACCTACACTGTAGGCCTATAGTATATGAACCCCACAGTTGAAATAGTTTAAACTACAGGCTAGGTATAGACAATCGAGTCTACTACAATGATTTTTTAGAATTACCCACGTGACCCTCTTTAAGTCACGTGGACAATTTTTAAACATCATCGTAGACTTGATTGTCTACCTAGAGAATGTCTACCTAGAGAAAATTAGTGAGTATTGCCACTGGTTGACGGAATCTAGATTAGTGAACTTTGATCCCAATTATTTAATTCCAACCTGTTTCTCACCTTGGTTTTATTGAAAGAGAATCGGTTTCAGATGAGTTATTTGCCCCTGAGTTAGAAATCAGAATCAGACCAGTTATTTAATAATCTCGCTTACGAACATGGACGTAATTAACAAACTTTAGACAAATACCTAGTCATACTCATAGCTTAATATTATTTTTGAAATATTTTCGACGTTTGAACTGGGTAGAGCGGGTCTGTTGTTGTTGTTATTATGGACAGGTTGATTTATTTAAATTATTTATACTTAAAGGGTTGAAAATTGGTAAAAACACAAACCCAGTGGGGGAAAAAGAATCTGCTGTTTAATGTGGAAACGCAAAGTGCTTGCGGTAAAAATCCCATCGCTGGACTAGTGGATTATTTACGTATTAAAAACTATACGTCCAATAAGTTCCATAGAATTAAAAGTTAGTTAAAAGTGCCTTAATGCAGTTCACAGCTTCAGCGTTTAAACACGTGTATCATAAGGTCTGTCATTGAATCAACTGGCGTGGTTTCGATTCCCCAGTTGTACGTGACAAAGAGTAGGGTCGCCTATCCAACCTCATGGGTTTTCTCCAGGTCCTCTGGTTTCCTCCCACTGTTAAACACCCATACATGCAAGCGAATTAATGAAAGAAAATTGAACCATATGTTAGTCCCAAAATGACCTAGTTTGTGTCGAGTTGACGTTAAACTCCATTTCTCTCTCTCTCTCTCAGAGCTGTTAAAAGTTAAAGGCATTCCATTAGGGTTTTGCTTGCGTATGCCTTTCCCCCAGATAAAGGTTACCTGAAAAGAAAAAGAAGAGCCAGCAGCAACACAGAACAAAGCAATTAAAGTTACAATTTAATATTTTTTAAGAAAGTCAAAACATAATTATTTCTATGTCTTTTGCTCAATAGGTTGTCAACTAACTATTATACGATCATAGGTTATCTTTCTCACACTTACAAATCTTCACACCAGAAATAATAACACAATTACCTCCCAATTACCTCCCTTGTTTTCCTATTCCCCACCATGGAATAGCTATCTTCAAACGTTTGAATTTGAAGTTGAAAATTATATTTTTGCCAATTTCTCAACTGGCAATATAGTGAATTATAGGATTAATAGGATTATTCTTTAACAAGGTAGGACTGTTTATAGATACCATCTATTTAAGGCTTTATTTTAATACATTTTAAAAATATAACTTAAAAATATGAAATTGTAACTTTAAAACAAATTAAAACATTTATAGAAATAATAAATGGCGTTAAATTTTTAGACATAAATTAAACATACACTATGCAAGAGCTAAATCTGCCTATTGCAGGTCTTTCTTTAGGCCTGAAATGTTATATAAACTATTAATTAGACATTTATGAACCAAACGAGACCATAATCATCAACTCTCAATGGCATTGAATACTCGAGATTAGAACGGTTCGCCATTTAAAAATTTAATTTAAAAATGGGAAAATGAGGTCATATGCCCCATTGTAACAGAATTTATCCCGTGTACAAGCCATAGCAACAGAATCCGAGTAGGTTGTGTTTCTTAATAAATCTGAGTTCCTATTGGGCGATTGGCAGTCTTTGGCTAGCACGACTAAATCTTATCCGATTCATTTTGAACAGTCACGGTGGCATTTTAGAAGTTTTGGGTTATCTGTCAATGACTGTCATATTAGGAATTCTTATCCTACCAGAAACAGTATAAAGTAAGTTCGACTTGGGCCCAAGATTAGCATCTTTAAGAGTACTGGAAGTTGATTAGCATCTTTAAGAGTACTGGAAGTTGAGGTACGGGGTTCCATTGGCTACAACTGAAGTAGAAATCAGAGGGCACATTCAATAAAGTGGTCATACTGGTATGCAATATTAATATAAAGCTGCATGTTTGTTCAAACCTGGTGTTGAAAGTCTCTCTTGACAGTCGTCGTAGCACGTGTTCTTTGCCAAAATTCCCTTGTTTACTTCGTTTATTTGGTAGATTATTTACCGGTGATTCTTCAGAATTGTATGGTTGAAAATTCTGCCACCACACCAGTTAGTAGATAAGGACAGGACCAATCCAACAAACACCAACAGCAACTCCAGGTTCATGCATCCATACATAATACAATTGTTTACATTTAACCAAGCCTCAAAATAAGACACTTGTCACAAGCATTGTTAGAAACAATCTCTCCTGTGCCTCTCATTTTCTCAGGCACATATTGGTCTTTTTTCTTTGATTTTATTTATAATATTAATACATGGATTGCGCAAAGTTCAAAATATCAGGTACTAATGTAGTAGTTCCTAACATTTTGTCAGGTTCAACTAACATTGTTATTTCCAGGCTAATTGTTTGTTGAACTTCTGTAATAATATTAATTATGGCCTTGAATAATAATTGTTTATAGATTCATTCATAGCTATAGTCAAGCAAAATAACACCTGAAATAACAGAAATCTACATGAATTGAACTAAAGGTTAATAAACACTTTTGTCATATGCCATCTTCATGGTCGGCAATGCAATGTGTCTGTTGACCAAGTTTAGTAATAAGTCCCTCCCTTGGGGTATGCCTATTCCATATTTGTAATCTGGGACCGTGGTCACTCTATGATGCAAATCAATTAGGGTGTGGGCACTATAAAAGAGAGTGGTGGGATAGCATTTGGCGGAACGCACACCGCCTGTCATAACAGCCGTTTACGTTTTTAAGTACGAAAAAGATTTGTGACTAACACTAAGAGTTTTTTTATACAAATAAAAAACAGAACAAAAAACCTGAACTGTAGTTATAATTTTAATCACAGAAGTTGTCACCACAGGAAGTAATAAATGAAGCTGAAATTAGTTAACAGACTTCCTTTTATTTTTGTAAAATAAAGATTTAATTGTATAGAGTTAGTTGTATTAAAATAATACATTATATCAGTTTAATTGAATAATTTATTTTCACCTACCGGTACATCAACTTGTTAAATTATCTAACGATAATTATAGAAGCAAGTAGCATTGTTCACATGAGGTAAATCATTAATAGTTTACAATCTGTTTAAACAAGCTTAGGGAGGGGCTTTGTTGCCATAGAGCTTGCTAGAGGGAAAATATTTTGGGCGCAGGTGTGGTACATCTTATCCAGGTACATTTTCGGGGAATATATTGTACAAGGGAAAATAAATGATTTGGTATCTTTTCTTGTGATAAGCAAAGAATGTAAAACAACATATTTACTGTTATTTTCCTATATTTCCTTTGAACTATCCACTTTAATAATAGAAATAAAACATATCATTTGATGTTTGTTTATACAATACGATGTGTGTTTACCTTTTGTCTCTATAACCTGCTATTCTGAGAGAAATTAAGAATGGAATGGAGGATTGGGTTTCAATCTGATTCTTGCCAGCCAGCACATTGCCAATCAGGTAGATATATACACACAGGGTGGAATCAAACACATTTTGTTAACTAGAATACATTGTATAAATCACTCATAGTGCTTGCTTGACTACAGTTAGAGAGAGGGAATATATCAGATCAACTACGCATTACGCTTTTATATTCACCACTATATATATATACCATATGCCAGGAATTCATAACACTCACATTCAGGAATATATTTTGGAAGTGTATTTTGTGGAATTTATAAGAGTTGCCTATTGTAAGTTATATTGTGGTTTGTATTGTAGCTATGTAAGGTATTGTCATTGATTAATTGAGGTTTATATGTATAGGTTACTGTCATTGATTAATGCTTTTATTAGATTTGACATTCCAGCAGTGTCAGTGATTCATCTATTGCCTGTAGTAATAGTGGTATTGATTTAACTAACTTGTATTGATAATAATATAAATATTTACTATTGTGGATTGAAAGATGAATATCGTATGATTATATAACGATTGGAGATATCTGGTAGAGTTATATTATCTGCTTATGTTTGTATATATGTTTATTATTATGGTTTGTTTGTAGTTTACTCTAGGTGGGTAAGACGTTGGCTCGCTAGCCTGGAGGTCGCGTCTTCGATCCCTGCATTGGCTGAGAAAGTCCATCGTGAATTTCCAGTGTGGTTTCCCCTTGTCAGTGGTGTAATATGGAGGGCCTGACATGGACAGCTGTCTAGTCGTTCAGATGGGACGGAAAACTGAGCTCCCACATATAAATTGGCATGCACGTAAAAGATCCCTCGACAGTTGGAATTCGATATAAGAGTAGGCCATAGCAGAGCTGTCCGAGCAAAATTTCCCTCGTAGCACACTGTATGACGTATGCCCGTCTTCATTAGCCCAGTCAGAGCAGAACAGTAGGACGTTAAACCCCATTTCATTTCATATGTAGTTTACTTTCTATAGTATCATGAAACATCTGGAATAGAACAGAATTTGATCTGAAAATAGAGTGAGTTACATGTGTGACAAAATGCCGACAAATATATCCTTATATTGACAGTTAATATATATTGTGCCGTAAGCAAACTTTAGGTGTCAATTTTTCCAGAAGTACCATGGTATGTAAATGGTAGATTATCTGTAAAATCCATTAGTTTTATGGGATGAGAGTAACGAAAATTAAGTACTAAATAGTCAAATATTTCATCTGACAATCCTGTGAGCGAAACTTAGCAAATAAACTCAAAGGAACTCTGATAATCATTTAATTAATGATCGTGGAGCCACGATAGCTCAGTGAATAAGAAGTTGGCTCGCTAACCGGAGGTCCCGTGTTCGATCCCTGCGTCGACCGTGAAACTTCATCAGGATTTTCCGGCGTGGTTCCTCTTTGTCAGTGATGCGGGACAAAGGGCCTGGCAAGGGACAACGTGTAGTCGTTTGGATAGGACGAAAAACTGAGGTCCTATGTACACATTGGGGTGTACGTAAAAGATCCCTTGGCAGCTCGAATTCGTAGCGCCATTGTCCGGGCAAATTTTTCCTCGTAGTATACTGTATGGCATTCACCCGTCTTCATTAGCCCATGTCGGAGCAGAACAGTAAGATGTTAAACCCCATTTCATATTTCATTTGGTCCAGGGGGCTTATTCAGGTAACCACCAAGTTTGAACCTGTACATTAACCTCTTTATTTGTTCCTTTTAGAACACAAATGTGAAGGGACTTTTCTGGATAACCTCATTTCCCGTCAGTTGGGTATTGGTGTAGCCTTTATTTTGCAGAATTTTTAGGGATTAACTGGGGGACCCAACAACTATATTTCCAGTAGATTGTGAACAAAATCTTAGTACTGACAATCTCCAAAATGTTTCAAAGTTTCCCCACCCCTTTTTTTCCCCACGACTTTCTGACTCACCACGTCACTGTTTGCAGTAGTTTCAGCACAAAATAAAGAAGTATAGCTCCTGTGAATTTTGGCCAATAGAATCCCCAAGAAATTTTCTCGTAACCATTTAATTAGTGATATCTTATACACAGTTTCAATGTAAAGAGTCGGCCTTACTGTATGTTTTTCTGCACAGCTGTAGTAAAAAAAATGAAAGTTCTAGTTGATTTACAAGATCATTTTACTCAAACTACCCGAACAGTTGCTTTATAAAAATATTTGGATGAGTTTATTTGACCCGTACTTGTAAGTTGATTAGTGAGATATCAATATTATTAAATATACGCTACACCTGCTTTCTACATGTCTTCTTCAATGATTTCTTCTAGTGATAGTATATATATTACACTAAACAAGATGAAAACTCAACATTTTATGGGTTGGGTAAAAGTGTGTGGATTACAAAAAAATTCTGAATAACCTTGTTAAAGTTTTTATGCAGCCATATTATCTTGTGGACGTATTATGCTGTCGCCCCTGTCCATCTTAACGTCCATTCAAATTTGTTTGTGGTCACTAGAGGGTTACACTTTTTATGTTAATATCCCAAAAATTATTGCACTTGATTGTATGAAAATCATGTACATAGCTTGTGGGACCCTCTGGCGGTCACAAATTTTATTTGATTTTGATTCATGTTCAAATATGTTTATATCCCAACATTAGCAAATGGAGTGTTTATATTAAGTGTAGGATAAAGCACGAGACTGAGATTATGCGGGACTGAAGAAAATAACCTGAGAAAAAGAAAAACCGAGGCCAGCAGGCCGAGGTTTCCTTGACGAGGATTTTTTCTGAAGTCAAGGACTTTATCTTGCTTATACCGGTAAACCATCAACCATCTATGTTTACATGTTTTCTTGTAAGAAAAACCTTATATCATGTTTTCTTATGGAAAAAAATCCTACCCTGGAAGAATAACCCGTTACAGGTTTAAAGAAAAACTTTCAGAAGAATAACCTCAAATTTCCCTGCATATATCCAAAGCTGCTCCCCGACTTTCAGACCGCAAGTTATTCCTGGCATAGAATATATCCCAAAAGATCAAAGAGATTTACCATTATAGGTTTATAATTCCGCGTATTAACGATTTGTATGTTTTTATTTCAGACATAGGTGTGAAGTGAACGTATAAATGAGAGGTGGAGTAACAGTACTCACCTTGAACTACAACGAAGTCAAGAGATTAGTATGCCTAAAGCTCCTCCTATACCTAAGCGAACAGATAGTTTGCCTAGTGGAACACCTCAATCACCACCAATACCACCAGCACCCATAAAGAAAGTTCTCTCATCTCATAAATCACGAGTTTTCTGGGAGGCGTACAATTCTAAGTCCAGATTATCTGGTCATTCACACGGTCATTTTCATATTCATAGTCATTCCCATAGTCATAATCATAGTCCACGCAAAATGTCTCAAGAAACTGGTGAACACATGCCTACCAATACTAGTAACACTCATGGCGGCAACCATGACATGCCGTCGGCACCTTTTAATTATGAAATGAAAACCCTGTTTCGAGATAATTTTAAAACATTGTATGAATTTTACGAATCTGAAAAACTTTGTGATGTAGAAATAATAGTGAACAAGAGATCGTTTCGCTGCCATAAAATGGTTCTTGCCTGCAGTAGTCTTTATTTCCGCGCCATGTTTATGTCTGAAATGGCAGAAAGCAAACAAGACATGATCACCATACATGACATTGATGAAAGTGCTATGGAGAAACTCATCAAGTTTGCCTACACATCGAAAATAGTTCTGACTGTAGAAAATGTCCAACCTATTCTTTTTGCGTCATCCATTTTACAAATTGAAACTGTGGCTGGCGCTTGTTGTGATTTCATGAAAACGCATTTGCATCCGTCAAATTGTATTGATGTGCGAAATTTTGCGGAACAACACAACCGCGTGGAACTGATGAGGATGGCCGATGATTACATTCTGGATCATTTCATGGAGATTAAAGAAACTGAAGAATTTAAATCTATGAGTTATAAGCTCATTCTGCACGCTGTTTCTTCTCAAGAATTACATGTTGATAGTGAATCACAGGTCTACGAAGCTGTCATGAAATGGATAACACATAATCCTAGTGAAAGAGTAATTCATCTCACTCCCTTGTTGACTATGATCAAATTTCCTTTGATATCCCCAACATACCTGATGGAAAAAGTGGAAAGTGAAACAATAGTTAAAAGTAATCTAGAATGCCGAGATCTTTTAGATGAAGCCAAATACTACCAAATGTCAATAGCCAACTTGGTTCCTGATTTCAAAGTTAATCAAAGAACAAGGCCAAGAAAAAGTTATGCAGGTAATTATGTTCAAATCAAACATTATCCCTCCTTTTATTATTTGTCTGTATCCTCATTTTAAATGGGGGGGGGGGATGGCCGAATGGTTAGCACGTGCGAGCTGTATCATACGGCCTGCCATTGAGTCAACTGGCGGGGTTTCAATTCCCCGGTTGTACATGACAAGGAGTAGGGTCGCCTGTCCGACCTCATGGGTTTTCTCCGGGTCTTCCGGTTTCCTCCCACTGCTAAAGACCCCTACGCGCAAGCAAATTATTGAAATAAAATTGAACCATGTCTTAGTCCCGGAATGACCTAGTTTGTGTCGAGTGGATGTTAAACCCCATCTCTCTCTCTCTTTCTCATTTGAAATGGGAGTATTAAAGGCTCGATGAGTGATTTATGTATATATTGGAATCTCTTGCAAACTACAATATTGTGAAAGTTAAATCTCTAATAAGAATATCATCAGTCCAAATATTATTAAATTCCGTATTTACGATGTTATGATAATTGAAAATTCATCAATCTATGCTGTTTGAGTATAACAAGACACCTCCCATCTTTTATTGGGCCTAATTTAAAAAGGATTGAATCCAAGCCGGAATTTTGATTTTGTTTTTTTAATTAAATGAAAAATAATTAATCTGACACTGAGTACTTATTTAGTAATTTAGAGTGTATGAAGCCGTGAGGAATTTGATATTTTACTAAATTTTAGCGAAATTGCAAATGACAAACCTTTAATCAGTATTATCACTTTCAACAAGAAAATAAACATAATTAATTTTGAAGAATTCTATATTTAGAATAACTGTAGACTACCCTAATTATTGAAAGTAAAAGTACTGACCTACTTAAAAACCTACTTAAATGATGTCAACCAATGGAGTGCTTTTTGACGGGAAATGAAGCACGTACATCGGACCGTCATTGTGACGGCGAACTTATCAATTTTTTTCAAAAATTACGATAAATTTATAAATCCTACTCTTGACTTTTCTCAAACTAGAGACTTATTGTTTTAGTCACAGTATATTTTATCTAATGTTTTAGACTTGATTATACCAGACTCATTCTAATCTATCTTTACCAGGTGCCAATGCCTTTTCAATAATAATTATAGGGGTGTTGGATGGCCGAATGGTTAGCACATGCGCGTTGTATCATAAGATCTGCCATCGAGTCAACTGGTGTGGTTTCGATTCTCCAGTTGTATGTGACAAGGCGTAAGGTCACCCATCCAACCCCGTGAGTTTTCTCCTGGTCCTCCGGTTTTCTCCCACTGCTAAAGACCCCTACGCACAAGTTAATTATCGAAATAAAATTGAACCATATATTAGTTAGTCACTCTCTCTCTCCCTCCCTCCCTCACTCTCTCTCTCTCTCTCTCCCTCCCTCTCTCTCTCTCTCCCTCCCTCTCTCTCTCCCTCCCTCTCTGTCTCTCTGAATCATGACTATAATGACTATAATGGTTATAGTTTTATTACCAGGGTATGTATACCTCTTCAAACATAAAGGTACAGGTACATCTATTTGATGAAATAAGATTCAGTTTGCTTTCAAGGCAAAATTATTGTTGCATGCTGATATGTTTGTAAAGGACATAAAATTTCTTATTTATATCTATCCTGATAATAATCTGTAATTTATATCAAGAAATAACCCACCAAATTGGGTGGCACCAATGAGTTTCTGTTAATGGTAATTTTATAACATGTAATAGAAAACCAGCTGCAGATAGTAAAGCTGACATTATCACCTGTGGTAGATAAAGTTCCAAGTAATTTTTAATTACGGTACATATGTGTCGAATAAATTGATTTCCTCGATGTAATAGAGCCATAATTCTGAAAATGTAATTGCTGATACAAAAAAAGTCGTAAAGGAACTAAAATACTAATATAAAGATATGAAAATATTTTGAGGTGGTAATATGGTAAAATAATTAAATTAAAGCCTGAACATACAACAGAAGCTACAGTAAAATCAATCTTGGAATTGTGATTTCATATCAAAAATTGACCGTACATGTACTTAAAATGGCGGAGCCTTTGGCGTTTTTCGAAAAGCTTATTGAAATAAAATTGAACCATATGTTAGTCCCGAATTGACCTTGTGTCAAGTGGGCGTTAAACCCCATTTCTCTCTCTCTCTCTCTCTCTCTCTCTCTTAAACTCTTTATATAAGCTTTTATATATATCAGTACATAAATATTTAGAAGAGAATCATGTTTTTTTTCTCAGCTTAATTTCACTTTAAGCTGACTAATAAAAGTTTTTATGTGCACCTAGTAACACATTATTATCATAAAAGAGAAATAAAAGGTGACTGTTAGCAATCAGTGCAGTAAATCACCTGGAATTTAATGTGGAGAATATTTTTATTGTGATGTCTACACCTGATATTAAAGACATCAAAAACTGTAACATATACCTTATCTCTTCCAGGTGTGTTGTTTTGTGTTGGTGGAAGGGGGTCGTCGGGTGATCCCTTCAAAAGTATAGAATGTTATGATCCACGGAAAAACAAATGGTTCCAGGTTGCTGAAATGAACACCAGACGGCGCCATGTAGGCGTATGCTCAGCAAATGGTAAATTTTTTCTTGTGTAAAGTAAGCAGACAGCATCTGTTTAGTATTTCCTCAAATCAGTTTGTTTGTATCTAAGTCTAAAGTTAAACGGAAAATGACTTATCTACTGTATTGTATATAAAAAAACAGTTAGCTATGGTTCAATGTTGTAAACATTATGTAACATGTCAAAAGATTTGTAAAATAATCACTTGTTTATACCTGTTCTGGAACCAGACATTGTGAATTATTTAGGGTTTGTTTTTTCAGGAATATTGTACGCAGTAGGCGGCCATGATGGTACTGAACATTTAAACAGTGGGGAAGTTTTTGATCCAAAGACCAATCAATGGAAACACATTGCACCAATGGGAACACTAAGGTTAATTTTATACCAATCTGATTAAAATACAGATCTATATTTCGTTTCATTTGATGCAGATCTGACCAATTGTAGTGGGAGGTCGTGTCAGGGGTCATACAAGCGACTTTTGACCCTATGTGAGTTCTGTGTACCTTATGCCAAAAACTCACCATAACAGGTCGTTTCTTTGGCTAATTTATCACATCAAGCAGAAGGCCTGTTACATGTATATAACAATTCTTCCAGATCCTAGTGTTGTACAGATGAAATTTTGAACTATAAAAAACAAAATGAAATAGGATCTGTGTTTTAATCAGACTAATTTTATACGTGCTTTAAATTTTTCTTTTACTGTATGGTATGCACACCTTGTCTATCACCTGGTTTAATTTCAACAATTTCTGTTAACCATTTCTAGAGTTATGGCACTTGTTTGACTTGGTATGACCTTGTAAACACTCTAACAACAATAGTTATCATCCGATCTGCATGAAATTCGTATACATTATTTAGATTAGTGATACAAAGAAGCGAGTTTACGGCAAGTTTTTGGCGTGAAGTGCACAGAACTGTGGGTATACCACTAGAAACATCAACGCTGATTGGTTAATCAAATAACACATGACCCAATTATATGGAATACAAGTTACTTAAAGGATTTATTTGAGCAACGTTTCTACGGGAGAACCCTCGTCGTCCATATAATTGTGTTATTCTCATTCAGTTACTAAATACCGCTCAAACAATTTGGTTAATCAAATGTCTGTAGTAGAGTATAAAAAACGAAACCAGGGTTGCTATCAACCGACACGGTCAATAGATATTCGTACTGGGTATTGCAATTCATAAGCAGGTCAATATTACCAAGAAAACAACAGGATAAATGAATAGTTTTACTTTAATTGGTGTCACTAAAACCTGGAAAGAATATTGCAATTACTGTTCAGGTCAAAACAATTTAAGAATGTCTGTGTACCTATGGATCATTAGTTCCAGCACTAATGGAGATGACATCTGTTGTTTACTGTAAATAGATTGAATCATGACATAATCGTTCGGACGTGACGAAAAACCAAAGTCCCGTGTATAGATTGGCGTGCACGTAAAAGATCCCTTGGCAGTTAGAATTCGATATAAGAGTAGGCTATAGTGCCGCTGCCTGGGCAAAATTTCCCTCATAGCATAGCTGTATGGCGTATGCCTGTCTTCATTAGCCCAGTATAAGAGCAGACCAGTAGTACGTTATTGTTTGTAGGATTGAGAGAATTGAATTCTGGAACTTTCAGACAAATATCCAGCAGGTTTGTTTTGTTTTTTTAGTTTGGAATACAAGAACAGGAATATTTTCCATAGTAATGATATGAAATTTGATTTAAATTCTGTTTATTATTTTGTTTTTCAAGGCGTGGTATAGCATTAGCAAGTTTAGGTGGTCCGATCTATGCGGTAGGTGGTTTAGATGATTCAACATGTTTTAATTCAGTAGAAAGATATGATCCCGCAGCTGACGTATGGACATTTGTAGCATCCATGAATACACCTCGTGGCGGAGTTGGGGTAGCAGCACTCAAGGTATATCACATCATTTACAAGACAAAACACATGGTTTACATAATCCAAAATAAATCCCACGATTTAGTTTGTTTTTCTTCAAACAAAAGTCAACATAATAATGAAAATTTATGTCATTTGATATTTTTCCTAAAATCCTACTAAACTTTAAGAGGAGGGTGGATGGCCGAATAGCGAATGGTTAGTGTGTGCTCGCTGTATCATAAGGTCTGTCATTGAGTCAACTGGCGTGGTTTCGATTCCCTGGATGTACATGGGAAGGAGTAGAGTCACCAGTTGAACCATGTGTTAGTCCCAAAGTGACGTAGTTTTTGTCAAGTGGACTTTAAACCCCATTTTTCTCTTACTCTCTTATAGTAGTCCTGCTGCTTATTTTATTCAGATTCAAATAAAAATTGGCTTAATTTAAATTTCTGTAAAGTCTAAATAAGGTATGTTATAAATTACAGGGTCAACTGTATGCATTAGGTGGTAATGATGGTACCAGTTCATTAGATAGATGTGAACGATATGATCCATTTGTTAATAAATGGACCTCTATATCTAATATGAAGAAAAGAAGGGCAGGAGCAGGTGTAGCTGTATTAGATGGAAGTATTTATGTTGTTGGTTAGTAACATAATTTATCTCAAAATATCAACAATACTCAGATCATTTCAGTGTATAACATAATGATAATTTTAGTTTTAATGCCCTGTATTTTTCAAACTATTAAAAAACACAAATTTATATGGAAAACAATCACTGGGTTTATTTTACACTATGTTACTTACTTGAGAATGACAAGAGGAACTTGTTGAAACGTAGTGTGAAATACACCCAGTGATTGTTTTCCATATAAATTTGTGTTTTATATCATATGTTCAGTTACTAAATGCTGTATAAGGATTTTAAATTATTAAAAGATGAAAAATTATAAATTTGTAACAAGGGGAAGTAACTCTGTCAAAAGTACCTTAGAACCATTTTGTCTCCCCTTAGACCACATACCAGTACTCAGCAAATCTGTATGTTATTATTGTTATTACATTTTAGTTATAATATTTTTATACGCCCACATTTTCACGTGGGCATATGTTGTTATCGCCTCTGTCCGCCTGTCTGTCCGTCCACAATTTATTTATGGACACTCTACAGGTCACAATTTTTATACAATTTTGACGAAACTTGAAATGTAGGTTTATGTCCACCAATGATCTTGGTTCCTTTCGATATTTGCATGTATCAGACCGTAACTTCATGGATTAAGGCCCCTGATGGTACGAAAAATCACGTTTTTAGCTTGTGGACACTCTATAGAGGTCACATTTTTCATCTGATTTTGATGAAACTTAAAATATATATTTATATATTTATAACCCAAAGATCTTGATTCCTATTGATATTCGAGCGGACCATAACTTCCTGGATTATGGTTCCTGATTGTACAAAAAAATCACATTATTTTTTTTTAGCTCCCTCTCTTCCACTTGTAAAATGTGGGCGTATCTTGCATGGCAACCGCTTGTTTTTCCTACTTTCACATTTATGAGGAAATTATTTTCAGGTGGTTTTGATGACAATTCACCGCTAGATTCTATGGAGAAGTACGATTTTAATACAGACACATGGACGGTACTAGCTAAAATGAGCACATGTAGGGGAGGTGTTGGTGTGGGAACATTAGGAGGCTTTCTGTATGCTGTTGGTGGCCATGATGGCTCAAATTATTTAAATTCTGTGGAAGCATATGATCCTATTACTAACAGGTAAGCAGATATTGCCAGGTAATTTATTTTATTATGTGATAATTAAAACTTTAAACTTTTAAAACTAGAAATTACAGCATTAAGGAGGTGTTAATAAGAATAATTAGAATAGCATTAGATTCAACTAATTATTGACCTGCTTACAGTTAGTTTCACATGCTTTTGTTAAACTCCTTGAAAACTGAAAGTATATTACAAATGTATATTCCAAGACCAATTAAAATTTTGCATATATTCTAATTTGCCGTATATGAAGTTTGTATCCCCACATTGAGGACAAAAATTAGTACCACCGTGTAAAGACCAATGCGTTGTTAAAGTCTGTAGTCTGATTGTTTTACCTAGTTCCAAACTCCTGTCAAAACTCACAAATCATATGTTAATAGACTTGGGTTATGCCAGTTCCTCAGTCAGTTTCTATAATTTGTGAAATACTGATAAAAAAAAATTAAACATACATTATGCAAGAGTTAAATCTGCCTATTGTAGGTCTTCCTTTAGGCCTGAAATGTTATCGAAATTATTAATTAGACATTAATTAACTTATCCAGACCATAATCAACTCAGGATGTCATCGCTAGCCTGCGATATTTACTGGATTGGAATCCGATCTGCTGCTTAATGCTCATTGATGATTAAATCAAAAAAGGGATAATCTTGACTATGTTTTTTATCGTACCGTCTTTAGTAATGATGATCGAAGCTAGGCCTAAAATTAAATAGCTAAATTCTCAGTTCTGTGTGGATCAATTTAAATGAAATTTTCAGCAAATTCCCTTTACATTATCTCGTTTTTAACTATTATAGTGAGAACTGTCAGCTCTTTATCTAATCTCCCATAATGTGTCTTTAAGAAATAAAAATCATTCATAATGAATAAGAGGCCTATTGTTATGTTTATATGAAAATATATATATTAAGATGATTATATTGTTAATCTGAAGGTGGGAATATATACCAAGTATTGATGTATGTCGTGCTGGGGCAGGTGTTACTACACTCTTTTGTCGTATAGAGGATTTAAGGGAACAAGGGAGACTGGGTAATGGTGGGGCAGGTATATCTTCTATATTATGTAGCTTAAATTGTTGTCCAACAGTCGTATTGTTTTATTTTTATATCAGCATGAAATTTTCAAATTTATGAATATTATGACTTTGTACTTTATTAAAGGCCCAATATTCCAGACAAAAAGGCAAATATAGTCATTTCAGATCATACATATCGAGTAATTGGATCAAAAATTATTAAATTCAATCAGTGCTAATGTTAACCTCACATCCTTATTGTCTTAGAATCATCAGTAAATGGAAAATTCATTTCTAATATCCATGAACATCAAGCTCAAGATAGTATTTTTCTTTTAATATTATAAATTACTCTCTAAAGAACACTTTTCACTGTTCAGCTCTTGATTTTATCAAATTTAAGTAAATTTATGGTTAGCGTTCTGATGCACTGTGTCTTTAATTAATAACTTGTAATGACATACTGGTATGGATATATCTTATAAATATATTATGCATTCCTTTTTAAATCTCTGTATATTTTTGGATGATTATCAATACTTTATTATGTTTGAAATCTTTTAAAGGTTTAATTAATATAAAAATCAGATGCTGTTATATGTCTTCTTTTTCTGACAGGAAAAAATATTTTTATACACTATTCCGCCCACAATTTCATGGGGATGTATATTGTCGTCACCCCCGGTTCGTCCATCCGTCTTTCTATTCACAATTTGTTTGTGGACACTCTACAGGTCACAATTTTTATCCGATTTTGACAAAACTTGAAATATAGGTTTATCTCCAAAAGATCTTGGTTCCTTTTGATATTGGCATGTATCTGTTCCTTTCAATATTGGCATGTACCGGCAGTTACTTCATGGTTTATGGCCCCTGATTGTTTGGAAAATCACATTTTTAGCTTGTGGCCACTCTAGAGGTCACAATTTTTATCCAAGTTTGATGAAACTTGAAATGCATATTTACAATCCAAAGAGGTTGGTTCGTTTCGAATTCAATATATTTGCGCATATTGGATCGTAACTTACTAGATTATGGCTCCTGATTGTATGAAAAATCACGTTTTTATTTTTTAGCTTGTTCTCTAGAAGAAATAACTCGTCGATAGTTTGTTGTATTTATTATGAAAAAAATCTTTAAAATTTGTTGAATTTATACAAATTTATTGCCTGAATTGTTCTTTTTTTTTATGAAATGTTCTTTAGTTTGAATTGCTGTCTGCCTAATATGTTCATGGTTAAATATACAGATATGCCAGGCACATTATTGAGCTTTAATTCCGTCATTTTGTAATGCTTTACAATTTTATTTTAAGTTTTGTAATTTATATGCATCTGTTGAACCCATCAATCCTCGCTAACATTTCGAACCAAGGTGCTCATTAGCAAGAACTTTTTATTGGTTCATTATCTTTTATGAGAGTTTGATATGGACGTATATTGTCGTCGCCCCTGTCCTTTGTTTGATGACAGTCTACAGGTCACAATTTTTATCCAATTTTCACAAAACTTGAAATATGGGTTTATCTCCCAAAGATCTTGGTTCCTTTCAATATTGGTATGTATTGAACAGTAACTACATAGATTATGGCCCCTGGTTGTACAAAAAATCACGAATTTAGCTTGTGGACAACAACATTTTATGATCTACATTTGAGTTTTGATGAATTTAATTTCAATAAGATTAGAGTTTATATGGATGTACAATCCACTTAGCTTTGTTTTTGTACAAGTGATCAATAATTGAATTTAAAAATAAGATTTTGTAAGCCTTGAAATAAAGCTGAATTTATGCTTGGTGTGTGAAATATCTTTATTTAACGTCCGCTTCCACGGAGGTGATATCGTAGACAATTTATGCTTGGTGTTTATACTTGCTATTGATGTACGCACAGAGTCTGTGATATTAGGTATATGTCTTGACTTGGATCAGTTACCGTAATTACCATAATATCTGTGTTTTTTGGTTTTCACTTGCTTCCTTTAGTTTATAATTGTGAGAATGATGTGTCAAAGGTTATTATAATTTATTATAATTTATCATGTTTTGGGCATCATTTTTGCTTGAGAAATAATGTTGGTGAAAAAAATCTAATGTTGTTTTTGTGTAACGGTCCTTTCACAAAAACCAGTTGAAAACATACCGTAATTCATACAGAGATACTATATATATTATTGTCCCCCACCTTTCGAAGAAAGCAGGGGACTGTTAAAACGAGTCTTCCAGTCCGTCCGTCTGTCACACTTTTTGGAACACAATAACTTTCCTTCTAATTGAGTTAAAATATTTAAACTTGGTGTAGGTGTTCATTAGGTGAATACCTTGATGTAGTGCAAAAATGATTATTTTCTGCTGAGGGTAAGCAGGGATAAGCAATTTGATTGGTTAAGGCTTTGGTACACAATAACTTTAGTTCTAATGAAGTGAGAGTGATGAAACTTCGTGTATAGTTTCATTACATCAATACCTTGAATAAGTTCGATAATGAGCATTTTCTGTTCAGGATAAACAAAGCGATAAGCAATTTTATTGGTCGATGCTTTGGGACAAGTATCTTTGATTCTAATTGATGGAGAGTGATAAAACTTAGTGTATAGTTTCACTACCAGGTACTTCAAAAACTTGACTGAGTTCGATCGTTAACATTCTAAGCATAGATAATCAGTTTGATTGCTCGATACTTTTGAAAAAGATAAATGTGCAATTAATTAATATGTGTCATCTATTTATTTTGGCGGGGAACATCATCCTCACTGTTAGCTTGTTTATTATATTATAATAGTGATTTTATCAAATAATTATTTAATTTTTGATTCCTTTAACTGACATTTACTTGGAACTGTACACATGATATTTTCTCTAATATAAAGAGATATTATCACTTTCACCAAGAAAATAGGTAGAATTAGAGATTATCATATTGAAAATAACCTTGGACTCGTCTAATTACTTAAAATTAAATCGACAACCTACCGCTACTCAGATTAAGTGATTATCACAATCTCGAAAACCACTAAATCATAAATTATAAGAATTGAAATATGTATATCTCAGCAGATTTGTCTCAAAATTCGCATACAATCAGTGAAGATAAACAAAGACCTAGGCCCTTATTCACGAAAACTTAAACTAAGATACAATCGGAATTTTAAGAAATACTGCAATTCGATTAGCTGACCAGTAAAATCAATTTGCATATATCCAATGACGATGCAATATTTCTTAAAATTTCGGTTGTAACTAAGTTTAAGTTTTCGTGAATAAGGGCCCTAATGGCTCTTTAATAGATCTTTATTTATAGAAATCATGTATTAGATTAGACTAGATGGTTATAGTGATGCACAGTTAATACTATGAAGATTTCTCAATCTGATTAAAACACAGATCCTATTTCGTTTCGTTTTTATAGTTCAAAATTTGGTTTACGTCTCTTTACTACACTAGGATCTGGAAGAGTTGTTATATAACCTGCATTCGGGATGATATGAGGGATTAGCCAATGAAACAATCTGTTGCAGCGAGTTCTTGACGAAACCGTGGATATTCCTCTAGAAACATCAACACTGATTCGTTAATCAAATATCTGAGGTCATAGGCGTCAAAAGCCACTTGTATGACCCCGGACACGACCTCCCACTACAACTGGTCACAGATCTTCATGTAGTAGAGGCTGTTGAAAGTATAAAAAAATGAAACAAAATATAGATGTGTAATTTGATCAGATTGGGGATTTGTGTAAAACTATGGAGACAAACTGATAGATTCTTATCATTACTTACTCATTATTACAAGTTATCAAATCAAGATTGGTATTTGTAAGGCTGTTATTTATTAATTGCATGGATCAATTAGTTAATTAACCTTCCATTTCTATTGATTCATGAACCTTTATATATTATTTACCCTATTTTGTATAAATACTATTTTTATATTTCAGCTGGGAGGCTGTGAAAAGTATTCAACAGTTTCGAGCAGGAGCGGGAGTGGCATATTGCGAATGTTCGGCCAAACATTTACGTCATATTGTTCGTGGTCATGTGGAACAGCTTCAGTGTGTTTGATGTTAAAGACGAGGCAACAAGGGAGACAACTACGTGTTACAGATGTTTAGTATTTTAGCCATTTGTAAATGTTATGTCATTTTGCCTGTACTAGTGTATCTGCAATTTTGAAGTTTTAATGACATTTATTCCGCATATTGTGGTAACAGTAATATATTATATTTCAAAGGATCTTAAATTTGATTAATAATAAAACAGGAATTATAATTTGTGCAATATACATGATTAAAAAACATTTTACATCAACAGTATTTGAATCCTAATTCCTTTGAATTTCTCTCAAAATAGACTAAAAATAGGGTTGTATTTTGTGTTTGAAACTTAAAGAATCAATAAGTAAGATAAAAACTTGAAGTCATACAATCAGAAATTGAATTATTAATCCACAGATGACTGTAAAATGTCTCAAAGTTGACAATAGTTTCATCTTTATTGTTCTGATGTTCTACATAAGATGTAACTTGTATTCAAAGCCATTGTGACAACAGCTGACTGAGTTATGCACAAGACGAAGTGAGGTTATTAATAGATCAGTGTACAAGGCTTGGTGCGATTAGAGTAAAAAACTTAGAAATTTATGAGTGGCGAGTAGCTGTCATAGATTGGTCTCATAAAGCGACTAGTTTCGTTCAGTTCGAACTAATCAGTAAAAGTGTGACTGTGCAGCTGTTCCCCTTATATAGTCGTGGGGGACCGTAGCACAAAATGGGCCTCCGATTAGAATAAGCTATGTTTCCATGAGCAGATGACACTTGTTAGTGATAAAATACAAAATATAAAATATCAGAAAGCAATTGGCTGATGACACTTGCCAGTTGTTTAGTGATAAAATACAAAATGTCAGAAAATAAATCAAAATCATCTAATTTTAATCAGATTACAAACTTGACCTCAAGCTATAATTATCTAATTTTAGTCAGATTACAAACTTGACCACAAGCTATAATTATCTAATTTTAGTCAGATTACAAACTTGACCTCAAGCTATAATTATCTAATTTTAGTCAGATTACAAACTTGACCTCAAGCTATAATTATCTAATTTTAGTCAGATTACAAACTTGACCACAAGCTATAATTATCTAATTTTAGTCAGATTACAAACTTGACCTCAGGCTATTTTGTATTAAAATGATATTTGTCCATTTCTATATAGCTCACTAGAAATTTTAATTGTGCGTTTTGTATGATATGTGTATATTGACTGTAAAATGGTTATTTTATTTGAGTTAAGATTTAAAGTATTACATTGCTTATGTGTTTACTCTGAGTTGAATATATTTTTAACTAGAAGAAAATGATGCAGGGACCACCGTGTATTTAAAGACATTTTCATATCACTTTAAATTGTTCAAAGCTTGTCGACTTTTTAGTGTACCCAGTAAAGATATGCCGGGTGAAAAAATTATCGTCCATAAAAACAAAAAATATACATTGTCCGTCAATTTTACAGCATCCCTGAGAATACTTCCCGCCCCCTCGTTGCTCTGAGCTAGTTACGTCCCTGACGATATCCATGCCTAAAGTCATAGTCCTGTCGTTGCCATTTTGGTTGTAAATATAAGATGCACAAATAATATATTGTAAGAGTAATGGAGTATATAATGATAGAATATATTTATTTTGTAAATGTATATTTATGGTCCTACTTTTAGACCTCATGGGGTGATTCTAGTCTCTCTAACCCAAAGACAATTTGATAGTTGCTTATTGTTGTTTTTGTAACAATAAATAATTTGATCTAATAGTAAGTGCAGGAGGACCGTACCACACACAAAACAAAAATCTACAAGGTAAACCTGCGGACAAGAAAGAATATAGACTTAGCAAAATATAAACAAAAATCAAATCAAGTGAATGGATCCGAGGGCCAGCTGTAAGGGTCCACTGAGGGTATTTTGGTTTGAACATCTGCACACAAGATTGTAAAAGCAATTTGTTTTTGTGTTTGAAAGATAAAAATCAGCCTATATGGAACTAGGTATTACTGTTATTTGTGCAGTAGAGAAATATGTAAAGCTAATATTGTGATGTTGCTATGTATTAATACGTAAATCAAATAGATGCAGTAAGATATTACACAGATTATAATATATAGAAAATAATATATTTATGTCAGAGTTACATATATTTATTTATATTTCAGTTTTAATGGTGGTTTTGTTAACAGGAATAAATGGCATGTTTTTAGTGCTACAAATGTAATGGATATACCTTTTCTTTTAAGAAATATTGTCATGGGTCTGTCCTTCAGTCAGATTGTTCTTTCAGAAGTGAACAAATCGATAAATATTCATATTTAAATTAAAATACACCTTGTGACAATAATTCCTTTTCTGTATATAAAGACTGGGAGGTTCGATGGCCGGATGATTAGCGCAAGCATGTTGCATCATAAGGTCTGTCATTGAGTCAACTGGCGTGGTGTCGATTCCCCGGTTGTACATGACAAGGAGTAGGGTCGCCTGTCCAACCTCGTGGGTTTTCTCTGGATCCTACGGTTTCCTCCCACTCCTAAAGACTCCTTGCAAGAGAATTATTAAAATAAAATTGAACCATATATTAGTTCCGAAATGACCTGGTCTCTGTCCAGTGAACGTAAAACTCCATTTCTCTCTGCGTCTCTGTATATATAAAGACATATGAAGAATTTTTTGTAACTTGCTGGTATAATTTGTTGGTTTACAGTCACACAAAAGCTCAATTATTATAATCTTTGAATGGCATTTCGAAACTGACCATAATATAACACAAACAACACAGTTCTATGTATTATATACACTTTATCTGCAAGAAGTGTTAAGACTTATGGCTGAGAAGTTCAACACTCAAAACGGTGACCCTGTTTGGATGTTTCTAGTTTAAAAAGGGGTGAGGGGGGGTGAAGAATAGAAATGAACCAATTTTTGTAATAATAATACATATATTTTCACATAGATTTACATGAAATAAAACTCTAATACATGTATATAAAATAAGAAATGAAAAGTCTAATATAAGCTATATGAAACAAGAGTACATTAATCTCAGTATGAAAGACCAACAGTGTATATGAGTTAAAAACTTAAGTGAAAAATCTAATTTAAAAAATTAAATAAATTGAAAAATTGGCACATTTGAGAAAGGACGGAGAAATGAAATTGCACTTAATGAAATCTATACTAGGTGAGATCATACAAAACATTAATAAGAGCCCTATACTAAATCTAGATCTCAGTTATTTCACTAATTTTATTATTGCTACAATTAGTCCCTAATTCTCCTTGCCCCTTCACTGACAAACTGTGGTGGGGTTGGATGGCCGAATGGTTAGTGCATGCACATTCTATCATAAGGTCTGTCATTGAGTCAACATGCGTGGTTGTACTTGACAAGGAGTAGGGTCGCTTGGACAACCTCGTGGGTTTTCTCCGGGTCCTCTGGTTTTCTCCCACTGCTAAATAAAATTGAACCATATGTTTGTCCGGTAGGAGTGGACTTAAACCAACTGAAAATGTTGATATGATTAAATTTGTTTTTGATTTGATTTTCAAGTGGTGTGGTTGTTGGTCTATATTTAAAATTTTATATCCACAGATATAGCTAACAGTTGACATGTTTAATGAAATCAGTAAACCAACTGACAAACAAACTTTTCCCATCACATTAAATAAACGCCTATTTTGTTTTTGAACTAAAGCCTAGTGCACACTACACAACAACATCAGCGATTTCTGTTGTAGAAAATGAAACGTCAAAAAACCGCCTAGTGTGCTCACCCAGTTGCTAGTTCCTGATCGCAGTGATTGTTTACAGTTGATCACTAGCAGGCACATATATAGCGATCGTCACGAGAGCGTATGCCACTCTGCAAGTAAATTACGTCCATCACGTGACTTGTACAAAATGACGAATCGCTTAAAACGTAAGCTGGCTCAGGTAGCTATTTATTTGCTTCTAAAACTCTGGAATCATGACGTCAAACAGGCAAGGCCTCTGACCAAAGAATCACCAATTCTTCTTTCGTCAGAATCCACGCTTCGGCAGTGGAGGAAGCCATTTTGAGATCATGTGATATCAATGATGTCTCCGATTGCTTAAGAAAATGGTTCATTCAACAATATAAGCTGGACACAGGCAGACAAGCGAATATGCAGGCGAATCGATCGCTTGCGTAAATATTCGGCCGAAAATATCTTACATGCTAGATATAGGTGAATGGTTCGGCGAGCAGAATCGTCGTCGCCGTGACCAGGCACACAGGCGATGTTTTCAACGCTTATAAAAAAATTGGCATGATTGGGCGAAAGAATATCCTCGTCTGCCCTAGGTATTAAGATTATTATGATATATTAATGTCTTGGAGTGTGATAATGTTGGTTATACATATAATAATAGAGTAGAATGCATGATATTTCACAATAAGTCACTTAAAGAACGTCTTCAACTGTCCACCATATTGAATTATAATATTTGAACATCAAGTACACATTGTTTAAATAGTTGACACATCACAACATATTTTCTACACGAACTACTTTTTACTGATAATTATTAGAATTGAGCTTCGTCTTGTTGATCGTTCCTACTCACTTCAACAAAAATATATTTCACTGAAAGAAATTTCTAATCAAAATCACACCCTCTTAAAATTACACAAACTCCAATCTCTGATGATTTAAATAAACTGCATGTACCGGTATCCATATGATGATGAATAAATTCTCTGCAGCTTATCAGGAATTGCAAACGTCTGATGTTGCAGAACATATACCGTCTGCTTCAGCAAGAAAAACTCGTCCATTTTGACACATACAAAGTTGATAAATGTCTGAGGAGCTAACACCTTGTATACCACTGGTATCGCTTTCTTTTATATTTTTTAAGAATATATCTTTTGAGTCCAAATGTATCTGAAAAGGAAAGTTTACGTGGTTAAATACATTCTGATATCATCTTTAGAAATATAGAATACGAAATATAACATATTCACCTTTCACCAACACAGACATTCAGTGTTGGGATTTCAAAATTTTTGTTGTCGGACATTTTTACCGAAATAAAAGGGCATAACTTTTATCGTTATTTAATTTTGGAATTTTGAATATTATTCACCATGTCTTGATGTCTGATTGGGTATATTCCTGGACGGACAATTTAGAATGTTTGGAAAATAGCGTCGGACATGTCCGGAATATAGGGCGAATTCCCATTTGTCAGAGTTGTTTGTCTAAAAGTTACATAATGACATCTTGATGACTTAAACTTAATATGCATGTATGTAGGGTAGATCCACGAAACCCTTAGTTAGTCATTTATAATATCCCCTGACAGTTGCAATCTCAAATATATAATGATGCCCACCAGAATACATTATATCCTGAGCGTGTTACCAGCCAATTTTTCAAAATTTTAAGTCAACTCAAGTTTTAAAGATATTATAATGTGATTAACAAGCTTCTAGCTTGTTTCTTCTACTGTTTTCTGGTTAACAATTGTTTGTAAATAATGTACTTACAGCACCAGAAGACGTCTGTAAACGTATATTGTCCTGACTCTTCAGCTCCACATCCCCTGCTGGCGCCTGTACAGAAACTCCAGCTGATCCGGAAATTTCCACGGAACTTGATGGTGACTCGATTCTAAAACCAAAACAAAATGATATATACAACAGTAAATGTTCAAATTTGTCAATTTTTGGATGGCTGAATGGTTAGCGCATGCGCATTGTATCATAAGGTCTGTCATTGAGTCAACTGGCATTTCTATTCCCTGGGTGTATGTGACAAGGTGTGGGGTCGCCTGTCCAACTCCGTGGGGTTTTCTCCGGGTCCTCCGGTTTCCTTCCAATGCTAAAAACGACTACGTGCAAGCGAATTTTTGAAATAAAATTGAACCATGTTAGTCCCGAAATGACCTTGTTTGTGTCAAGTGGACATTAAACCCCATCTCTCTCTCTCCAGGTTCTCCGGTTTCCTCCCACTGCTAAAGACAACTACGCGCAAGCGAATTTTGGAAATAAAATTGAACCATATGTTAGTCCCAAAATGACCTAGTTTTTGTCGAGTGGACATTAAACTCTGATTCTCTCTCTTTCTGTGTGTGTCTCTCTCTCCATCAAGATGACTGGATGATAAAGACTAATGTGTATACTCACTTTAGTTCTTCAGATATTGGTCCCCTTAAAGATGGTGTTTCTATAGACCCATCAAATATAACTTCTCCTAAATCACAAACAAAATACAAAACAATAAAAGATGAAACATTTGTAAATTTTACATTGGCATGGAAAATTGTTCATAGGCCTATAAATTTGATTAAAATACAGATCAATATTTCGTTTCGTTTTTTTACTTTCAATGGCCTACACTACATGAAGATCTGACCTGTTGTAATGGAAGGTTGCATCTGAGGTCGTACTGGTGACTTTTGACCCTATGACATCAGCCATTTGATTAACCAATCAGCACTAATGTTTCTAGTGGGTTACCCACAGTTCCGTGCACATCACGCCAAAAACGTGCCGTAACAGACTGTTTCATTGGCTAATCCCTAACATCATCCAGAATGCGGGTTATATAACAACTTTTCCAGATCCTAGTGTAGTAAAGACAAGTAAAAAGACTATAAAAAAAGAAACGAAATAGTATCTGTGTTTTAATCAGATTATAGGCCTATGGTTTCATATTGAAAGGAAGAGGCCTAATTAAAAGATTTATTACTCACCGTTATATTTGACTTCATCTGTACCAATAATAACTTTATCCTTACTAACTAAAAACTTTATTTTTCCTTTTCTATCTTTAACTTCAAATATTTCACATTTTGCTTGAAATTTTTCATTATCTATAAAAAGAATACCTTTAAATTATCTCTACTGTAACCAGGGTCGAATTATGCTTACACAGGCCACCTGTCTGAACATGTCACTGGGACCCTCGCATCAACAGTGACAAGGAGGCATATTCTGGTTATTATCTGTCACACACACATACATACAATTTGGTAGATAGATGGATAATAAGATATATTTATTTGACACATACATACAGCATATTAAATAAAATCATAAAATATGGGTAACTCTGGTAGAAGCCGAGTCAGCACCCCTCCCCCTTTAACCTAGGAGAATTTTGCCTGCACTGCAGCGTTTTCATCTACAGGTGAACCTCGGTTTTTTTATCCCATCCAAACTACTAGTGAGAACTGAGCTTTGAATGTCCTGCATCAGTTCAGTGCTAAGTTAAAGGGGGGTGGGGCTCTAGTGGTTTGACGTGCTAGCGTGAAACCAACAGGCTTGTCATTGAGTCAAGTGGTGTGGTTTCTATTCGCCGCTTGTAAGTGACAAGGAGTAGGGTCGCCTGTCCGACCTCGTGGGTTTCCTCCGGGTCCTCCATTTTCCTCCAACTGCTAAAGAACCCTACGCACCAGAAAATTATAGAAATAAAAAATTGAACCATATTTTATCCCGAAATGACCTAGTTTGTGTCAAGTGGACGTTAAACAGCTGTCTATTCGTTTGGATGCGACAAAAAACTAAGGTCCTGTGTATACATTGGCATGCACGTAAAAGATCCCCTGGCAGCTGGCATTTGATATAAGAGTAGGCCACTGCTGTCTGAGCAAAATTTCCCTCATAGCACACTGTATGGTGCAAGCCCGTCTTTATTAGCCCAGTATAGGAGCAGAACAGTAGGACGTTGTTAAACCTGATTTCATCTCATCTCTCTCGCTACGTTAAAGATCAGTAGATTATTTATATTAAATAACCATTACCTAAATTAAGACTACTTGTAACATGGTTAGCTTTATTTCTAGATTGTATTTTAACTTCTTGACTCGATTCTACATATAAAGGATCTCCCTGAAAACAGACAAAAACAAGTCATTACAAGTTTTAGCCCCTTCGTACTGCAGAATGTTCTTGTTGTCGAGCTTTGCTCCTGTTTGCTAACTACACTTATTATTTTAGTGTTTTCCGAGATTCTATCCGGATTATCGTCCTTATTGTTAAAATTGTTTGACGTCAACTGACAGACTATCGCCATTGAAGAGGTGACCACTATCAAGATAGGTTGCATTATTCTGTTACGTCTTTTTTGTAAATGGTTTTTTTTTTCATTTTGAGTGAAGCCTGTACCATTACCGCCCCGGGACTGTACAGCTCAGTGGACGCTTACAATTTACCCCTGGAACCATTCACTTGATTTGATATTTGTTTATTTTTTGCAATGTCTACATTCTGTCTTGTCCGCGGGTTTATCTTGTAGACTTTGTTTTGTGTGTAGTTTTGTCCTCCTGTATGTACTATAATAGTTGTTGCTTTCATTCAAAAAGATGATCTTGGTTTACGTTAGCCTGAGAATTTATAGTTTAGGTCTATTTTAGTGTTATGAGGCTACTACTGATTTGAATGTGAATAAGAAAGTAAAGATATTAGTTTATATTTTAAAGATACTAACCGTTTTGGATCTGATTTCTTGTGTGTAAACAGATTTAAGGAATTCAGCTTCACCATCTAATCTCACACCTTTTGGTGTCATACGTAATCTTCCAATACCATCCTTAAAAACAAAAATAACTAATCTACTACTGCATAATGTACATTTGATCAACAGAACTGGTGACATGTTTTGATCCTCAGAATTGGTGTCAAGTTTTGATCCTCAGAATTGGTGACACATTTTGATCCTCAGAATTGGTGTCAAGTTGTATTTAAGCAGACAACTGGTGCACCCAATACACAGCACAGGTTGGAGCAATAAAAAGCTTTTCTTAAGAGAGAGAGAGAGAAATGGGGTTTAACGTTCACTCGACACAAACTAGGTCATTTCGGAACTAACATATGACCTAATTTTATTTCAGTAATTTGCTTGTGTGTAGGGGTCTTTAACAGTGGGAGGAAACCGGGGGACCCAGAGAAAAACCACAAAGTCGATAATGGAAGCAAAAACTGATCAAGAGCAACAACCCATGAAGTAATTATGAGATATAATCAAACATTAATTGGCATCTAGTACATTCTAGTTCTAAAGTTTATTATATAAAACAGATGCCAGTAATTAGATAATAACTTTAGCTGTTTGATGATGCGGGTAACCCCCAAAATAAACAAGCCAACAGTGAGGCTGATGTCCCCCGCCGAAATCCGCAAATAAATAGATGCCACATATTAATTAATCGCACATCTATTTTTTTCAAAAGTATCGAGCAATCAAACTGTTTATCAACTATACACTAAATTTCATCACTCTCTATCAGACAGAATCAAAGTTATATTGTCCCAAAGCATCGACCAAGGAAATTGCTTATCTCTGCTTAGCTTGAGATCGATATGTTAATCATTGAACTCAGTCAAGACGAACATCTACATCAAGTTTAAACATTCTACCTCAATTAGAAGCAGTGTGAACATTTTAGCTCAATTAGAAGGAGAGTTATTGTGTTCCGAAGTCTCGGCCAATCAAATTGCTTATCGATCTGCTTACCCTGAGCAGAAAATGCTCATCATCGAACTTAGTCAAGGTACTGATGTAATAAAACTATACACCAAGTTTCATCACTCTCACTTAATTAGAACTAAAGTTATCGTGTCCCAAAGCATCAACCAATCAAATTGCTTATCTCTGCTTACACTAAGCAGAAAATGCTCATCTTCGAACTCCATCAAAGCATTGACCTAATATACACCCACACCAAGTTTGAACATTCTAGGTCAATTAGAAGGAGAGTTATTGTGTCCCAAAAAGTGTGACGGACAGACAGACGGACGGACAGGCAGGCGGACAGACAGACAGACGGACGAACCCATTTTAATAGTCCCCTGCTTTCTTCAAAAGGCGGGGGACAACTAAAGTTATCGTGTCCCAAAGCATCAACCAATCAAATTGCTTATCTCTGCTTACCCTAAGCGGAAAATGCTCATCTTCGAACTCCATCAAGGCATTGACCTAATCAACACATACACCAAGTTTGAACATTCTAGCTCAATTAGGAAGAGAGTTATCGTGCCCCAAAGTATCAACCAATCAAATTGCTTATCTCTGCTTACCCTAAGCGGAAAATGCTCATCTTCGAACTCCATCAAGGCATTGACCTAATAAACACATACACCAAGTTTGAACATTCTAGCTCAATTAAAAGTTATCGTGTCCCAAAGCATCAACCAATCAAATTGCTTATCTCTGCTTACCCTAAGCGGAAAATGCTCATCTTCGAACTCCATCAAGGCATTGACCTAATAAACACATACACCAAGTTTGAACATTCTAGCTCAATTAGGAAGAGAGTTATTGTGTCCCAAAAAGTGTGACGGACAGACAGACGGACAGACAGACGGACGGACGAACCCATTTTAATAGTCCCCTGCTTTCTTCGAAAGGCGGGGGACAATAAAGAGAAAATCTTACCACTGAGAAATCAAAAACTCTAAGAATCCATATTGTTAAAGCTAGATTCATGATAACTACCACCATAAGAAATAATATAAACGAATAAAGACATCTTTTTCTCCAACCATAAATACCAATAGGTTGACTATCACTAGAAGTTGGTGGATTATTGGTTAATCCATTAGCATCAGTTGGTGCATCCGCTCCTGTTGTTTGGGGCATATTGCTGTAAGTAAAGAATACAAAATCCATTAGAAATAGCCGAGCTTTAGACAAGCAAAGAAAGAGAGAAATGGTGTTTAAAGTCCACTTGACACAAACTAGGTCATTTCGAGACTAAGATATGGTTCAATTTTATTTCAATAATTCTCTTGCGCATAGGGGATAACGGATATATGCACGGAGGTGACAACAATATACAACCATATTTGCGTGTGGGTGTATAAAAATGACTATTTGACCATGCCACTGACTGTAATATGGTATATATATATATATTTATATAATAGTGGAATGTGTGTATGCAGAATACCATACAACATGCACAGGGCAATATCATCATTTTCTTGTTATTTATAGTACATGGTAAACTATAAGACTAAGATTAGCAAATATTTTGGGCATGTGTACAAAATTCATAACAAAAACACTGCAATAACAGATATTCATTAATTAATTACCCGAGTCGTAAAAATAATCTTGTGTTTATATTATTGCCCATTTCATGAGAATAATTTCTATCATTTGAACCACTGTACATGTACATTAATCATTTAACTTCCAGCTTTGTATTTAAAGGAGCTAAATAGTTGGGACCTAGAAATGGGTCGCAACACATATAATAAAGCAATATGAATGTATATAAACTGATTTACATTCTGTTTTTACTTTAATTTCTAATCAGTTATGTTCGGCGAAATATGTCAGAAGTCTCAATCGAGTGACAATCTCTAGCATCTTGTTATTCCAGTCTACACCAATAGCATTTATTGCGCGTGCTCTCCAGATTAAGAATATGATGTCACCGTTTGTCTAGCCTTGTTCTTCAAGTCCCTTGTTACATATGGCGCTGAAACGCATTAAGGTACGTGATTCGTGTACCAATGGTAAAATGTTTATTTTGTCTTAAATATTGGATATCAGAAGCCCATCTTTTCTCGGTAAGATCACAACATTAACGTTGTTTTAAACTGACAAATAATTCGTGTTTTCAATGTCAAAGACTTTGGATGATATTGAGTTAAAGACTTAGCTACTTTAAATCAAGTGCATAAAAAATTCAATTAGAGTTATTCATAAGTTCACCATACACCATTATTGCATAGTATACATATATATATATATATACAAACAGGTCAAAAACTGCTGCAGAATAAATAAACACGAATCTCTAAGATGATGATGATATTACCAAATTCCGATGCAAAATACACCTACACAAACACATGTAAATATCTAATGAATAACATTTAATTTGATATTTAAACAACATAAACAAACAATATTGCAAGGAACAGTCCTGCAGAAGATAGACAAACAACACGGCAAGGAACAGTCCTGCAGAAAATAAGTTCTCGTAAGTATTTACATCCTGTGGAGAATTCCAGAGCATCTTCTCACTAGGAAGGGTATATAAATAGATAGATAGATGGCATGCCAATCTTCAGATGAAATAAGTGATGCTGAAATAAGCCAGCTTCATGTATACTTACACCAGTCTGTTGATCGTGTATATAGGTGTATATAGGTTACCTGGAAGGCAAACGGCACTACCCACCTGGATATAATAATATTTACACTTCTCTATCGTCCATCAATGTCAAATTTTTGAGCCACCCACTTTTATTGGAGCAATTATGTATGTCAATATGTATACGTTTATTTAATGTGTACTTTAGTCACGATTTCCAATTTGGCATTTCTCATACAATGTACTACGTGTGTTATGAATCATATCGTAGATTAATCATATACAGATAATTCGACATGCATCTTATGACTAAATTATACTCTAAAAATATCAGATGCAAGAGCTAAATCTGCAGGTCTTTCTTTAGATCTAAAATGTTAATCAACTCTCGATGTCATCTTACGTGTCAGATTTTCACTTGATTAAATTCGGTCTGCTGTTCAACACTCATTGATTATTAGATCCATAAATGGATAATCTTAAGCAATGATGATCAAGGATAGGCCTAAAATTCAATCACTAATTTCTCAGTCCAGAGTGGAACAATTTGACTGACATATTCAGCATATTCCCTTTACATTATCTAGTTTTTAACGATTATAGTGAGAACTGCCAGCTTTTTATCTAATCTTCCATAATGCCCCATTCTGATATCATCTAAGAAAAGGAGTTGACATTGCCTCAGCCAGTTGGTCCCTAATTTCTATTTATTGTAATTTTGAAAATACTGAATGGAATTAAACCATTTTAAACTGATATTCATATTACTAGTATTAGAGATTAAACTTTTATACTGAATCCAAGTCCGAAGACTATATCTACTCTTGATGTTTTCATTTTGTTTTCTTAAAGTAGCTAAGACTCTGACTCAATATCATCCAAAGTCTTTGACATTGAAAACACGAATTATTTGTCAATTTAAATCAACACTGATGTTGTGATCTTACCGGAAAAAGATGGGCTTCTGATATCCAATATTTTAAGACAAAATAAACATTTTACCATTGGTACATGAATCGTGTACCATAATGCATTTCAGCGCCATTTGTAATAAGGGAATCGAAGATGAGGCTAGACATATTCCACAAGTCGTGTCAAACGGTGGCGCCATATTCTTATCTGGAGAGCATGCGCAATAAATACTATCAGTGTAGACTGGAATAACCAGACACTAGAGATTGCCATTTGATTGAGACTTCTGGCATATTTCGCAGAACATAACTGATTAGAAATTACAGTAAAAACAGAAACGATTGAATGTAAATCAGTTTATATACATTCATATTACATTATTATATTCATTGCGACCCATTTGTGTCCATTTCTAGGTCCCAAATATTAGAGATTTAGCTCCTTTTATAGGAATCTTTGGTAGTGGGATGAAACCGGAGGACCCAGAGAAAACCCACGAGATTGGACAGATGACCCTACTCCTTGTCACGTACAAATGGGAAATCGAAACCCTGCAAGTTAGCTCAATGACAGACCTTATGATACAACGCGCATGCGCTAACCATTGCGTCATCCAACCCCTCTAATGCACAGAGACTGAGAAAAAACTGATGGAACTCTTGCACAAATATTATAACATACAACAATCTAATTAAATATTAACCATATGTTTCTCTAAACAACAAAACCATTGGGTTCAATTTTTTTATCTATCAGATTGTTAAATGAATGACAACATCTGTTTCTCGTATTACTGGCACTAGTAATCCAGAAATCCGATCTTAATAACCGGGTGATTTTCATGCAACCTGCCTTCATTATAATACTGTAGAACCATAGACTACAAATTATAGCCAATTGATTCAATATGTCTGAAATATGAAGTACTTGAGCTGTTCTCTTCAAAACACGTAAAACAGATAGAGTTTCTACTTTTAGACTTTGGTTCAGAATAAACAACTAAAAGTCATATCCTAATACAGGGGAATACATGTTGATTTTTGAATAATCTGATTTCTTTCTGAAATAGTGTTCAAAATATAACCCAACTACATATAAATAAAATTCCTCCACACCACACCAAATTATAATTTCTGTTCTTCCAGAGACTTATTAAAATTTTTGCTTACATCAGGATTCAGGAAGAGATCTAATTTAAAAACAATTTTTCAGTTCCAAAGTTTTAAGTTTTGAAATTTTAAACAAAACTTTGGCTATTTTTTTTATTTTATCTAAACCTCTAAAAATTAAATTGGTTTGGCCATATTGTTATTATTTATACAATTCACAAATTGTATTTAAGATAAGATAAATTTTATTGCATAAAAACGCCCACAGGGAGCAGAACACACAAAATGGCAGATTTCGCGAAATATATACATCTTGGCGGGGTAAACAGATTAAAGAAAGAGAACTGTAAGTCATTTTTGGAGAGAATTGGATTGACAATTCATTTCCGAAGATTTTTGTATTTAGTGCATTCAAGTAGGAAGTGTTTTTCATCTTCCACAAGTGATTAGATAACCTTTGTGGAACAGGTAAAAATGGTAAACTGATTACATAACCTTTGTGGAACAGGTAAAAATGGTAAATGGTAAAAATGGTACTGATTACATTAACCTTTGTGGAACGGATATATTTTTGTACCTCTCTCTTTTGTATATCATTTTATTAGATCATTCGCCATATTGTTATGTATGTGTATGTTTTGTATACTGTTCTTAATGGACGTAATATGCAAATGAAAAAGTTGAAGTTGTTATTTATGTACATATTTATATTGTATGCTGTCCTAAACGGATGTTTGGGTACAATAAAAATCGTATCTTACTAACATAATTATATAACAACATGAAAATGTTATTTCTGTGCTTTTTTATTTTTGTACTTTCAATTATAAAACAACATGATGTTGCCATCACTAAATTCCACAACGTAAAATAGTAAAGGGTTTGTGAGAAGCCTCACTAAATTCCTCGACCTAGAATAGTAAACAGTTTGTGAGAAGCCATAATAAAAAGCTCTTGCAAGTTACACATAGCACAATAATTAGACAGCGTAAAACTAGATTAAATATCAAAGTTCCTACTGTGCCCTAGTTAAGTTATAACTCCATCTGTCAGCAGCAAGTTAAAAATGACTTTAACACCCATGCTGTTTATTTTAGACATCAACACTTCAAGAGTTCCTGAAAGTAATACCCTTAAAGAAACTTTAAAAAATTTCTAAATGTGTATGAGATCAAGTGCAGTTCAAGGTTGATCTCCATAAAAACAATTGTCATACACAATGCATGATGGGGGTAATTTGAGACAAGAAAATTCATAATTTATTGTTTAAATGAGGTTGCAAATAACTATTTGCATTTTTCTAGGATATTCACTACCTGGTATGGCAAGTAAACACTTCCAAACAGTGACCTGCTTGGTAAAGTATTACCAACTATTTGAGGAGTACTAAAAAGAAAATGTCTACACTTTATAGACCAAACGTTTAAACCTCTATATCTCATATGTGGCTTCACAAATTCCCCGGTTGTACGTGACAAGGAGTAGGGTCGCCTGTCCAACCTCATGGGTTTTCTCCGGGTCCTCCAGTTTCCTCCCACTGCTAAAGACACCTACGCGCAAGCGTATTATTAAAATAAAATTGAACCATATGTTAGTCCCGAAATGACCTAGTGTGTGTGGATGAACATTAAATTCTCTCACTCTCTCTCTATTATCTCTGTATCATGGTCCAAATGCATATTAATAAATCAGTAATTGTTATTCCATAGTGTTAGTGTGAGACAGTAGTAAAATCCAACCTGAAGCATGAGGTGTACTAGACACAAAATCTTTACACTGATACAGCAGTGTTTGGTTTAGATTTATCAAATGAAACACTGCCTGGAGAATGAGGGAATATATAATATAATATAGGTCTAACCCCTTTATTATAATATACACAGTAAATATACATATATAAAAATCATTTTATTATAACCCATATATACTTACAGTGGATATACCTAATATTCATTTTTTATAATACCCACAGTGAATATACATTTGTTTTATAATACCCACAGTGAATATACATTTGTTTTATAATACCCACAGTGAATATACATTTGTTTTATAATACCCACAATGAATATACATTTGTTTTATAATACCCACAGTGAATATACATTTGTTTTATAATACCCACAATGAATATACATTTGTTTTATAATACCCACAGTGAATATACATGTAACCCATTATTTTATAATACTCACAGTGAATATACAATACATATAACCCATTTATTTTTTATATATAATACCCAAAGTGAATATATATATATGTAACCGATTTTTAGTATACAGTAATACTGCAGTGATTATACATATAACCCATGTTTCATAATAGACAATCTTTAAGGGTTTGTAATGATACAATCGGTCAGTTTTAACATGCAGTCCAGATAAATTCCCAAATAACTTACAGCGAATATACCCATAACCCATGTTTGATTGTTTATAATACATATATAATGTTTAAAAGTGTGTACTATTTATAAACCAATGTACCAATGACTTATCTGTGCAATATCAAATATTATCCTTACTAGATGGAAGCTGAAAATAACATATATTTACATTTATTTCTCTAGATATTGATATGTTAATTCTGTGTTAACTGCTTGTATGTATCATGGAGTGCAACTTAGGGATTGTTGGGATTCTAATCCTAAACCCTACATATTTATATACATGCATGAAACTGTGCATAGACTTTCTTTGTGTTTTTCTTGGTGGTGGGCCATACAATGCAATAATGTACTGAATTTGGAGTCAACAGTATTTTCTTTAGAACAAATTATTTCTCAATAAAAGAAATTCCGTCTATTAATCCAGTTGAAATAAAGTAATGTACCGGATAAACTCCCAGGCCTACATACTATCTTCATCAATTAACTTATCTGGCCAGTTCTATAGTAAACAACTGTTTTCATTCACCGGTTAATAAACAGAGGAATTGGCCAGGCAAATGCCAAACGCACTAGCGTAATGATACAGATCGAGCTATCTAATAATAGACCAATTCCTGATAGCTATCGTCTTCTTATACAACCTACTCATGGGATAATAATTGTCTATCAAAAATGTTCTCTCCATCCCGTATATTCCATTAATCAAGCTCTTCTCTAGAACAGCTTATATCACTAAATATTGTTGTCAATTTGAGTCCATTTTAGAAATTACTATGGCAGTTGTCTGCATTAAATATAAACTATTAGAATTGATTTTATTACCGTATTACACGAACATAAATTTCGGGAGAATCAAAGAACAATATTATAAAAGAGGGAGAGAGACAAAAGTTTTTAATATTAATTAGGACCTTCTAAAATAAAGTTACTTACAGCTTTTGAACAAACTATCATCTACTTTTCATGGCGTCTATATATCCTTGTTGTCTTATCTGTAAGTCTATATAAGTTGGCAACGTTCTTTCAAGTTACTGCATATATTCCAACCCCGATGCCGCAGCTGTCAGACTCAACACGTGTGCACGACGATATCGAGTATACACAAGTTCGTGTTAAAGTAGAGAAGTGTACGACGTCTATAGCCAGCCTTGTAGCCAGCCTTGCTGACCCACCATGGCTCCGCACAGCAAGGCTGGCTCACAAACCCAGGGCGTCCAGAGTTTGGGCCCGGTGTTCGACGAGAAAGTGGCGTAGGGCCTGACACTGAAAAGCGTCTATAGTCGTTCGGGTGGTGCAAAAAATCGAGGTGTCGTGTACCTATGGTTGTGTCGCGTACATGTTGACGTGCACGTTAAAGAACAGTTACTAAAACAGCCCTTGATAGATGGAATTCAATTGTAGAACCTAAACCCGATTTTATTCATTCATACGCTTAATTGCCCAAGTCTAGCTTATAACGAATTCTAGAACATAACAAAAATTGCATAAAAATCGCCACCAAGTTTAAAACGGAAAAATACTTATATTAAAACATTGTCTTTACATCATCAGACATTCCGGGATGTGGGCTACTGCTTGTAAATATTTGATCATATCTTTCGCAACTATTGAAGTCGTGAACTTTGTCAATAATCAACTGTTTTAAAAATTTGGGAGAAATGGGTTTGTAACCACTTTGTTTTTCATACTTTTATTATTGAATGTTTTAAACCTTTACCATTGTTACCTATACATTATTTAAACATACATTATGCAAGAGCTAAATCTGCCTGAAATGTTACTTTGATTAACGCATCGACCATAATCAACTCTCGATGCCATCGCTAGCCTGCGATATTTACTGAATTTGAATACATTTTGTGATCGTTGATTTAATGTCAAAATGAACAATCGAGACTTTGTTTTTTTATCTACCGACGTTAGGCCTAAAATTCAAGCACTCATATATGGGTCCAGAGTGAAGCAATTTGACTGAAATTTTCAGCATATTCTCTTTACATCATCTAGTTTTTTAACTATTATAGTGAGAACTGTCAGCTCTTTATCTAATATCTCATAATTCCACGTTAAAGCAGTGGCGACACCAGCCGTCGGTGATTGGAGGGGCAAAGCTTGGGAAAAGTCCAAGGTTAAGGGGGCAAAGGCGCGAGCTTCAACTAGGGGTAGGGGGCCTCCCCCAGAAAATTTTGAAAAACAGGTTGCCGGAAATGCAGCCTGGCAGTATTTCAGGCACTGATCGATGAGGTAAAGTGTCAAACGAACGGACTTGCGAATCACGACGAAGCCCACTCACGAGCGTCAAAGTAGGGAGTCCTACTGTCGGAAATGCTGTCTGACAGTATTCTGTCAGGCACCGATCGTCGAGATAAATAGATCTGCCCAGATACCGTTCGTCGCCTGATCACTAGTTTATCTGACTAGAGAACAAAATGTCAAACGAACGGATGCGAACCTCAACGAATTCCCCTTATGAGCGCCAAAGTAGCAAGTCCATTGGGGACCTCGCCAAGAAAATTTTGAAAAATAGACTGTCGGAAATACTCTACAACATGCAAGTTTGTGACTGAGTGGGGATGTGGGATTTATTCACCGTAGAAGGTATTGATTACTGAGACGTATCACAAATACTTTTTTTTATTTTCTAAAATTATTGGGGGGGGGGGGGGGCAAACAGAGGGCAGACCGGATTAATGGGGGGGGGGGCAAATCCCCCCCTGCCCCCCACCCCCCCTGGCGCCGCCACTGCGTTAAAGATGTATACTTATTTTGATATTGATTCGTTGATATTTTTTCCCCTGGATTAACCACGTGAAAGTAGGCCTACACTATCTTTAACTTATGCGATGATCGTTTTGAATTAATTTACCTGCATTTTAGAGATTTTCATATTTGGAGAAGGGCTTTCTATTTTTTGGTAAAGTGTTTATGCCATCTCATTTTGTTTTTGGGCGTTATTCAACGCTCCCCCACACACCCCACCCCAACCCATCAAGCTGGATCAGGTTTGTAGTCAAGAATTAACCAAGCAGGTGTGTTTCAAATCATCTAAATACGGGCAGCCCAAGCCCTCAAAGGTGCAATGTTTTCAGAGGACCGGCTATATAATTCCATTCACGGATCCCTTTACTTGACCTGATATGTGGGTTTGTTGTTTGTGGTGTCTGTGGTGTCCTGTCCACAGGTTTGCCTGGTGTGTGCGGTCCAGTGACGGGGCCAGGTTTTAAAAAGTGTGTATGTGTGTGCGTGGGGTGGGGGGGCTGATTGGTGGGTTGTATCGACGGCGGAGTCCCGGCACCCGCACGGAAGCACCGAAGATTTTGAAATGTAGGCTAGATGCCCGGAGATTTAATATGAGACCATTTCAGATGTTTACATCTGCAAGGAAATCGACAGGTCAATATTTACTCCAGAAACCCTTTTTTATTCCAAATTGTATCGCCAGTCAATAATTCGATGACATGGTGAATTGCTGGATACCAAGCTAATTTTGATTAGCCGATACTAGTGCTACGCCACTCGAGTTCGGCGTCATAGTTCCGAGGATTGGGAAAAAAAATGAGGGTAGATCTAGACATTTATTTACTCCTAAATCATCTCGCGACACGCTCTTCCCCGACACGCGTCACTACCCCCCCCCCCCCTCCCCAACACCACCGCCCATTTTCTTTGCATTTTTGCACGAATCCCATAATTGACTTACTATTAACTGTGGAGGGTTGAACGGTGGATAAGTGGGTAAGACGCTGGCTCGCTAGCCTGGAGGTCGGGTGTTCGATCCCTGCATTGGCGAGAAAGTTCATCCAGATTTTCAGGCGTGGTGCCTCCCTTGTCAGGGATGCAGAACGGAGGGCCTGACAAGGAGAGCTGTCTAGTCCTTCGGATGGGACGAAACCGAGGATCCGTGTAGGCCCCTATTATTATTACATTGGCGTGCACGTATTGGCAGTTGGAATTCGATACAAGAGTAGGCCATATAGTGCCGCTGCCCGGGCAAAATATCCCACATACCACACTGTGTACCGTATATATGCCCGACTTGTTTTTATTATTATTACTCCGAGCAGAACAGTAAGACGTTAAACCCCATTTCGTTTTTTTATTTTAACTGTAAAACTTGTATCAATGATCAGTAATAATATTCCATTATTTATTGATGCTTATCCCACAATGAAATTTTAGCTCCCAAACAAAAAATACGATACGGTTGGCCTACACAGAAGATTTTATTCATTGTAGTAATACAGACGCAGCACAGTGTCGTGTATCCATTCCTAAATCACGTGACTAAGCTTTCGTCGTTTGTTATAGTTACTTTGATTGGCTTAGACTATGTTAACCAATCGGTATTATGATTACATCCACGTCGGCCTTCCAATTAATACTGAAGTGTGCACACTGCAATGTCGCATCTTCTTAAGATTTTGGCATTATTAATATGCATTTCTGTAACAAACTCTGTTTACAAAAAGAAGGAGGTAACTATGTTCTTCTATTTCAATTGGATGAATGAAAGAAGAGCCTGGTATTGGCCGAAAATAATCGGTGAACTTGTCAACGAACCGGCGAAGTTAGATTGTCGTCAGCATTTGTTTATTAATCTGGCAATTTTAGTTTACTACAATATTATATAATTAAATAATCTTATTTACCCCTATACCCAACACAACTAATAGTTAAGCAGGACCTGCCCATGAATATAACCATTGAGCAAAATAATCCCTAGAATATTGACAACACTATTAGAGGGTAGTACGTGATACTGATAATCTGATATAATAACAGTGTTATTATTGAATGTTATACTTATATATTTATATTATATGGTCATTGTCTCATTGACCCTGGCACACTACTCTTGAGAAAAGCAGTGGCTAAATACCATGCCCCAAAACACCTCAATCCTCCTTTTAGCAGTGAGAGGAAACCAAAGAACCCTGATAAAATCTGTGAGCTTTGACAGACGACCCTACTTCTGGTCATGTACAAGTGGGGAATCTAAACAACACTTTGGTTGACTCAGTCAATGACAGACCTTATGATCTAACACACATGGGTTAAACCATCTAGCCACCCAGTCCACCACTCCAAATATATATATATTTTAACAATGGATGGTGAAAAAGCTTCTTTGACTTCTTAGTTCCCTTAGGACTGGTCTCTGATCAAAACACATATTCTGTTTCGTTTCGTTTTTTTATAGTTCAAAATTTCCTTTTATTTGTCTGTATTACACTAGGATCTGGGAGAGTTGTTATATAACCTGCTTTCTGGATGGCGTGAGGGATTAGCCAATGAAACCATCTGTTACGGCTTGCCATCCACGGAACTGTGGGTAAACCACTAGAAACTTCAACGCTGATTCATTAATAAATGTCTGACGTCATAGGGTCAAACGCCATTCGTATGACCTCTGAGGAGACCCTTTACTACAACCGGTCAGATTTTCACATAGTGTAGGTCATCGAAAGTATAAAACAACAAAACGAAATATAGATCTGTATTTTAATCAGATTGTAACGCTGTCCTCTGAGTCTGACAATTCTTGTTCATCCCTATTTGTCTGTATAAAGCTGCATTCTATATCTGTAAGAATTGGGGGGTTGGATGGCCGAATGGTTAGCACGCGCGCACTGTATCATACGGTACATGTATGTCATTGAGTGAACTGGCGGGGTTTCGATTCCTGGTGGTACGTGACAAGGAGTAGGGTCACCTGTCCAACCCTGTGGGTTTTCTCCGGGTCCTCCGGTTTCCTCCCACAGCTAAAGACCCCTACGCGCAAGCGAATTATGGGAATAAAATTGAACCATATGTTAGTCCCGAAATGACCTAGTTTGTGTCGTGGACGTTGAACCCCATTTCTCTCTCTCTCTGTAAGATTTGGGTCATAAACCCCATTGTACATAAATAATAAAAGAGCTAACAATTACTTCTCTCATTCCAGGATTCATTATCAGATAAAGTTTCCCAACTAACAGAATGGAACAACAAAAAATCTGTAATTCGTTTGACTGGGGACAAGTTCCGGGAATTGGTTAAAACACCACCAAAGAATTATTCTGTTATTGTTATGTTGACAGCTCTTCAATCTAAAAGGCAATGTTCAGTTTGCAAGTGAGTTATCTTTATTTTTATATTCCATTTAAAGAAATGAAATGAAATGGGGTTTAACATTCTACTGTTCTGCTCCGACTGGGTTAATTGAAGATGGGCATACGCTATACAGTGTACTATGAGGGAAATTTTGCCAGGGCAGCGTCACTATGGCTTACTCTTATATTGAATTCCAACTGCCAAAGGATCTTTTACGTGTACGCCAATGTATACACAGGGCCTCATTTTTTCATCACATCCAAATGACTAGACAGCTGTCCTTGTCAGGCCCTCTGTCCTGCATCACTGACAAAAGGGGAACCACGTTGGAAAATCCTGATGAACTTTCTTGGCCAATGCATCCAATTAAAGAGATTCTGTGACTTTGGTGATTTAACTTGTCTTCAGGCAGCATGCTTAGATGCAGATCATTTATGTTCATATCTATTATAATTTATGATTTGACAGTTGGCAAATATATCCGTGCCTTGAATGTTATGAATTGGCAGTTGGCAAGTATTTCCCTGTCTTGAATTAGAGGGTAATAGCGTGTCATTTAATTTATGATTATTAAATATTGATGTCAAATTAAATATCTTATTCTAGACAAGCAAATGATGAATATTTGATCCTGGCTAATTCTTGGAGATATTCTCAGCAGTTTTCGGATCGTCTGTTCTTTACGATGGTGGACTATGATGAGGGCCCAGATGTATTTCAGTCGGTAAGTAATAACTATTCCATAACCATAAGATCATTTATTCTCTCACAGCAAGGGAGAGCCACAGTGGCTCAGTGAGTAAGGCACTTGCTCACTAACCATGAGTAATGCATGGCTTCCTCTTGTCAGTGGAGAAGGACTGAGAGTCTGGCCAGGAACAATGTTTGGTCATTCAGAAGGGACTGAAATCTGATGCCCTGTGTACATATTGGCATGCATGTAAATAAACCCCTGTCAGTAGGAATCAGGGATAGAACTTTATTTGAAAACACACAAGCAAAATTTTGCTTGTTGATTTCAAATGTACAAGCAAAAAAAGGATTTTGAAGAAATTCAAGGGGCAATTTTTTTCTTTAATGAAAAAACATAAAAAAAAGTTTGTGTTAATTCGGCCGTACATATTTTTATAGCTACCCTTGAAAACTCGTTTTTTTCTCATTCAAGCGTATACCTTCTTGAGGATGCATTATATAATACAAGGATAGTAAATTAAACTATAAAACATAAGTACTATATGTCAAAAAGTGTCCATTGATTTAGCAATTTTTCGGATCACGGACAGCTATGCATGACACGTACGTCCGACGCTGAAAGGGAATGATAATTAAATCAGTCTACCGGAACTCTCGGCATTATTTATATTTCTGCTTTATTAAAATTTATTTCAATCTGAAAATCAATGATTCCTTTAGAAAATCAAAGTATCGGTATAAACAATTTGTCAAGATTTATAGAAATTGAAAAGAAACGGATAATGCTAACGGGTGGAAAAGTGAGCGAGAAGTCACGTGACGTAACAAAACTCCTTATATTATAGTATTTATTCATCATTAAGCAATAAAATGTCGTAAATAACATCAAAAGGTAAACATTTTTTCAATATTTGTGTTAAATATCATCCAGAAAAATCAAAACCGCCATATATCCCTGTGGCGGTACATGTTTTTTTACTATTAATAAACTGTTTGTCAATTTGTGTCCGTGAAAGCAACGTATATTTTTGACCGATGTTGGAGTTTGTTTAATGGAATATAATGACAATAATGAAAGGACAGATAGTCGAACACTAAAAGAGGTCATTTATGATATGTGTGTATTGTTTTTATTGAATAGGGTAAACTCCAAGCCGATAAAATATAAGATTTTTACCCCAATCAGTTCGGGGGGAAAAACGCATGCGCAGATGTCACAAAACGCCGGATATAGACATCGCTTTATTTACATTTTGCAAGGAACTTAGGACTCAAAATAATCTATAGAATTTCCGTTTTTCGTCATAATTATCATCTTGATTTTGCGTAAAAGAAGAAATCATGTTATTCAGTAACAATAAGCGAAAAAATGTTACACGCATTTTTTTCCGTGTGACATATTTTGTGACACGCAGTCTACAAAATCAACACGCATTTTGCGTGTTTGCGTCCGTCAAATTCGATCCCTGGTAGGAATTCAATTGGTGTTCAAGCAAAATTTCTCTCATAGAACACTGTATGGCGTTAAACTCTATTCAATTCATTCATAGGGCCTGACAAGGACAGTTGCCATATCTTTCGGATGGGACGAAAAACTGAGGTCCCATGTACACTTTGGCGTGCACGTAAAAGATCCCTTGACAGTTGGAATTCGATATAAGAGTAGGCCGTAGTGTCACTGTCTGGGCAAAATTTCCCTCATAGCACACTGTATGGTGTATGCCCGTCTTCATTAGCCCAGTTCGGAGCAGAACAGTGGGATGTTAAACCCCATTTCATTTCATTTCATTCATTCCTTATCAAAACAAGAAAAGGTGATTTTATAATGTTTGTCAACTATATAATATCTCAAATTTCTACAACCTCCTTTTCTTTTGATACTAATTTACTTATTGTTATTCTGTGTTTTCCAGCTGAAGTTAAATACTGCACCAGTTTTTATGCACTTTCCTGCTAAAGGAAAGCCCAAGAAGGGTGACACCATGGATATTCATCGGTAAGACAAATTTTAAAATTATTTCTTATTTACATTGTTCATGCATACATGAATTGAATGGATAAGTTTTGAGATTAATGAGGAGTATATTGTGTATCCTCGGTTTAAATTATTTTATTATTTGACAGGGTTGGTTTTGCTGCTGAACAAATAGCCAGATGGGTCCAAGAAAGAACAGACATCCAGGTAAAACTTTAAAAGTCAATAATGTGTAGTTAAAATTACTAATAACATAAAATACAGTCTTGCAGATCCTCTACCATTACCAGAAATATAAATTTAAAGGAGATCAATCGCTAATATTTGGGACCTAGAAATTGACACAAATGGGTCGAACGCATATGATAATGCAATATGAATGTATATAAACTGACTTATATTCAATCGTTACTGTAATTTCTAATTGGTTATGTTCGGCGAAATATGCCAGAAGTCTCAGTCGGATGGCAATGTCTAGCGTCTGGTTATTCCAGTTTACACCGATAGTATTTATTGTGCATGCTCTCTAGATAAGAATGTGGTGCCACCGTTTGACATGACTTGTAGAATATGTCTAGCCTCGTTCTTCGAGTCCCTTGTGGAATATATGTAACCCTTCGAGTCCCTGGTTACAATGGTGCTGAAATGCACATATGGTACACGATCTGTGTACGAATGGTAATATGTTTATTTTGTCTTAAATATTGGATATCAGAAGCCCATCTTTTCCCGGTAAGATCACAACATCAATGTTGATTTAAATTGACAAATAATCCATGTTTTCAATGTCAAAGACTTTGGATGACATTTAGTTAGAGACTTAGCTACCAGGTAATTTAATAAAAAGTTGTTTATTTTTAGGTTCGGGTTTTCCGTCCACCAAATTATTCTGGTACCTTGGCACTGGCCCTGCTGTTCTCTCTGATTGGTGGTCTACTCTACCTTAAACGTAATAATCTTGAATTCTTGTATAATAAAACTTCATGGGGAATAGGTGCCTTGGTAAGTACTTACATTTATTACATAGCACAATTGTATTAACAAGTAATTTCTACCACATTAATTTAAAGCAATGATTATATCTTATCAATTACTTGTCTTCTACTTAAACTAAATCTGCCTATTGCAGGTCTTTCTTTAGGCCTGAAATATTATTTATACTATTAATTAGACATTAATTAACTTATCCAGACAATAATCAACTCTCACTGTCATCGCTAGCCTGCGATATTTACTGGATTTGAATACATTTTGTGATGGATGATGTACCGGCTTTAGTATTGAAGATCGAGGCTAGGCCTAAAATTCAATCGCTAAAATCTTGGTTCAGAGTGGAGCATATTCTCTTTACATTATCTAATTTTAAACTGTTATAACGAGAACTGTCAAATCTTTATCTAATCTCCCATAATGCTCCTTTAATCTTGTATCAGCATATGCTTGATTTAGTTTGATTGTATTGTTGTAATTTTGTATATCATTTAACACATGACATTTCTTTTGATTGACAGGCTATTATTTTTGCTATGACATCTGGTCAAATGTGGAATCATATAAGAGGTCCACCATTGATGCACAAAAATCCTCAAACAGGTCAAATGGTACAGTAATTTATTCTCTTTTCTTGAATTAAATAAAGCTGATAGATATATTTATTGAAATATTTATTTTCAGAAGTGTGAAAGAGGCATAGATATAATTTAAAGGGTATAAATAACATCTAAGTGTGGGTTATTATAAAAGTGGTCATTCCTAAATTAAAGAGATTGGTACCTTTCGGTTCTATCTTCTATACCAATTGGTGAAGAAAATGATTGTTTTCGATCCCTGCATTGGCCGAGACAGTTCATCGGGATTTTCAGATGTGGCTTCCCCTTGTCAGTGGTGCAGGATGGAGGATCTGACAAGCGACAGCTGTCTAGTCATTTGGTTGGGACGAAAAACCGAGGTTCCGTGTATACATTAGCGTGCATGTAAAAGATTCCTGGGCAGTTAGATCTTCGATATAAGAGAAGGCCATAGTGCCGCTACCCGGGAAAAATTTCTCTCATAACACATTTCTGTCTTCATTAGCTGAATTGGAGCAGAACAGTAGGACGTTAAACTCTGTTTTATTTCATTTCTTTAAATAAAGAAGACTGAATGTTTTTCTATGCTGCATAAATCCATGTATAATGACTTCTAGCGTTCTGTTTATACTTTCCAGCATTATGTCCATGCCAGTAGCCAAGGTCAATTTATAATGGAAACCTATATTGTTATGCTGTTGAGTATCCTTTAACAATTAAAAAGTGATCAATTTTAATGAAAATTTTAATAACCAAGATAGTCTGCTGTTGTTCTAATGTATTGTAAAACTATTTGAATGAAAATATTTGAATATGTGTGTGAAACTTATGCCTACATGTAACTCCTTATAACTGAATAAAATAGGTTTTAACAACCATGCGGGTTGGATGGCCGAATAGTTAGCTTGTGCGCGCTATATCATAAGGTCTGTCTTTGAGTCACCTGGCGTGGTTTCGATTCCCCGGTTGTACGTGACAAGGAGTAAAGTCACCTGTCCAACCTTGTGGGTTTTCTCTGGGTCCTCCGGTTTCCTCCCACTGCTAAAGACCCCTACACGCAAGCAAAGTATTGAAATAAAATTGAACCATATGTTAGTCCCAAAAAGGCCTAGTTTGTGTCAGTGGACGTTAAACCCCATTCTCTTTCTCTCTCTCTCTCTCTTCTTTAACAACCATGATAGGGATAAAATAAGTAAAATAAAGCTAACTATGAACATAACTTTGCAGTAGATTCTACACTGATTTTATTATAAGACAATTTATGAACTTAACTGTATATTAGATACAGCTGTTGTTGTAGGATTTATAATGCTCAATGAAGCTCATACCATGAAAAGTGATGGTAGGAAGAAAAGAAGTAAGTGATATATTTAATATTTTTTATTGACAATAAATGAATAGTATATAATTTTATAAATAGAGTATACAGTTTGCGGGATAACAGTGACTTTATATGTCCATATATAAAGTCAATGTTGAGATAACTGATTGTGTGTTCAAGCGTCAACACATGACAAGGAGTAGAGTCGCCTGTCCAACCTCGTGGGTTTTCTCCAGGTCCTCCTGTTTCCTCCCACTGCTACAGACCCCTATGCGCAAGCGAATTATTGAAATAAAGTTTAACCATGTGTTAGACCCGAAATGACCTAACCAGAGTCCTGCAAAAATTCACGTATTTCACTCATTTTTTTCAAAATAAACGCAAATATTGACGGACGCTGTGTAATTTACATGCAGAAAATTTCCCCAACGTGAGAATAATTAAATTATTCTATGTCGTAGTTTGTACAATTTATGTGCTTCACCCGGCATTTACACACCTCTACTGTAGGTAGTCTCCCTAGTTTTTTATATTTCCTCTTATTTCATTCATAAGTTCATGGCAGTAAGCCTACGTAGCTATCCTATTGGAAGCAATAAAGCGCACTTCATACAAGACTTGGGATTGGCTAGAACAAGACATACTGTTTACATTCAGCCAATCAAATGTTGGCTTTATAGCGATAGTTTTCTCTTTACGTCCTGTTGAATAGAAGATTGAAATGACTGTGCCGTCAACCGTAGACATGCCGTTAACCGCCAGTCGTCATTAGACTAAATACAGTAGGCATATCAATAAAATAAGGACGCTTAAAATAGGGTTGTTCACAAAACGACTTTACATGCTTCTATATTGAGTATTTTGAGAGGCTCTTCACGCAGATGTAGAGGGCAAAAACGCAAAATTTTGGAATGTCTGCGTATTTTTATGCAACTCGAAATTGATCCACTGCGACCTCTGGACCTGACATATCAGATCAATTCAATTCAGTATTGATTTAAATAGAAGAGGTTTAACTGCTGTTGTTCTTCTTAGTGTTTAACGTCAGCTTCCACCAAAGGTCATATCACAGACAAGTCTTATTTTTTTTTTTATTATTATCTTAGCGCATGCGCAGAGGTCTTTCCTGTGGGAGGGAACCGGAGTACTCAGAGTAAACACCCGAGGCTGAGAAGGTCCCCCATCTCCAAGCCACATACGCTCACACCAGTTATCGAAACAGCCGCAAGCCAGAGGTGACCGGCCAGCTAGTGATCGAAGTGCGGCACTCTAGACCACTAGGCAATCCAAACCCCCCAGGTCTTTAAGGATTATATAATATACATAAATCAATTAACTGTTAACCACAATATACATTTCTTTCATTGTAGTTATGGCCCTAGTTGGATTGGGATGTGTAGCTATTTTCTTCAGTTTATTACTGTCTGTTTTCCGTTCTAAATATCAAGGCTATCCATACAGGTAATTAATTTAGTGTTGTCAAAATACTCTTGAAATTCCGTAATCTGAAGTCGACTTTGGATCTTTTCATAAATTATTGTTTGACTGAATTAACGACTTTATGGAATGGGATGTAAATAATTTGATATATTATGTTTAAAAAAAATAAATTACAATTTAAGACTTATTCAATGGATTAGAAATCTTAAACAAGCATTATGCAAGAGCTAAATATGCCTTTAGGTCTTAAATGTTATATAAACTATTAATTAGACATTTATTAAAGATATTTTCCCACATACAAACTGTGTGATTTGATGATATATTTGGACTAAAAACATATTCAAATCGATTAATCTATCAAAGATTTGCTTCAAATCCCTCTCAAAACTTTGTGTTCGCAGGGAGATACCTCAAGCTATAAATAAACTGTTGCTAGACGCCATGTCTGTCATTTCACTTCATTTACCATACCTGTTGCGGCTTAAGTAAATTGTTAATGATTTTCTGACAACTTCTTTTTCTGCCGATTATTTGCAGAGTCTTTTGTACGTTGACACCCCTCAATGTTCCCTAACCGCCAAACCATTTGATCAAGAAGTAACCGCTCCCTCAGTCAAGCTAGCACACAATAAGCTAGCAACAGTCGGGTTGCCAGTTAGTGATACCCTGACATTTTTGCCCAGTGCTTGCCCCATGGGTGTTTTGGAGGTACTCCAGTATTTTTCTAGTAAGATTGGGTGTCTATACTTTATATATATACCAAATTTGCCATACTTTTATTGGAAATAACCACCCGATAAATACTTTCGGGACAATGTATCTTTAACATGACAAGACCATAATCAACTCTCGACATCGGATGGGCCTTATATTAAGTAGATTAAACAGTTCGGCCATTTAATGATGCAAACCTTCAAAGGCTAATATCTTCGCTCAGAATAAAGTAATTTTCATGCAATTTTCAATATTCATTTCTCTCCAGCTCTTTATCTAAACCTTACATAATGCTTCCTTAATTTTTTTTTTTTTTTTCAGTTTCCTTTTCAAGTAATGAGGATGAAAACTTAGCTGTTACCTTTAAGGTTCTTTTTTAAATATTAAGTAAAAGTCATTTCAGTTACAGTTTTAAATTTTCTAATGTTCCTTCTTTATTATGTTTTAACCATTAGATTTCATTTTGTAATTCATATCACTATACTAGTGATGATGGGTCATGTTAACCATACCCTGCATTATAAATAGCGTAGTCTGTATTTATATTTTATATAAGGGCATCATTGTAATACAGATGATCCATGTAATGTACAGTCAATTTTTGATTTATTAAAGTGAGAGTTTTTTTTGTTAGAAATGTCAGCTTGAAGCAAAGCCGCTGATCATAATCCCATGGATTTTGAATCCCTTGCAAACAACAATTTTATTATCTCGGTCACCCTTGGACCTCCTAGTTTGGTTTTTTATGTGGTCTATTATCCAGTATCTCTGTATCAAGTCGGGGAGGGGGGGGGGGGTTGGATGGTCGAATGGTAAGCATGTGCGTGCTGTATCATAAGGCCTGTCATTGAGTCAACTGGTGTGGTTTTGAATCCCCGGTTGTATGTGACAAGAGGAGTAGGGTTGCCTGTCCAACCTCGTGGGTTTTCTCTGGGTCATCTGGTTTCCTCCCACTGAAATTAAACCATATGTTAGTCCCGAAATGACCTAGTTTGTGGCAAGTGGACGTTAAACCCCATTTCTCTCTCTCGCTCTGTATCAAGTCAAGTAAGAGTTGTGCCCCTTCCCACACTAAATCCCATAATACTTGCATTGTTATAAACAAACATGAATCGTGACGAATTCGCAGTAATTAAAAACAAATAGATGTGGCCCATGAAGAGAGAAATTTTACAATAAAAAATTTTAAGTGTTGGCTATTGAATGGCATGCTTAAATTAATTTCATGGGCATCAACATCTTGTTTTAGGACTAGTTACCTCCCTTAGACGTTGTTTACGATAATGTAAAAGATCAGATGATCTAGCCAATGACCTATTATTCTCAAATGTTGACAATGCATCCAGACTAATATTCATGGATGATAGAGACTACAATGTTATGAAAGTTGAATCTCTAAAAGAAGTGTCTGCCCCAGTAAGCTTCAGTTCCGTTCAGTATTTACAAAGATTTAGCATCGGATAATATAAACAAGCCTGTGCTACCTATAATCTTTTTAATCTGATTAAAGCCATTGATATTTTGGTGGTGTTTTTCTTTAATTAAATGTTAAATAATAAACTAAGTACCTTTTTGGGTGGATTAAGTTGTGAAAAATTAGATATCTAAAAAAACACATTAGTGGCTTTAAATACTGTGGTTATTATAGTTTTGCTTTATCAGTTTCAAACGTTTCGATATTTAAACTATGCAAAAACTTTGTAAAACTTTCAAAATGCTTTAATCAGAATTGTTTTATTCAGTTTTTACTATAATTGTAATATGTTAGCAAGTAATATGGAAGAGCTTACAGTTTACAATCATGAGTGTGGGATACATCATAGTCTTATTTACAAGTTGGAAAAGTTACTTGTATTGGACAATACAAGGAAACTTGTCAAAAATACATAGACATGAATACAGCACAAACATTAGAATCATGCTTTTTCAAATCTAATTTGTATGTAATTAAAATGTAGTGTGAGTAGGGTTAAAATATTCAGAAATTACCATACATATTTATCTATCTGGTTTTTGTTGTTTTGTATATTTTCCATGTATATCTATTTTGTCAAATTGTTTAATGTAAATAAAATTGTGGTTAAATAAGACATGTGTTTTATTGTTTTTGGTAAAGGGAGCTCTGTAGGATTGCAATCTTCCTCATCAATATAGTAGGCCTACTTTATTTTGATACATCATGATACTCTATATTATAGCCTACTATATAGTTATTGCAAATAAAGCTATTCAACATGCCATTGATATTATAGGCCTAGCCTATGGTATACAGATTTTGCTTTTTTAATTTACGGAAGAATATAGCTGTGTGGCCTGGCGACCTATCCTTGTCGGCACAGGCTGCACATTCGTGAGAGTTATTGGAGCAAGCGAAATACATATTCCTGAAGCAATGACCCGTGAAATCCCTCTTGACGACTTGAGTGGGATTGGATTAGGTCAAATAAAACGAAACACTGCGAGGAGTATGGCAGTGACATGAAGATGGGGCACTCGCCAATAGATATTACAATACATTCTAGGTTTCTTTTATTTTTAACTTTTTCCCAATGTATAGACTGGCAAGTGATACTGTACTGTGGATATTATTCTGTCGAACAGTAGCAACGACATTCTTTGACCTATATTTGTCAAGGGAGATAATAATGATAATGCTCTTCTTTGAAAAAAGATACGAATGACCCCAAGTTCATTTATGGTGATAATGGAACACAAAGCCAGATTTTTACCGTTATTTTAGTTTCTTGATGTCAAATATGACAACAATTTTTGGCCAAGTGACTGCTCAAGTTGCGGACGATCTGCCAAAAAAGTTTCCAAATGACTTTGATTTTTCTTCAATGATAGAGAAGGTCAGTGAAGATGCGGGAGTCGTACTTCTGTTCTCAGAACAACAATATAAACTTCAAGGCCTCTGGGTGTCCATGGAAAAGGCCTACAGCCTTCTAGCTACGACGCTTGGAATATATGGTGCTAGAATAACGTCAACTAAAAATGAAATAACAGTTTCCAATCATTCTGATGTCTTCAAAGGAGAATGTCTCTCAAATCCAAGTAATGAAAAGGACAAAGTTAAACAAAATGAAAGTGGGGATGAAAATAATAAAGGCAATAAAACCAACAATCATTCTGTCCCAGAAAAAAACAATGACTTAATACCTCAAAATCTAAATACCATTATTGATTGTTCAAAAGAAATAGAACCATTGAATTCTAGGTCTACAACTAGACGACCACGGCTTTGCAATGGCAAACATAAAAAGAGTGATAAAAATGTTTCAGAAACTGTAAAAGAAACTAAAAAAAGACAGGGTAGATCTAGACTAGCTTTAAAGAATACAGGCAGCATTAAACCTAACAAACTAGAGCAAACTGGCCCAAAAATCTCTTCTAATGACAATGCCAGTAATACTGGCTCAAATGATGCCAGTACTCAAGGTGTTCAGAGGAGAAAAAGAGGAAGACCAAAGAAAAATCTGAGTCTGACATCATCAATAAGTTCTGCTACCAATTTAGTAAAACAAAAAATTTACAAATACACAAAATATAAATCAAATTTTGTTCGTAGACCGTTTATTGTGAGATCTTTATTACAAACAGATTTAAGTAAAAACATTAACAACAATAAAACCTCAAGCAAAGAAGAACTGGAAGTTGTAGAAAATGAAGACGATAATGAGGATGATAATGGAGCAGATGATGGGGACGATGTTAACGATGCAGATATTACCGAAAAAGATATTATTGATAATGGTGAAGATGAAGATGATGATGATGATGTTCCAGTCACATTTACAAGAAAACGTGGAAGAGGACGACCCAGAAAAAGTGATGCAGAAAAAAAATATCCCTGTTCAGATTGTGATTTTGTTGCTGTAAACGGAAACATGTTAAACGATCATAAACATAGAACACACAGAGCTTTTCCTACAAAGTGTGATGTGTGCCATAAGGTTTTTCCAAATAAAAGATACATGATGCGTCATAGAACTTCTCACGTAGAACCTCAACATTGCTGTGATATTTGTGGCAAAATGTACAAAGTGAAAAAATCAATGGAGGACCATAGAAAAACTCATGATGCTGGCTACACAAAACCTGTCTTTGATTGTTCTCAGTGCTCTAAAAAGTTTTGTAATGGATATATTCTGAAGTGTCATATTAAATCTGAGCATTTGGGCGAGAAGAAAAGTTTTCTCTGCTCTCGATGTGGTAAAAGCTTTACGACTAAACATTCTCTTCAAGAGCATTCAAATGCTCATATAGGATTAAAACCACACGTTTGTGACATTTGTGGGAAAGGCTTTAATTACGAATCAGCGCTTCGTGATCACAAATACACGCACACAGAAAGTAGAAAGTTTACATGTTCAATTTGCAATAAACATTTTTGTCAACGCTCAAGTCTTAAAATGCACATGAGGATTCATGCTGTGGATAAGAAATTTGTATGTGAAGACTGTGGGAGAGGGTTTACACAAAAACAGGCCTTGCAAAGACATGAACGTGTTCACAAAGGATTTAAACCTTTTGTTTGTAAAATATGTCGACGAACTTTCACTGATTCCTCTATAATCAGACGTCACCTTATTCTCGTTCACAAAATTAACAAGGATTCAAATTCTTGGCGTGAAGATATTATTTGTAAAATTGGTCCCACAAAGTTTAGAGTAGAAAAGATTGATGAAGCAAAACAAGAAGTTTGTGAGCAAAGTGAAGAGGAAGTCATTGAAGCTTTGCCTTCCTTCCATACACAAACTGTTGAACATTCATATTCTGTGAAAGATGATTTAGATACATTAGGGAATGGAGACAGTTTATCAGGTCACATGCCCACAGAAAATAATCACCATCACATACAGCTGGAAACCTGTCATTCTAATTTATTGTTACCTCCCTTACCTTCAACCACATTACCTCAGGTCATTGATTATTCTGACAGAAATACGAACAGTGTTAACAGTATGCATTCTTCACATGGTATGATAGCAGACGACAGACAAAACGCCATGGTTGAAGATCAACAAGCAGCAGTAACCACCTCAAGTCCTACCGTTTGGTCTATTCCAGTTCATGGACGAGATCAAAATATTCAAAACCACCATCATCCTCACCATATAGCCACAACCACTCATCACCAGCCAGAGAATCAACCTCAGATTGATATTGGTTCACTTGATCCAAGAGATTATCCACATCTTCACAGATCTGCCACACCTCAATATCTTCCCATCCAAGATGTGGATAATCAAATGCGATGTAATAGCGTTAACTATGCACCAGATATACGTCATCATGAGGTACCATCTGATCCCAACCATCCCTCCACTTCGCAAGCACAATGGCCCTCAATTTATGCCTACTACAGTCAACTAGCAAGTCAGTTTGGTATGAATTTAAATGAATACCCACCATCTTCTGGTTATGGTATGCATCCTCAGGGAAGTCCACAACAACAGCAACAACAATCACAGCAGCAATAAACTTTAATTTAAAACTTGTGTGTGTATGATTGAAATATGAATATAATGTTTAGTTTATGTATTATTATTATTATATGCTTATTAGATCTCTCTTTAAAAATTTTGTCACATTTACTAACTTATTATTTTTTTACACGATATTGTCTATGGTTGGTTAGCTAAACCTTTTTGATTTGGGTTTGTTATGGTGTTGATTTGTTTCGTGGGATGATCAGTTGAATATATAGACGAATCCAGTCTTGACCTCCACTGAATCTTTTGAAACAAAACTTTTAAATTCAATTGGGTCTGATCCATCAGAAATTGAAATAACATGTCAGATCACCTCAAATTAATATTTTATTTTGACCTTTGTCCATGTGAGCTATTATCTGTTTTACAATGTTAAAAATAGTTTTTTTTAAGATTAACTTGTTATTGAATGGTTTGTTTTGTATTGATAAATTTTAAAGCATGAACCTATTAATGAATTTTTATGATTGCTTTCTTTGTAGAAATTGACCTGGTTAAAGGCTCTTTTCTTTAAATATTTAGTGGAGTCATACAGGTGTGTGAAGCTGTGAAGATCACCAATATGATTAATTTCTGTATGACTAAATGTTTGTTATTGTTATTATACTGGTTATTATATTATACAACCCTGTCCGTTTCAAAAGTGGAGGGTTTTTTATCACCAGAATTCTCAAAATTTGTGGGGGGTGGGGAGGTTCTAGTGGTTTAATGTCTGCATGTTGCATCATAAACTGTTGTTGAGTTAAGTGGCATGATTTTGATTCCCAGCTTGTATGTGACAAGGAGTAGAGTCCCCTGTCCAACCTCGTAGGTTTTCTATGGGTCCTTTTGTTTTCTCCCACTGCTAAAGACCCCTATGCACAAGTGAATTATTGAAATAAAATTGAACCATATGTCAGTCCTGAAATGACCTAGTTTGTGTGGCCTGGAGTTAAACTCTCTCTCTCTCTCTCTCTCAAAATTTTCTTGGATCTATATCTAAAGAAAGTATATTTGTATTTCTCTGGGCTTTCGTTTTGCTAAAATTATTTGAACACCATTGATGTTGCAATAACTTTTGTTGACTGAGCACAATACAGGGCCAGATGTAGGCATATGAAACCCAATTGTGTTTTATCAGTTATTGTGGGCTTTTTATTTTCTATGGGAATTTGAGATCTAGGCGTAGTAATACCATGTAAAAATTTATATACCTAAAATGAAGCCAAAGATGTATATAATTTATACTGTTTGAATGGCATTTAGTAATTGAACACATTAAAATAAACACAACAGTTCTATAATTGGAATGACATACATTTGAGATCTAATTATTGGGTGTGCTTATCCCTCCTTAAAGATACATTATGCAAAAATAGATAATTAAAAAAAATGAATATATGGTAGATTTCATTCAAATAACTTTATTCTGAGCAAAGATAATTTTAATGTTTTGACAAGAAATAGCCATAATTGGCAGGTAGTAACTATGCATACATTTCAAAAACTAGATTGTCAACTACCATATTGCCATTATAATAAACAAAGTCTTGATTGTCGACCTTCAATGGTCAGTATCCAGCCGTATTATCGTTTGACGCATACATGGCGGTTATTGTCTAATCCACTCAATATTTAAGCCATCTGACTGCTGAGAGTTGATTAAGGGCTTGTCATGTGAATAAATGTATAAATAGTAGTTTATATACCGGTATTATTTGAAGCCAGAGAAATGCTCAGCAATAGGCAAGTTTAGCTCTTGCATTATGTATGACCCTTTAAGTTGACAGCGGGGTTGGATGGCCGAATGGTTAGCATGTGCGTGCTGTATCATAAGGTCTGTTATTGAGTCAACTGGCATGGTTTCGGTTCCCCAGTTGTATGTGACAAGGAGTAGGGCCGCCTGTCCAACACCGTTAGTTTTCTCTGGGTCCACCGGTTACCTCCCACTGGTAAAGACCCCTACGCACAAGCGAATTATTAAAATAAAATTGAACCGTATGTTAGTCTCGAAATGACCTCGTTTGTGTTAAGTGGACGTTAAACCCAATTTCTCTCTCTCCTCTTTAAGTTGATTTTAATGTACTTATATGAGATTCTAGATGTGAATCATCTATTTACTTCTAAGATCTTGAATTTAGTTGATATTTTTACAACAGTTAATGCTTCAAGATATATTTTTGACTCTTATTAATTATTCCTCCTGATGTAATAGCAAACTGCTGAATTGGTGGTCTCAATACTTATTTGAAAGAAAAACTTAATTAAATCAATGATAACAACCTAGGCTATCAGGTTTGGTTGACCATAATGTTATCCAAAACTTAATTAAAACAATTAGTTAATCTATACTGTGTCTGATTTTGGAAAAGCTTTTAGCCATATTTTTATGTATTTTTTTTGGAGATTTTATTTAGTTTCAAATAGTTTGTAAATATTCCAATATGCACAGTTATGAAATGTCATAATGTATTAATATATCAGTTTATGCTAATATATGTGTATGTCTACATAAAGTATTAAAATTTATATCCAAACCCCAAATGTTGTATTGATTAACATATAAATATACCCTATCATTATTATGAACAATCCACACCAGTGGAGAACAATAACCTGTTCTACTTTGGATCATTATATACTATTCAAAAAAAGTAGGGGATATTTGATTTTGGGGGCATAATACTAAAATATGCAAATGACTACGAAAAAAGTCACTATAGAACCTAACAGAAGAAACATTTCCAGTTACATGTGACGCCCAAACGCACCAATAGCTACCGCATGGAATGCAGGTGATGCTTGGGATCATCATGGGGGTCCAACCCAAGATTTGCACGACTCTGACTTTGAATGTTACAGTCATTGTGGCATTGAATTCCAGGGTGGAAACATCAGTTTAATTGTTTTAGTGACCAGAAAACAAATTTTGATATGCGTCGGCTTACCCAAAATGAAAGGTTACGTGCCCTTGGCATGCTACAGATCGGCACAACACAGGCGGTTGTGGCACGGACGATGAATGTTTCTCAGTCTGTCATAAGCAGGCTATGGTCCAGATACCGTGATACACAATCTGTACAGGACGGACCACGCTCAGGTCGACCAAGGCGACAACTCAAGCCCAGGATCGATTTATCCGTACCTTGGCCTTGAGAAATCGTGTCATCACAGCAAATCAGATCAGCGCTCGTCTTCAAACAGACACTGGTGTGAGAGTGAGTGGCCAGGCGATTCGGAATCGACTGCATAGGGGTCACCTTCGCGCCCGACGTCCTCGCGTGATCCCTTGTTTGAGAGATCATCACATTCAGGCAAGACGTCGTTGGTGTAGGGATCGTCAACACTGGGATAATCGACGCTGGAGCAATGTGATGTTTTCAGATGAGTCAAGGTTCACTGTTGATTTTTTGGACAGACGTTAACGTCATCAGACATGATCGATTTGGGGGTGGTTCTGTTATGGTGTGGGGAGGCATCACTGTTGCTGGAAGAACGGCTTCACATGTTGTTGCAGGGCGTGTTACAGGCCAGTACTACCGGGACAACATCTTGGCAGTCCATGTTGTGCCGTTCGCACGACGTCATGGCCGCCGTTCCATCTTCCAGGATGACAACGCAAGATGTTACAGGGCCAGGATCGTTACAGGTTACCTCCAACAACAGAACATCACCACATTACCTTGGCCAGCACTGAGTCCCGACCTCTCCCCTATCGAGCATGTCTGGGACATGCTTGGACAGAGGTTACGTCAACGTCAACAACGTCCTGCCAATGTCCAAGAACTTGCTGCTGCGTTGCAACAGGAATGGGACAATCTGGACCAAAATGACCTTATTATAGACGTCTCATTAGGAGTATGCCACGTCAGATCAATGCTTGTTTGGCAAACAGAGGAGGATTTACGCGTTACTGACTTGGTTGTGATGCTGTGGTAACTTTGCTGTTTGACCCCGGGTATCATTTTACCCTTATAATGGTCAGTCTGTGCCTTACTTAGTCTAACGATCATTTGGAATAAATCGATGAATGTGAACTTCATTTCATTTTGTCATTTGTTTCTTCGTCAGTTTCATTAGGTGACTTTAATAACACTTAATAAATCAAATATCCCCTACTTTTTTTGAATAGTATATCTTATATAATGACCTTTTCCTGACCTCTACAAGTCTACACCATGACCTTTCAAATAATTGTTTTGAATATTATTATTGGAGCCTTTAATGTAATCACATTTATTTGTAAACTGCACAATGAAACTCAAGAATACGTGGAAGGGTGGTGGTGGTGTGGGTGTGTGTGTGTGTGTTGTCATATAGAGTAAAATTTAACGTCCTAGTCTTCTGCATCAACCAGTCTAATGAAGACGGAATCATACAGTGTGCTATAAGGCAATTGTCATAGGTTCCTTTATGTGCATGCCATCATGTACACTGGACCTCATTTTTTTGTCCCATCTAACTGTGAGTCACTGTAACTGTGAGCTAGCATACAGAAATGGACCTGACCCCTAATTGGAATGTGGTTGTATATTGTTGTTGCCCATGTCCGTCCGGCGTCCACAATTGCTAAAGTTAATATCCGATTGTCTTTAAATTTATACACAGTGTTTAAGGTCATGAGATGAAGAAGTCTCTTGATTTTCAAGGATTTCCGATAATTACTGCCTGAGTTTTTAAGACCCTTGATTACTTCAAAAAATCTTGTGGATACTCTACAGGCCAAAGTTATCATTCAATTGACTTTAAATTTAAACACAGAGTTTAAGATCTTACGACAAACAAGTATATTGATTTTCAAAGATTTTTGATAACCAAATTCATGCTATTAAATGTTTTGTATACTAAATGTTAGCATGGTGCAAAACTAGAAGACAAACAAATTTTTGTGATTTCTGATAATTACATGATGTGGGCATATGTTTCGTTGCCTGGCAAACTATCTTTATGTATGTTTGTGAGTAATATTTTATTAGATGAACATACAAAATAAAAACCATTGAAGTGTAACATTAAAAAAAATTGTTTGCAGATACGGTTTATCTCCCTTTAATGACTTTCTAGAAAAGAAGATTATTTTGGTAAAGGGTACCTGCCAAAGTAAGAATATTTTTTAATGTTAAAACTTGTTATGGATTTTGTGTAAACAATACTGTCCTTTCAACATGACTGACGACGATGAGATAGAGGTGTTTATATCTGCCTATGCAGAAATTTCAAAAGATTATATCAGTCGTTTTGAATTTCCTAATCAAGAATGTGTTCAACAGTATCTGAAAAGTGTGAGTGAAAAGGCTGGTGCAGAGTTGATTTCTCACTGCAATGATACGAAAGATAAAACTTTTACCGTTAAGGGACCCTGGATTTCTGTTAATCGTGCTCGATCTTTTCTCCAGAACTTTCTCACGACATTTGACAGTGGAGATCTCCGAAATATAGAGATTAATGAAGCTGAAGATGACATGATAAGTGAATCAAAGAATTATGTCCAAAAGGATGATGTCTCCCCACAAAATAAAGGGGGTAATGGAGCAGTACCAAAGCCAATTGTTATGTATGATGGTTTGGAAAAAGAGGATATTTTAGAGAACCAATATAGGCAAACACCATTGAAACGAATTGGAAAAGCCTTGAAGAATGCCTATAGCTTTTCTAATAAACACCCAGCCATAACAAATGATAACAGTGAGCCTGCTGTTGCTGAAAAAGTTCCAAAAATCACACTGACAAAAATCAAGGATGATCAAGTTATTCCAAAAGATGAAGATGGACAGATGCAATTAGAAACTGCCGATGAGAATGACAATGAAGATGATGATGATGATGATGATGATGAAATTGCTGACGAAAGAAACCTGTCTGACGCTGATTATGATCCGCCCGATATTAAAATTAAGAAAACGCACCATCGTAAGTCTTCAGCTACTAAAAAGCCACTAAGACCTCAAAGAAAAAGAGTATCACTTAAGAAGGTAGCACTGAAAAAGACAGTTCAAACAAGAAGCTTAAAAGACAGAAAAGAAAAATTTGATCCAATTAAGTCCAAAATAGAAGAACCGTTAGTTAAGTTTTCTAAAAAAGTTGTAAAAATGGAGGAGAGTGAAACAGATTCTAAGATTAGAGTCCCGTCCCAACTGAGTAAAAGATCGAGGAAAACTAATACTCAGCACCGACGACGGCTAAGTGATGATGATTCTGTTGACTATCCGTGTCCAGAATGTCCATATTCTGCAAAAAAGAAATCAGGTTTGAGAGAGCACAAGCGACGCCTTCATAGAACTAAAGACTTCGCATGTGATAAATGTGGTAAAATATTTGGTTTTGGTAAAGACTTGACCAGGCACAAAAAATCCCACGAAAAACCTCAAAACTGTTGTGATATATGTGGCAAACTCTATAAGGGCATAAGAACATTGGCAGAGCACCGTAAAACTCACGATGACGGGTATGAAAAACCGGAGTTCCAATGCGATTTGTGTGACAAATCCTTTAGTACTAAATATGTCTTGGCATATCATATTAAATCAGATCATCTTGGAATGAAAAGAACATATCTTTGCCCAACATGTGGGAAAAGTTTCTCCCAAAAACATTCTTACTTACAGCATGCAAACGTTCATTTAGGTATACGACCCTATAAATGTGAACTCTGTGATAAAACTTTTGCCTACGAAAAGTCCCTCAAAGAACACAAATTTATGCATGATAATATTCGTAGATTTAAATGTGACTTGTGTGATAAAAGTTTTAGACAAACGTCGGCTTTAGCCATACATGCTCGTATTCACAAGGAGAAAAAAGATTATGTTTGCTCTTCTTGTGGCAGAGGATTCAGTCAGAAACAGGCCTTAAAAAGACACGAGAGAATTCATTTGGGGGAAAAACCTTTTGTTTGTGGTTTGTGTAATAGGAACTTTACTGATGCCTCAGTACTTCGACGTCACATGATACTCATTCATAAAAAGGAACCGAAGAAATGGCGAGAAGACACAGTTTCTCATGTAAAAAGAGCTCAATATTTTATTGATGTACTGAATAAAAATGTGGAGAAAGAAACAGGAGATGGTGATATGTTACTAGAATTTGAGCAAACAGAAAAATTTGTTAATGATGATGAAAATCAAGCAGAGACTGAATATGATGAAAAGAAGGATGGAACCGATATGGATGACAGGCCTGTTACTGAGGAAGGAATTTCTAGTGAGAAACAGGCTTTTCAACCAGATACTAACTATATACTTCCATTACCATTAATAACGCCACAGAATCCTGGAACTGTCAACAACTTTATGAATCCTCCCTTTGATCCTGTTGCCATGTTTTCTCAGCAGATTACCCCCGGAACATATAATCAACATTTTATAAGTCACACTGGTACCCTTCATACCCTAGAAACCCTTCAACCACAGCATCAGCCACAGTATTATCCTGCAAACTTTAATGTTGAACCAACTAAACAGTATGAACAAAACCAACCAAATCCAGATATTTAAAAATATAATCTGATGAATATTAGCATTTAATACATAAAAATTCAAACTATATCAACTAATAGTTTAGCCAAACAATTGTTAATATCAGATATATTAAGAAACCTTTTTGTTTACATACTGTATAGCAGCAACCGATTGTTCAACCCCTCTGTTTGTGCATCTTTAATATAAGGCTTGATCTCGCTTTAACTACGTACATCTTATCAAGGCTTCAAGTAATACCTCCCAGATTTCAGCACTATCTGATTACTCGATCATCGCAAATATCAACTCTCGCACTCTCCAGCTAAAATATTTACCTGTGATAATCGAGTTGCAAAGTTCAAGGTTTGTTCAATGTCAAGGTTTTCATGAAGGTTACTATGTCACAACCTCTGACTGATTGGACGCTACTGTCTGCACATAACGTAGCTATAAGTTCATGAATCATAAAGTAATTTAGCAACGTCCAGATATTATAAAACTTACAGTCGTTGCTTCAGGAACATGCTGTTTGTGTGGATCACCCAAGTCAATTGTTGCATAATTTTAGGACTTGTACATCTGTTTATTATTGCATTTTACACACATTGAAAGATATATTAATTTATATAGAAGTTATTCATTCAACAATACACATTATGATTTTTGTTTTTAAATAGGTTATAATAATATATAACCTTTTATTATGAATTATACATAAAGACAACAATTTATATATAAATTTATGGTTAATAAAATGTTATGCTCTATTTATGAATTGATCAGAAGAAACTCTATGTATGTATTTATTTTTATACGCCAACATTTTCATGTGGATGTATTATGCCGTCGCCCCTGTCTGTCCACAATTTGTTTGTTGACAATCTACAGGTCACAACTAAGATCTTGGTTGCTTTCGATATTCGCGCATATCGAGTCATAACTTCCTGAATTATGGCTCCTGATTGTACGAAAAATCACGTTTTTAGCTTGTAGTCCCTCTAGAAGTCACAATTATTATCTGAATTAAAAAAAAAGTTAGAATATATAACCGTTACACTGTAATGTAGGTTGAGTTCAAATTTCGTGAAAATTGGATCAAAACTGCTGCACAAAATGGCCATCCCTCATACGCAAATAGTGTAAAAATATGGTATATCAAGGTTGTTGACCTTCTAGAAGCCACATTTTTGATGAAACTTTAAATTTATATTTATCTCACAAAGATCTTGGTTCCTTTCGATAATCGTGCATTGTGGCCCCTGATTATATTAAAAACCACTTCTTTTTTTGAGCATGATCTCTGTCCATCTCTTGCAAAATGTGGGCGTATCTTGCATGGCAACTGCTTGTTAGCCTTCATTGTTAATTGATACTATTGTAAAACTCAGAAGTTTTATTAATTATATTTGTCAAACTTTAGCATCTGATATAATAATGTACATCCATGTCCTATATGGGGTATTAGATATTAGGACTAGAGTATTAAATAAAAAGAAATAAACTAATCTAAACATTTTGTATGTAGAACTATCTAAAGAAACTATGGGTGAACTAAATGAACTTGGTTACTTCCATTAACTAACCCTTATATTGGTACAGTAATAAGTCTATATACATGTAGCAGTGGTTAGCTAAGCAACAGCTGTGCTGTAATTGGATTGTATTCAAACAGTTAAAGATACATTAGTTAAGAGCTAAATATGTCTGTTGCAAGTCTTTCTTTAGCCTTCAGTTGTTATAGAGATTATTAATTAGTCCTTTATTAACATAACAAGCCAAAAATCAACTCTGTAGACCCTTGGATGGCTTGGATTTCAACAGTCGTCCATTTAATTATTAAATCAATAAATGGCTGACCAGACTAACATTTACCATTAATCACGGACTTCACTACCAATGGAAAGACTGATAATCAAGCCTAGCTTAGGCATTGAGAATGTTACTTGATAATCGAGAATATGCGGGCGAGTTATCGTCTGTCAATCAAACGATCGGCAATTCATGGAGATGGTGCGGAGACAGTTGATACCTATTTCTAGTCCAAACCTCCAACAATGATAACTTCATTCAGAATAAAGTAATTTGACTGAAATTTTTAATATTTTCATTTTTTATCATCTATTTTTGAACTGTTATATCAAGAATGAACAACTCTTTATTAAAATCTTAACTGATGTATCTTTAAATTGCTCTTCTTAGGCATTTGTATCTTGAAAATATTCAAGTTCAGCTATTATAACAACAGACCATTTAAATTACATCTTTTACATGAATGCCCACATATAGACAGGACCTCAGATTTTTGTCCCACCCAAATGACTTGATGTCGTTCCTTCCCAGGCCATCCATCCTGAACTGTGGAAACCTGGCTGTAAAATTTAAAGGAGCTTTATCGGTCAAACGATAACATCGGGCCCTTAGACCTCATAGTTAGTGAACTAGTCTCTTACTCACGGAGACCCTCTACTCATAACAACCAAATATCGGCCAGTCAAATTCCTTATTGCTCTGCTTACACTAAGCAGAAAATACTCGCTATCGAAATTGGGCAACATATTACTGCTTAGCCTAAGCAGAGTATTCTCGTCTTTGAACTCCAAGACATTCACCTAATAAACACCTACACCAAGTTTGAGAGAGAGAGAGAGAAATGGGGTTTAATGTCCACTCAACACAAACTAGGTCATTCCGGGACTAACCCATGGTTCAATTTTTATGTCAAAAATTTGCTTGTGCGTAGAGGTCTTTAGCAGTGGGAGGAAACCACCAGAGGACCCAGAGAAAATCCATGAGGTTGGACAGGTACCCCTACTCATTGTCACATACAACCGTGGAATCGAAACAACACCAGTTGAATCAATGACAGACCTTATGATACAGTGCCCATGTGCTAACTATTCGACCATCCATCCCCCCTACGCCAAGTTTGAACATTCTACTGCAATTAGAAGGTGTCCCAAACCATTGACCAATTAAATTGTTTATATTCCGCTTAGCTGAAGTCGTAAACAGAGTATGCTCATCTTCAAACCTAATTAACCTATCCAGACCATAATCAACTCTAGATGGCATCGCCAGCCTGCGATCTTTGGTGGATTGTGAGCTGATTTACTGCATAACTTTTCTTCACGATTTAATGATTCAATGGATAATCGAGACTATGCTGTTTAACGTACTGACTTTAGTAATGATGATCAAGGCTAGGCGGAAATTTGATCGTTTTGTTCTCGGTTCATAGTAGATCAATTTGAATGAAATTTTCATCAAATTGCCTTTACATTATCTAGTTTTTAACTATTATAGTGAGAACTGCCAACTCGTTATCGAATCTCCCATAATGTATCTTTAATTGAGATTATAACATTTCCTCATAATATAACAATGCGGATTCAAAATCTACTTTTATTTTTTATTTAATTCTGAAATATGAGTCTCATGATATTTTCTGTAGTATGACACACCAATTGCCCTGATCATAATAACTTTTTACAATATCACAATTACCAGCCAAGGTACATAACTCTTCTAACTCTCCTTGTTTAAAAACATGATAAAACCTATGATATGTAGGTGGTACTTCATTATTAGCATCCTTTTGTTTTTTGTCATTGTTTTTAAGTTGCCAGGGAACAAACATATCTTGATCTTTGAATTCTGTCCTATTGACATGAATATTTATATTATTTTTGCCTGTTCGATCGTTTTGATTTCCATCTTCCAGACTAAGTTCACTACATTCTTGCAATGTTTTTGATGTAGGGTTTGATTCTACTGTTGACACAGTTTTTGTTAATGATGATTCATCAGCTCCAGGCACATTTTCTAAAATTACATTTTGGGGTGATTCTTTATTCTCAGATACTTTATCACTATTCACAGAATTCAGTTTTTTTTGTTGTTTCAAATATTTAGATTTCACTTTGTGTCTCTCCTGTTCTAAAGCCCAAACATATATTAAAACTTTGCCGCCAGGTCGTAAAATTCTCAACAACTCTCGCACAGCTCCAAAACGTCGCTCCTATAAATATAAACAAAAGGAGTGAAAATAAAACCAATGGAAAGAATAGTCTCTGTTATCTAGAACTATATTGTTTAGGTTCTCTCAATGAATATGGAGCCACGGTGGCGAAGTGAGTGGGCGTTGGCTCGCTAGCCTGCATTGGTTTCCCATTGTCAGTGGTGCATGATGGAGGGCCTGACATAAACAGCTGTCTAGTCGTTCATACATTTTGCAAGAGCTAAATCTGCCTATTGGGTCTTTCTGAAATGTTATCTAAAATATTAATTAGACATTAATTAACTTATCCAGACCATAATCAACTATCGATGCCATAGCAAGCCTGCAATATTTACTGGATTTGAATACATTTTGTGATGGGTGATTTAATGTCAAAGTAGATAATTGAGACTGTTTTTATTGTAAGGACTTTAGCAGTGATGATCGAAGCTAGCCTAAACTGAGAGAGAAAGAAATGCGGTTTAACGTTCACTCGACACAAACTAGGTCGTTTCGGGACTAACACATGGTTCATTTTATTTCAATAATTCACTTGCGCGTAGGGGTCTTTATGAGTGGGAAGAATCCGGAGGACCCGGAGAAAACCCACGAGGTTGGACAGGCGACTCTACTCCTTGTCACGTACAACCAGGGAATTGAAACCCGCCAGTATAAAAGGTGTGAAGTACCTTAGTTGATAAATGATGTATAACTGCTATACATATACAAACATCACATATATTACATCGTAAAGGTATAGACATCACATCGGATACCAGAGCTTCAAAACATCTCTCTTGACAGATTTTTACAAGACCAAAACTTCTATCTGATCCTATCTATAAAATAGAAAAAAACAAAACAAACTTCTATCTGATCCTATCTATAAAATAGAAAAAAACAAAACAAACTTCTATCTGATCCTATCTATAAAATAGGAAAAAAAAGCAAAACAAAGTTCAAAATATGAGACTTCAAAGTAAACAGAGAATTGATAGAGAAGTAGTAAATGAAATGAAATGGGTTTTAACTTCCAACTGTTCTGCTCTGACTGGGTTAATGAAGACGGGCATACGCCATACAGTGTGCTATGAGGGAAATTTTGCCCAGACAGCGGCACTATGGCCTACTCTTATATCGAATTCCAAATGACAAGGGATCTTTTACCTGCACGCCAATGTATACAAGGGACCTCAGCTGTCCTTGTCAGGTCCTTCGCCCTACACCACTGACAAGGAGAAACCATACCGGAAAATCTAGATGAACTTTCTCGGCCAATGCAGGGATCAAACACGCGACCTCCAGTCTTACCCACTTAGCCACCGTGGCTCCTAGAGAAGTTGTTAGATTTTCACATCAGGGAATATCTTTTATCATACAATAATATTGACCAAATTTGGTTAAATAGCTCAAATAATCATGAGATCATGGCTCAGAAGAAATTTCTACTGTTCTGATTAATATACTTACAGAATATATGGTTTTATTTATACCAAGATATTTCCCATTTCCACACCCAATATCAGCCATGATTGATCCTAGAGGCTGTTCTTTTAGAAAATCTACTATTTGAGGCCACGGAGAGTGACGTGTGCTACTGAAATGATCTGCTATTTCTTCATAAACCTAAAATTCCAGTGTTTTAAAATTAGTGTTTATCTCTTCCAGATGTTACCACGAGGAGAGAGATCAGGTTTAACATCCACTCGACACAAAATAGTTTATTTCGGGACTAACATATGGTTCAATTTTATTTCAAAAATTTGCTTGCACTTGGGGGAGGAAACCGGAGGACATGGACAAAAAACCCATGAGGTTGTCACATACAACCGGGGAATCAAAACCATGCCGGTTGACTCAATGACAGACCTTATGATACAATGCACAAACGCTAACCATTTGTCCATGAGGAAAAATTGTCTCTTTTGCAGTTTAAAGGTGCACTCCAAGATTTAAAAGGATATGGGTCGAATTTTAGCATTCAACCGTACAAGTGACATGATAATTGTGACAATCATTCATCCTTATAACCTAAGCATGTATATAATAATAATATGCGCTTTGAGTTAACTAGATTTGTTATCTATGTCAATATCAAAGGACCTTCAAAAAGGAAAGTTTTCAGTCTGTTCTTAAAAACAGAAAGAGATGACATCTGGGACAGCTCCTTCAAGAGTATCTGAAACATTGTAATCTGTAAAGCTACTTACTTGATGTACATGTTGTTGTTCTAAACTTATTGCTTCTTCTTCTGTATTAGGTAAACAAATTCTTTCTTTTCTATAAAATATATACTAGTAATGATGAAGTCATTTCTTTTTCATCAATCAAAAGTGTGCCTTGAAGTGCATAGTGTTGAAAATATGTTAAATATTATTAATCTTATTTCTCACATTCATGATATACCAGTAATTAAATATACATTATGCAAGAGCTAAATCTGCCTATTGCAGGTTTGTCTTTCTTTAGGCCTGAAATGTTATCTAAATTATTAATTAGACATGTATTAACTTATTAACATGGCATCGCTAGCCTGCAATATTTACATTTGAATACATTTTGTGATGGATGATTTAATGTCAAAATGGATAATAGAAACTTTGATTTTTATCGTACAGATGATCGAGGCTGGAACTAAAATTGAACCGCTAATATCTTGGTTTGAAGTGGAGCAATTTGACTGAAATTTTCAGCATATTCAATTTACATTATCTATTTTTAAACTATTATAGCGAGAACTGTCTGCTCTTTATCTAATCTCCCAATGCCACTTTAATAGGGGGCAATAATTTCATTAAAGAAAATAATTCTGTATATGCCTCCGAATAATGAAAACTAAAAGTACAAACCCATCATGATCTGATGATGCATTGTTTTCAAGTGACCCTGAAAAAATTTATAACAAACAATATTTTGTTTTCTACAGCCAATGATAATTATTCATATGTATACATTGTATTTAGTTTCAATCTGATTAAAACAAAGATCCTATTTCGTTTTTCAAGGGTTTGAATAAATTCAATTCCGAAAAGTTATATCTAGTACCCCCATACTAAAGCATACAGGGGTGTGTGGATGGCCGAATGGTTAGCATGTGCACATTGTATCATAAGGGTCAACTGGCATGGTTTCGATTCCCGGTTGTATGTGACAAGGAGTAGGGTCACCTGTCCAAACTCGTGGGTTTTCTCTAGGTCCTCCAGTTTCCTCCAACTGTTAAGACGCCTTCGCGCAAGCGAATTATTGAAATAAAATTGAAGCATGTGTTAGTCCCGAAAGGACCTAGTTTAGGTCAAGTGGATGTTAAACCCCATTTCTCTCTGTCTCTATAAAGCATACACATGACACACTCTACTCTATTACATACCTTTATTGATAGCCAATTTTCTAAAAGTAAAAGAAGTTTGTATTCCCCGTTTTGCTACTTTAAATTGACCATCTGCTGAATTAATAATATCAGTTTTCTGTGGCGTAATACCATGTGACCACCTATATGTAGATTCGCCTGTCATGACTAATAAACTTCTTGGGGGTAACACAAGGGAGAGATGTTCACCTTTAGGATGGTGAAATTCCATTAAAACCTAAAATAAAATGAAATTCCAGATTACTTGAAGAAATTCCATAATAAAGAAATGTTAAGATTTACTTTAACTAATTAAATATTTACTGGACAAGAGAGAGAGAGAGACACACACACAAACTAGGTCATTTCGGGACTAACATATGTTTTTTTAAAAATTTTTATTTCAATAATTCGCTTGAGCGTAGGGGTCTTTAGCAGTGGGAGGAAACCGGAGGACCCAGAGAAAATCCACGAGGCTGGACAGGCGACCCTACTCCTTGTCCCGTACAACCGGGGATTCAAAACCACGCCAGTTGACTCAATGACAGGTCTTATGATACAGCACGCACGTGCTAACCATTCGGCCATCCAACCCCCTTTACTCGACAAAATTTAATTAAAACATAAAATAAAATAAAAATGTCAAAATTACACAGGCCTCTATAAAATAGAGGCACTCTGGTAATAAACATTTTCAATAATTTTCTTGCCCATCATAGGGGTCTTTAGTAGTGGGAGGTAACCAGGGAGCCCGAATAAAACCGATTAGGTTGGGGATGTGATCCTAATCCTTGCCATGAACAAGCTTGGGATCGAAATCACGCCACTTGTCTCCATGACAGATTTTATGATCTAAAACACATGTGTTAGACCACCCCTTTATAAATAGAAAATGAATGGCAAAGACATTCTTAGCGGGGTTGGGATGGCCTAGTGGTCTAGAGTGTCGAGCTACGACATTTAGCTGGCCCGTCACCTCTGGCTTGCGGTTTCAATCCCTGGTGTGAACGTAGGTGGCTTGGAGATAAGAGGGCGCCTTCTCAACCTCGTGGGTTTTTTCCGGGTACTCCAGTTTCCTCCCACAGAAAAGACCCCGGCGCATGCGCTAAGATAATAAAAAATGAAAATAAGGCAACTTGTCTGCGATATCATCCTCGGTAGAAGCTGATGTTAAACACTAAGAACAACAACAACGAGATTTTTAGCTTTCTTACCTGTGATCCAAGACTTAATAACATTATTCCATCTTCAAAATCACCCACAGTGTCAACATGAGACAACATACCTATAATAAATGGACAATTGTTAAAAACATATTAAAGATACATTATGGAAGATTAGATAACGAGCTGGCAGTTCTCACTATAATAGTTAAAAATTAGATTATGTAAAAGGTATATGCTGAAAATTTCATTGAAATTGTTTCACTCTAAGCTGAGAAAGCTTTATTTTAAAATCACTGTAGCCTCGATTGTCATAGTTACCGTTGTCACGATAATTAACAAAGTCTTGATTATCCATTTTTGCATTTAATCATCAACAGATGTTGAACAGCAGATCAAATTCAAATCCAATGAAAATCGAAGACCAAGAGTTGATTATGGTTTGGATAAGTTAATGAAAGCCTAATTAATAATTTATATAACATTTGAGGCCTAAAAAAACACCTACAATAGGCAGATTCACGTCTTGCATACTGCCTCTTCCTCTCCCTTATGAATCTTATAGAAAATGCAGGATAAATACAAAATTTACATGAAAATAGTCTGTCTCCTACCTTGACCAGGTGGGTACTGACTGATCGTTAACTGATCAGGTATGTATTTTATAACTGACATGTCTTTAGCTTTATGTAGAAAATCATGACATATGTCAGGTATTCCTTGTGCCAATGGTTTATTTGGATCCACAATATTCACAGCATAATCAAATTCATATCCATAATGTTTTACTTTTCTAAGTTTGAAATCTGAAATGAAAGAGTGATTAAAGAAATAATTAATAAAATATATTTTCATATTTATTTAATACCATTGTTAAAAGTGTTCTTGACACAAGATGAAGAGGGTTTTAAATTTACAAATTTTAAATAAATAAGAATGATAGTACACATCACATCCATTCATGTGTAACTGTATATCTAGGTGGGTGGGAAGGGTGGTGAAAATGGTTTATTAACGCATGTGGTTTATGTCATAATGGTGTTATTGAGTCAATTGGTGTAGTTTCGTTTCCCCACATGTGGTTGCGATTCCCTACTTGTACCTGACAAGGAGAAAGGTTGCATATCCAACCTTGTGGGTTTTTCTCTGGTTCCTCCCACTGCTAAAGACACCAACACGCAAGCATATTATGGAAATAAAATTGAACCAGATGTTAGTCTCAAAATGATCTAGTTTGTGTCAAGTGGATATTAACTCCATTTCTCTCTATCTGCAGACAATCTTCTATACACAAAGTTAACAGAGTTTAGAATCTTTTTCTAGATTCTGTTGGTTACAAGCACAATTTTAGGTTGTCAACTTTGTCAAGTGCAACTGTTCTGGTGTCTGTCATTTTGGCAGGTGTATATTTCAGGTGTTTGTCACTACTGGCGCTATTGATACATGTCTTTTAATGCAAGTGTTAATAATTCATTATAAATTAGTGGTGACATAGCTTCTATCATCCAGAAAGCTTTTCTATGAGTCTGGATGTGTTGTCTAGAATAATAGGTCATTTGCAGGATTTTTTTACTTTATCATAAACAAAGTCTAAGGGAAGTAACTAGTCCTAAAACAAGATGTTGACGCCCATGAAATTAATTCAAGAATGTCATTTCAGATAATCCATTTGACTGCATTGCCAGTTCAATATCCGACACTCTTAATTTTTTTTATTGTAAAATTTCTCTCTTCATGGGCCATATATTTGTTTTTTTAATTAATCCTAATTCGTCGTCACGATTCAAGTTTGTTTATATTAATGCAAGAATTATGGGATTTATTGTGTGAAGGGGCGCAACTGTTACTTGACTTGGCCAAAGATACTGGATAATAAACCACATAAAAACAAACTCCCAATTACACATGGGCAAAGGAACTTTTCATCAAATATTGACAACGGTCCCAGATCCTCCGTACCTTGAAGACTAGGAGGTTCTGGGTGATCGAGACTACTTATAACATTTCTTACATATTTTGTGCAATGATACAGTCTATTTTCAAATTTTTAATTATAGCCATTACAGCTAATGAGATTCTAGTTATTACATGTATTATTGCTAGTATTTTGATGTTGTTGGTCAATATATCATTCAACACGACTGCTGTTAAAACCGTGTATGTTTCAATAGTGATAAATGAAAGTGCCCATAATTTTTGTTTATATTTTTATTAATATCTGGAAGAGAGTTGATATTGTAATATTATAGTTTACCTTGATCTGTTCCTTCTTGCCATTCAATATATTTTAACAATTGGTCTTCTTTTTCTTCACTTATAAAATCTTTTAACAGAATTAAACCTGGAGGTATGGTTGATGTTGGTCCTATACTTGGGGGAACTGAAGTAAAAATCAACAATCCAACTTGATATCAGTTCTAATTTGATAGCATAGAAAAGCTAGAGTCTTATTAAAAGCCAAAATTGTTGTTTTAATATATTGTCTATCAAAAATATATCAATTACTAATTCATTTGACAACACAGTAATAAGCTGATCAAGCTTGTTATCATATCCTATATTTATCATATTAATTCTATAAAGTTTTTATATAAAATATTGTTTAATTCAATCAAATGAATATTACATCATAATCAACGGATATTTATTGATGATAAATCCCACTTTATTTAATTTTCATTTCAGTCCAAACATTTGTTTTGTGTCAAATGAACTGTAAATGGGTCTTTTAAAGATGGGTTCCCAGAAAAGTATTTATCGGGTGGTTATTTCCAATAAAAGTATGGTAATTTTGGTATATATGGAAAGTAGAGATATCCAATCTTACTAGAAAAATACTGGATTCCCCGAAAAAACACTCATGGAGCGTATACAGGACAAAAATGTAAGGGTTCGCCTTAATTGACAGCCTCGACGCGTGATGTCAAAGGTCACACGCGAACATTGAGCGCCTGATGTACAAGTTGATAAACTTTATGAAGAGTTAGACATACAACACTTTCTGAGATAAAAATGACGGAAAAATGACGGTAGTGGATAATCAGAGAATTTAATTAGGATTCGATATTTGTAATAAATAGTAAGCGATTAAAGACAACATCGTCTTATGTATGCAATGAATTCTCCTCTGACTTCCAAGGGAGGTAAGTCACGTGACGTAAACATGACCTGGTTTAATCAAATTTTTATAGCAGGGCATTCCTTCGCAATTACAATGTTTGAGAAGGATTTGAAGCAAAATTATGACAAATTAATAAGTTTGAATATGTTTTTAGTCCATATATACCAGGGCTGGCCACGAATAAATTGATGGCGAGCAGATGACTGCTCACGCAAATTTAGGTTTGGGCGAGCAAGGCGAGCAATAAAAATTGCTCACGCAAAATGTTGTTTGCGTGAGCACACATTTTGTAACATTGTTTCAATTTAAAATCATAAGAAAATTGCTATTCCTGGCACAAAGTTTGCAGTAAACATGTGTGACCATCGCTTTCTGTTTTTGACAGTCATACGTACTCTTCTTTATTAAAACCAATTTCCGTATGGATTTCTTCACCCCACGAAATAAATGTGGATAGGGCAATCAGGTTGCCTTTGGCCATTATTACGCTTAGATTGAAAATTATACGACTGCACAATGGAATAAAAACCGAAGTTCTGATAAAATAGGAAATACCGATAAATATTAGTTTGAAACGTGTTCATTTAGCGTGAATGCCTAATGCCTAATTCTTTACTTTAGACTCGATTATCACGCGTTCGTTACTGGTGTTCGTAGGAAAACCAGTCATAACGTTCAGGTCTAAAGTGTATTTTTAGTAACAAGAGTGCTGAGTAACTTTTTAGCCAATCAAATTTAAGGAGGAAATGCCGCGTGCAGCTGGGTGAATCTCAGTTTGACAGACGAATTTATGAAGTTTTTGACATTGTTGGTTTAGTTTCGGCAATAAACTTGTCAATATTTTGATTATTTTTACAGGGTTTTCTTAAAATTTTGCGCGAGCAACGAACCGCTCGCGTAAATGTAGATTTACGCGAGCACAGCGTGAGCGCGAGCAACTGCTCGCGTCTCGTGGCAAGCCCTGTATACCATTAAATCACCCAGTTTGTACGCGGGAATGTATCTTTAATCAACAGAAGTATCAGTAAACTAAAGAATACCCCCGTCCCCGCCCTCACTGAGACAATCTTTTTGAAATTGTGAGAAACTAACCTTGGCTAACATAAAATATATTTAATTTACAATCTTGTCCATCTGCTTTCATATTGTGACCGGTTAATGCATCACATGCCCTTTCAGAATCTTTCTCATTCTGGTAGCAGACAAAACAATACGCTTTCTGTGGAATCATGATAATCTCAGTAATTTCTCCATATTCTTTAAATAATTCATAAACTGCTTCTTGACAGACCCCTACATCCAATCCACCATTATAAACACACAAAACCTAAAATGAAAAACAAAAAATAAAGTTTGGTATTTATTTCCGAAATCTGGCTTTCTAACTTAACTCAAGATGTATATTGGTATTACAATACTTTTAGTATGAAATCTATTATAAATACATTATATAAATATTGTTAAGCTTTGTTTTGCTGCACATATATATTTAATCAATCTGTTTCATTTTGTGCCCAGGTCAGTGTCTTTACACTGAGCTACGTTGAATTTTAACGAGTTTTGTTTTAGTTGGTTGACATATTTTCTTAATTGCATTTCACATTGAAACAAGTGGATAAAAATTGTGACCTCTAAAGTGTCCACAAGCTAAAGACATGATTTGTCGTAAATTCAGGGGCCATAATCCATGACGTAATGCTAATATGAAAAGGAACCAGGATCTTTGGTATATAAACCTATATTTCAAGTTTCAGCAAAATCGGATAAAAATTGTGACTTGTAAGGTGTCAACAAACAAATTGTGGACGGACAACCTGACGGACAGGGGTGCCGACAATATACGTCCACTTTTTCAGCCAACACCGAGATCGAACACGTGTCTTCCAGGTTAGCGACTCCGAAAGTGTAAATATAGGCATAATCACTTAACACATAATTAAGATCAAATCACCACAGTTAAATATTATGTGGTACCAAATGTGCCTAACATTTTCTATTTGTATAGAAGCAATAAAAACAAATATGGCATTTGGAAGTAAGTATAGTAGCCTACCATACTATGGTATTTTTAGCCATTTGGTGTATTTATATTCTCTTGATTTTATTGTTATATTTTTACAGTGTGTAAAAAAGGCATAACTTGTGATACAGTATTAAATTATTATCATTGACCATGGGCGATGGCACTGCATCTCATAATATTCAAATAGAAATTCAAATTGCCATTATTTTTTGGTGAGAGAGAGAAATTGGGTTTAACGTCGACTTGACACAAACTAAGTCATTTCGGGACTAACATATGGTTTAATTTTATTTCAATAATTCGCTTGCGTGTAGGGGTCTTTTTTAGCAGTGGGAGGACCTGGAGAAAACCCACGAGGTTGGACAGGTCACCCTACTCCTTGTCACGTACAACAGGGGAATCAAAACCACGCCAGTTGACTCAATGACAGACTTTATGATACAACGCGCACACGCTAACCATTCATTCAGCCATCCAACCACCCTATTTTTTGGTGTAAATTTGACATTCGGTTAATTTATGTGAAACGACTGGTTCACCATATCAAACGCACATTTGAAGCAACGGTTGTAGTTTCTATTTTATCTTTTTTGCATATCAGTTGCATAGAACGATTGAGTTTTTTGTTAATTTTCTTTTCTGACTTGGACAATTTTGTTTTTGTCATGGGGGCTGCCATTTTTAATATACTCTCTAAATAAAAGTATTTAAAGGTTGTCAAATGCTTTACAACGTTATTTCCTTTCACTTCTAGAAACCTTATTGTTTTAAACGATTAGTTTTTACTGTTTTTATATCTATTTTTGAAATTATATTCATAATTATTTTGAATAGTTTATTGTTTGAGATTATTTTAGCCTTATCGTGACGTCACATGCCCAATTGAGAAAAATGGCGACGGTGTTTTTGTCCGCCGATGCATGCAAGACATGGGATAAGTCTGGAAAAGCAGACTTGTAAGTGTTTTATGATTCAAATAATTTGTGTATTTGAGAACCTACCATGTCTAGCCTTATCGGAAAACCCAATTTTGATCAAATCCGTTACTGTTGAACTACTGAAAAATAGCATTTTACACTCTGGTTCGATTTTTTTTTTAGTCTTAAGTCTGGCTAAAGCAAGTTTGATAGGCCTAGGCCTAGTAGCCTACTGTTGAAACAATTCTTTCAGAAAAGCCTGATCCAGAACTACATACTACATATTGTAACATAGTACTCCATATAATATTTCCACCCACAAAATAAGCAGAAACAAATCCTGTATGCCTAGAACTCTATTGCCATGCAACCTACACTAGTTTGGTTTGGTTATGCAGTTATGGACATGGCCAGACAGAAACCAAAACATTTTGGTCATAACCACAAAACAAAAATAAAAACATTTGATTCAAGAGTAAATTGGGGTGTGGTTAATTGTTTCCAATGAGCTGTGCTTGTGAAAAATACATGCTACACAAGTTAATTAATGAGTGGAATTTAAAAAAAATTGTTGAATAAAGCATGTTTCTATTTCAACAATAACTAATTTTTGTTCTTAATTTTCTATCTTATCTTAATATTTGATTGAACTATTTACTTGTATCTGTGGGTTTTTTTGGTTTTTTTTTTAAATGAGTGCCATCTGTTTCTTTTTGGATTGAGATGGGATTTGTCAACCTCACTTTTGGCTTTTACTTAGAGCTAATTCCTAGCACTGCACATTGTAAATATTTTTCATTGACAGTGTAAAAGCATGCAAGTCTCTTGGTGAAGATAGTTTCTATAGAAAAGATACCAAATCTGTACAGAGGGCATTGTATGAATTATGTTGGAGTGTGTTGAAAGGACAGCTCAAGCAAGACCAATGTATTTCTACCATTGGGGAAATCAACGTAAGCAAAATACACTTTCAAACTTTCAAATTACCTTTTACTATAGTTTATAATTTATCCCTGAAGTAATATTATTTTCAATTTATCACTCTTTTGTGTAAAATAATTGTTAACTTTTTCAAAATTGAAGTCCCCCCACCCTCCCCTTAATATAAAAAAGCCTAATAAAGTCTATACCAGTTTATTTTTCTGTTTCACTAGCCTACTGATGTTAAAATTTGCAAAATAAAATCGAAAATGAGCTATTTTATTTATACTTTTAAAACTCTGATATAGGATTTTCTAAAAGTTTTAAATTTAATCTCCCAAGTAAAGCTTTGTTTAAGAATTATAGATCTTAAGACTACTTTTGTTTTATTTTCAGGACCAAATGAAGGGAATCGGTTCACTACTGGCTGACACGCTAGCTACAATTGGTAATGGTTGAAGCTGTTTTATTTGATATAAATATGTGACATTTATTTAAATTTAAGTGTCTTGTGGTTGCAGGTTCTGTTCACGTCGTTGTCATGGAGATGCGGCTTTGTGGTTTCTGATCTTAAAGGAAAAAAGTTAAATTTCTAAATTATCCACCGTACCGTAAATGTTTGGCATAAATTTATCATTGACATTACAAAAATATGAGTGTTAGCTAGCAAATTGTGATGTAGGACATTTTTGATTTTCCTTTGTGATTAATTGATTGGTCTTGTCTTAAAGCAAAATAGTTAATTAGGACAGTTATTAATAAATCCCTGCGTTCATTCATGCAGGATTTCCATGGACTGGTTTTGAAAAAAACTCAAAACATTTTGTCAGTTTATTAAAAATATAAGATTGGTTAATAGTCCAAATGGCATTCATTCTAAATTGGATCGTGTACGGATCGTTAAGTGATGGAATTTGAAACACATCAATTCTGGTTTTGTGAATATTTTTCTGATGAGGAAGATGATTGAATGTAGTGGATTATGGATGATACCTTGTGAATTTTATCATGATGATTGATTTCTACCTACCTTACCATAATTATTTACCATAAATCAAGGTGAAAACCGATATCATTTATTGGTTCTATATGGTGGAATACAGCTTTAAAATTGAATGCACTACCATATTTCAAGGCCAAAGATCCTATTATTACTTTTTCTTTTTATTAGTATGAAAATATAATCCGAATGACTGTACATCCTCTTTTTTAAAAAGTTAATTGCTCTGTGAAATTAAATTTTAAAAGAAATGTACATATTGGAGATCACAGTGAATTTGAAACAAAGTTGTAAAATGTCATAATGTCCATTTGGTAAAACAATATCTTTCTTTAACCATTTATATTTCCTCATTCATGTACATGCCTATTATATTTCTTACTTTTTTTTTATAATTTATGTAAACTTCCTTTTTTTTTTTTTTTTTAAATCTTTATTTTTGCTCATTTAACAATATAATGGTGATGCCCAACATGATAATTTCTGACCATAATTAATGTTAATCTACAGAAGTGGTTAACTTTTTAACTTAAAAATGTTAATTATTCTTTGGGGTTATTATTTTATAATGGGGTTCATGACCCAATTCTTACAGATGTGGAATGCAGTTGCTATGACGACAAACATCAACGTGATCGCTTAAATTCACTATTGGCTTCCTGTAGTGTAAGTTACCTTCATCATTTTCAACAGTGGCTATAAATTTCTGTGGCTGATATTACAGTGCTCTATTAAAGATATGTTCTCTCAAGGTTACTTAGCACATCTGATGCAATCTGAATAATTATTGACTAATAGTTATGACCTCAACACACATAATTATAAATCGAGAGCGATTAGTGAGCTCAAGATAAATAAAATAAAAAAAGAAATCGTTATTTGTGCACTGCAAAAACTGGCAGACGATAGTTCGTATAGGTTAAAGATTGTTAGTACTGGTATGCATAGAGATAGACTGCAGGGTTTATATCTAGCTATCAATACATGATATATGTGTTTGGTTGTCATAAGTTGTTTCATTGGTTAGCTAAAACCAGTTAATACAGAAAAAATAGACTCAATACTTAATAATTAAATATCAATTTTATAGAATAGAGTAATATTTATTTGAATTATTACCTCTGAAGATCGATATCGCGACAAGCCTATTTTTATTTTCTGTATATTTTAGTCAATTATAACTGAGCCTGTAATGAAAGAAAGATTTGATCAAGAGACATTAGAGGTAGTAGGAATCATCCAATCTAAACAACTGTTTCAACAAAAATATGTTAAAACAAAGACACGATTATAGTAAGTAATACACATTAAATTGGATTGCATTAATTCATTGATTTTGAACTATCTTTTCTGTTCTAAGAATATATTTGTTGCCAAAATCTCCAATAACATTATATAGTGACAAATTTTTAAATTGCTGAACGAGATATATAGATCAGTTTTTCCGAAGTGGACGGTGATAAGATCTGTCCAATAAATGAATCTAGCAGTGTAAGGAAATCATAATACAGGTGACGGTGCTCCTCGTCATACACAAACTTTGGCAAACCCACAATTTATATACATATACAGGGCTAAAGATCTCTGCCACACAACCCCCAATTTGTGATATAACTGATGGCTTTCAATAGTATAATTATAACTGGAATGAAATAGCAATTCAAATTGACTGTGTTAAACAGCCAAGGAGGTTTTACACAGCAGATTGACGGTTATCTTGTGGATAAAGAATAAAGAAATGGGGTTCAACGTCCTACTGTTCTGTTCCAACTGGGTTAATGAAGATGGGCATACATCATTCAGTGTGCTGTGAGGGAAATTTGCCCGGGCAGTGGCACTATGGCCTACTCTTATATCAAATTCCAACTGCCAAGGGATCTTTTACGTGCACGGCAATGTATACATTTAGCCTTGGTTTTTCGTCCCATCTGAACGACTTGACAGCTGCCCTTGTCAGGCCCTCCGTCCTGCATCACTGACAAATGAAAACCAAGTCATAAAATCCCTATGAACTTTTTGCGGCCAATGGAGCGATCGAACACCCGACCTCCAGGCTAGCGAGCCAGCGTCTTACCCACTTAGCCACCATGGCTCACTAAAGAATAAAGCCTGTTCTGTGCGTAATTGTTATAATTTAACCTACTCTTTAATTTCAGCTATAAACAACAGAAATTTAATTTATTACGTGAAGAAAGTGAAGGTTATTCAAAACTGGTATCAGAGCTGAACCAGGAAATAACTGAAAAAGTTACTCCTGTTCAAGTACTGGAAAATATTAAATCACTTATTGGTAAGTTTTCATCAATTGTCACACCTGTCTGAACATCCACAATTCGTGTAAAAAATCTTCAGTTGTTTCTAAGGAGGAACCCTATCGATATTCAGTATTGCAAAATTTAAAGTTACAACTACTGTCACTCAAACCTTGTGAGCACTCTATAGGTCTTGAGTTTCTGAGGATTTTTTTTTACAAATTTCCTGGCAGAACACTGAGTCAAGTTCAGAGTCACAAAATAATCATTCTCGGATTTAATGCCCATGTCAATGAAACCTTGTAAACTAGAGGTCAGAGTTTTTTAAAATCTTTTTTCAAACTTCAGGAATTTTCTGCTAGTCCCAGTTAGTAGTTTATTTTGTAAAATTGAGATTACCGTTGATGTAACAAATTGTTAGTTATCAGAGAAACCTTGTAAATGATTTACATAGTGGGCTTTTTATTTTCTAAGTTCCAACCTTGTGGGTCTTCTCCAGGTCCTCCAGTTTCCTCCCACTGCTAAAGACCCCTACGCACAGGCGAATTGTGGAAATAGAATTGAACCATATGTTAGTCCCAAAATGACCTATTTTGTGTCAGTGGATGTTAAACCTCATTCTCTCTCCCTCTCTCTCTCTCTCTCTCTCTTATATAGCACTACATTATGTCCAATGGTTATTTCTAAGCGCTGTTTAGCTACATTGTATATTATATAGAAAGTATCCCTAGAGTATATTTATGATCACACCACTAGTACACTTTATGAGGCTGACCTTAAAAATATCTTTGTTTCGCCTAACGCGACCGACTAACTAAAACCACCCCCGACTTAAATTATTTTATTGCACTTTTCCACGATCTTTTTATTTTATTTTGTGTGTCAACCTGAAATATATCACGAGAGTTATTTCCCTTTACTATGGCTATGGTTTGATTCATTATTGAAACTGGTTGATCAAGACGAAAGCGTCATAGGTATCGCTTCTCAACAAAATGGTTGCAGACAAATACACGTCCATTCCCACGAAATGATTCTGCTTCTATGTCTGTGGTGCGTAGTTTTAAACATAACGACGATATTTTCAATATCCGTTTTCGAGAAAAATGAAGGCACAACCCGCACTATCGTTAAAAACGTGTTGAAGGAGTTTCACACTTCAAGTTCGTGGCAAATCGTGTGCGAGTCGGGCATCACGAAAAATTCCCGATGTCATTGATTTTTTTGCCAATTGAATAAAGGAGGCTAATGTTTCCACCCGGAAAATTATTACGCTGTCAAATTAGCTCTTAAGTTTAATAAAAAGACTTTCAGTTCGTTACTTTTTACGTCAGACCCCAAATTCATTAAACAAAATTAATGAATCTGTAGTATACAGCTAATAAGTTTTCTGTATTGATTTCTCTAACTTTAAAAAAAAAATCTGAAAAAAAAACGACCTACCGACCCTTCTCCTCGATTGTGGGTCGGGTTTGGTGAAACAAAGATATTTTTAAGGTCAGCCTGAAATAGATAAGTTTTTAAAACACATTTAAATTCTGTATATTTTTGGAAGATCATTCCAGAGAATTGCATTATTAACAGGAAACAAATATTTTCCTTGTGGCTTATTATATTTCGGTACATATAATGTTTTATCGTTCGAATATCTGAAGTTGTGGCATATCTGTACATCACTATACAGTGTAAACATCTGTTTTATATAGCTTGATTTGCCTAAATGGATAACATATATATATTTTCAGGTTGTTTTGATCTAGATCCTAATAGGGTATTAGATATTATGTTAGAAGCGTTTGAATGTAACTTAGAATCAGAGTCTTTCTACATTCCACTATTACGAGCCTACATGACCGACAAATCTACACTTTGTCAAGTAATGGGATTCAGATTCCATTTTTATGAGGTAAGTTTTAAAATTGAAACAAGAATTCAGAATTAAACAGTTTGATATAAAATTTATAAGGAAGCTACAAGTAAAGTTTCACTATATAAGATACGTTTGTCTGCTGTCATAAAAATGTTATTTAAAGAAATATTAACATGTATTTTTCTTTTGTTATAGCCTACTCAGGGTATAGAAACACCAACTTCCTTGTATAAAGTAACTGCCTTGTTATTAAAACATGAACTGTTGAATTTAAATGATTTGTATCCACATGTAAGTCTATTAAAGTATTATAATTTGTTTATAATAAGGTGGTTGAGTAGTTGACTGAACCATCAATAGGCAAAGAAGATCTTTCAGGATGTTTTCAAGTCCCAGAGGTGTTACCTGAAGGGGACCCACGGTGGCTAAGTGGGCAAGATGCTCGTTTGCTAGCATTGGCCAAGAAAGTTCAGCATTATTTTCCGGCGTGGTTTCCCCTCGTTAGTGGTGCAGGACGGAGGGCCTGACAAGGACAGCTGTCTAGTCGTTCGGATGATACGAAAATACTGAGGTCCCGTGTATACATTGGCGTACACGTAAAAGATCCGTCGGCAGTTGGAATTCGATATAAGAGTAGGCCATAGTGCCGCTGCACGGGCAAAATTTCCCTCATCATAGCATAATGTATGGAGTATGGCCATCTTCATTATCCCAGTATATGAGCAGAACAATAGGATGTTAAACCCTAGTTCATTTCATTCCTTTGTTTCGTAAAAAAAAACCATGTCTGTGTGTAATTATAAATTTTGATATTGTATCTTCTGTCTGTACTAATGTCTGACTAGAGATTGTGCCTTTATTGACTGTTGTTATTTATTTTGTTATAGTTATTACCAGAAGATAGTGCTATTTCTGACTTCCATAAAACGGAGCTGAGTGAGGCTAGGAGTTATGCTAAAAAATTAAACTTGGTTATTTTATCTGATAAAAAAGACGATGAAAAAGATAAAGAAGATTTAACTAAAGTTGATATGGTAATTTTATAATCTTATTTCTTAAAGGCATTTATGTCATCTTACATCAAATGAGAGACGACTATTAGATCTATGTGACCATTGGGTGGCTTATTTTCAAGATGAGCTGAAAGGACAGTTGATCTGTTAAAGGTTTGAATGGTTTTTAATGCATTGTCTAATGTAAGATGTTAATTAATCATATCAATATATCTGTTTGTTTGCTTTATTTTTTCAGCGTATAAATAATCAGAAACTTGGAATTTGTGAAGCTTTATTGGAAATTGGTGCATGGGATAATGCTAAATCAATTCTAGATAAATTACCTGAATTTTTCCCTGGTTCTCATCCACCTATAGCCAAAGCTTTGTGTTTATTAATACATAAAGTTATAGAACCTTTATATAGAAAGTAAGTCTGAAACAGAATCTTCGTATATACTGGTAATACAGACATTATATGACCCGTAATAGCTAAGTGAGTCGCAGATCTTTTACGATATGAACAAAAATATTGAAATAGACTAAAGATATCTATTTAATAATATAACACGAAAGGAAAAAGTTTAGAATTGACAAGCAAACTATTTTTATAGATTTCGACATTTTTGTTCAGGTATTGTTATCGTAAACAATGACTTGCAACTTCCAACTCATTTTGTTGTCACAAGTCACATAAAGAATAATTTTATTCTAGGTTTCCATGTCGTGTGATGCATTACGATAGGATTGTCCCAATTGCATCCAGGATCCGGTACATGCAGATACGTTTCGATACGTTACGATACAATCAACACGATTGCTACGACTGACCTCAATATATGATAAGACCTGATAGGATCTCTACGATTACTCCACGATTAAAACCAAGATTTCAATTGTAACGCGAATCATGATAGTAGGAACCTAGCATTAGTCTTAATGTACTACCTAAACTTAGATTTGAAAATATTTTTATTTATTTCAGAAATACAACGTTACCTCCACAGTTGTGTAAGAAGAAAGTTGTTATTGATAAGTTATGTATAGAACCTGTCAAGACGTTCAGACGTTTACACCATATAGCCTTTCCTATGTTGTATTATTTAGGACCACATGCCTCCTTAGATCCCGTTCTATTCATGAAACTTGTCCGACTTGGGAAAACATTTATGAATATGGTATGTTGAAGATAATATTATATAACTTATCAACTTAACAAAATATGATTCAATTTTAGAATCTTTCTAGTTAAAATTTAACAGGAATACTATGTTTAACTAGGGTGGTTGAATGTCAGAATGGTTAGTATGTGTGTGTTATATCATAAGGTCTGTCATGGAGTCAACTGGCGTAGTTTCGATTCCCTGGTTGTACTTGACAAGGTGTAGGGTCGCCTGTCCAACCTTGTGGGTTTTCTCCTGGTCCTCTGGTATCATCCCATATTTTACATTAATAATAGGGCTGATTATACATGCTTTATCATATATTTTAAGTTTTTCCACCTATGTATTCTGGTTTTAAGAAATATAATACAGTAAACCCACTGAGATAAACCCTAATAAAGTTGTTATTGTTTTTATTTATAGAGAAGTGATGGTGGAGTTGGACCAGAAGATGAAGTGGCTTATTTTGGTTTTTTAAATATATTAGATAGTGTGATATTTCCCAGTCTATCTTTATTACCCTGTAATTGTTGTATATCAGAAGAATTGTGGGGTTTCCTTAAATTATATCCATATGAAATCAGGTAAATATTACAATCCTGTTGATATATTATCACACTATATTGATGAATTTTTCCGTACTGATTAAAACACAGATCCTATTACGTTCCATTTTGTATAGTTCAAATTTCGTTTTATTTGTCTTTACTAAACTAAGATCTGGGAGAGTTGTTATATAACCTGTGTTCTGGTTGATGTTAGAGATTAGCCAATGAAACAGTCTGCTACAGCTAGTTTTTGGCGTGAGGTGCACAGAACTGTGGGTAAACTACTAGAAACGTCAACGCTGATTAATTAATCAATGTCTGAAGTCATAGGGTCAAAAGCTGCTCGTATGACCTCTCTGAAGCGACCTTCCACTACAACCAGTCAGATCTTCATGTAGTGTAGGCCATAGAAAGTAAAAAACGAAATGAAATATAGATAGGAATTTTGCTGACAAGAAATTAAATAGGCATTACCACTCTTATCGCGAAAAATGTAAATAATATCAATAATATTCAAAATAATTTTATTTGACTTGAAACCACTGAAACATTTGTACAACAGTCTGTTTGAATTTGAACACTGCCAATGTCAAGTTGAAATATTATATACCTTTTTTTTTTACCAACTGTAGTATCTACCCCTTCAATGTGTTAATGTCTCTTTAAACTCCTTTTTATCACACTATACTCTTCAACTTTACAAATATTATTAATTGTTCGAAATATGTATGAAAATTGGTAATAATATGTTCATTTGTAGAAATAAAAGATATAAGAGTAGGTAACACTGTATATTTGTATAATAATTGTTTCAGATATAGGTTATATGGTCGATGGAAGAATGAAATCTATTCACAACAAGCCTGTTTAGTACGAGCTAGAGCTGATTGTTTAGAAAGAGCCAAATATATCATGAAGTTAGTAGATTTCACCGCTATCTTCTTCTTTTTATATATCTTGGGAGAGGGGGGGGGGGAATGGTTAGGGAGAGCACAGTGTTTTATAAGGTCTGTCATTGAGTCAACTGGCATGGTTTTGATTCCCCGGTAGTACGTGACAAGAAGTAGGGTCGCCTGTCCAACTGGGTTTCCTCCAACTGCTAAAGACCCCTACGCACAAGCAAATTATTGAAATGTCCTCACCCCTCTCTGTGGGTCCATTACCCTTAACCTATAATCACTTGTGGATACTCTAGAGGCTGAAGTTTATCGGTCGATAAATTTTCACAAAATGTTTATTGAGTTGAGATAAAGAAGGCTATTTTCAATGATTTCAATAATTACTGTTATTGCCTAATCTTGTGGACTCTCATTTAATTGAATCGATACATTGTTTTCATCTTCATGTCTTTTGTATTCTCAATTCTTGTAAATAAAATGAAATGGGTTTAACGTTCTACTGTTCTACTAAATCTTAAATCATTGCCATTTTATTATAGACGATTAGCTAAAGAGAATGTGAAGCAGTCTGGTCGACAGTTAGGAAAACTTTGTCATAGTAATCCTGCCATTATGTTTGAATTTGTAAGTACATATTTTGAAGAATTATTTCTCAACACATTTTGAAGAAAAATTTCTAAACATATTTTGAAAAAGTATTTCTAAACACATTTTGAAAAAGTATTTCTAAACACATTTTGAAAAAGTATTTCTAAACACATTTTGAAGAAAAATATTTCTAAACATATTTATCAGCCTTAAAGCTTTTTAACAAGAGTTAGAAAAGGGCAAAATTCAGAATTAACTTTCTCCCATACGGAACATACAATACAATGTAAAAATTGAAATTTGCATGTATGAAAATTAATGTCCATTTACCTTCAATGATAGGTAAGTTGCGAACAAGTGAGTCATCTATCAAGCGCTTTCTTTTATTATTTCAGGTTTTATCTCAAATACAAAGATATGATAATTTTATTGGACCTGTTGTTGACTGTTTAAAATTTCTTACATCCCTTTCATATGATATTCTTAGCTGTATCCTTTTGTCTGTGATATCACTTCCGTGGAAGCGGACATAAAATAAAACTATTTCACCCACCTTTTTAAAGTCATATTTTTCCTAACTTTTTAGGACTTAAAACATTGTTTTGTGGTCTTGTTTAAATTATTTTAGTTACCTTGTGGATAAGAAAAGTTTTCGGTTAACAAAATATTGGGTTGTTTTTCTTTAACTTGTATAAAGATTGTATTATAGAAGCCGTAGCCAACCCTGAAAAAGAAAGATTAAAAACCGATGATACTAACATATCATTATGGCTTCAAAGTAAGTAAATAGATTGTAATCTGTATTATATGGAGAAATATAAAGTAGAAGTATTTATATATATACACGGTATAACTTGAAGGGTTGAATGGCCGAATGGTTAAGATCTGTCATTGGTTTCGATTTCCCGGTTGTATGTGACAAGGAGTAGGGTCGCCTGTCCAACCTCGTGGGTTTTCTCCAGGTCCTCCGGTTTCCTCCCACTGCTAAAGACCCCTACGCGCAAGCCTAATTTGTGTTGAGTGGATGTTGAACCACATTTCTCTCTCTATAACTTGAATGATATTTATGAATGTAATTGATAGTAAAAATGTTATAAACACTAATGCAAAGGTCGGGCCCCGGGTTCACAAAGCACTCCCAGACTTAAGTTAAGAATTTACTCAACTTTCAATCACTATTTATGAGCAATATCTTTGATCCAGAAACACACAAATTTGCACATGGTTTCTTATTGATGTATTTAATACATTAAAACAACAAAAGCTTTATAAAGGGCTATATTTTAGTTAAATGCTTTGTGAAATCGTGGCCAGATTGCCTAAACCTAAATCAGAATTGATCAATATGAATAATATTTGAACAAATGTTTCGGGGCTTATTGTGGTGAAAGGTGCAGTGAGTGGAAGATAACTATTTTATATACTTATTTTGACTATGTTTTATTTTAGGTCTTGCCAATTTTGCTGGAATGATATGTCGTAAATATACTGTTGATCTCTCCGGCATGATGCAATATGTAGCTAATCAGTTGAAAGCTGGAAAAAGGTCAGTTTTAATATCACTTATACTGTTTTAGTTACTTTGTATCGTTTTTTTATGAACTGAATTGAAATGGTTGATTGTGGCTTGATAGTGAGAACCTGGCCGATGGATTGGGACATGATGTATGTTATAATATAATAATCTTTATTAAAAAAAAACTTCTGTGAAGTTAGATGAATGGTATTAACAATAACAAGTTACAATAAATAAAGTTAAGATATATCCACATGATATTATTGACAATATGTATGTATCAGAATTAGAATAATTAGCGGAAGTAGCTGGAAGCTAAGAAACCGACGGAATTTAAACTTGAAACAGTATTTTCAATTGAGCATTGAAGAGGGTGTACGGATATAATAACATTGTGCATTTTCATGGCTTGGTGGGGCTGAACCTATTTTCAGGATTATGATTTTAATTGTTGGTACAAATTATTTCTATTTAAGTTTTGATCTGTTATTATTACGAGAAATTGTAACAAAGATGGCTGGAATAGAAGTATCCGAAGAAGTAACCAATGATCAATTAGAAGCTATGTCAGGTGGAGAATTACTCCGTCAAGAGGTACGATTCTTTCCTTTCTCTGGTTATTTTTCAAAAAAGTTCCAGGTTTTTAATGTTTTAATCTCTATATTATTTTAAATTGGAGGGGGCGGGGGGTGGATGGCCGAATGGTTAGCATGTGCGCATTGTATCGTAAGGTCTGTCATTGAGTCAACTGGTTGTACGTCACAAGGAGTAGGGTTGCCTGTCCAACCTTGTGGGTTTTCTCAGGGTCCTCAAGTTTCCTCCTATAGCTAATGACCCCAACTTTCCTGTTGGTGGGCAGTTTCAGGGATCTTACATTACTTTCTCGTTACTAAACATTCTAATACTTAATAAACAATCTTTTGTTTCAGGGTGGTTATTTTTCTCAAGTAAGAAATACCAAGAAATCGTCAACAAGATTAAAAGATACTTTATTAGAACATGATTTAGCGTTATCATTATGTATTCTAATGGCTCAGCAAAGAGATAGTGTTATTTATCATGAAGATCAAAATAGACATCTTAAACTAGTTGGAAAATTATATGATCAGGTAATCATTGTTCGTTATTACTGCTTCTAATAAATTCATTTTCCAGTACTAGCAAATTCTACATACCACATCAGTTGTGGAGGTTTGTCAGATGATGTATAGAACATTCCACATTTTAATGATTGTATTTTGCTTTTAAAAGTGGGTAACCCAATTAACAGTACCAATTTAGTCCCTTTTCTTCCTTTAACGTAGTCAGTCGTGCAGGACGGAGGACCTGACAAGGACAGCTGTCTAGTCGTTCGGATGGGAGAAAAAACCAAGGTTCCCATGTGTACATTGACATGCACGTAAAAGATCCCTTGGCAGTTAGAATTCAATATAAGAGTAGGCCATATAGCCGCTGCCCGAACAAATTTTTCATCATAGTACACTGTATGACGTATGCCTGTCTTCATTAGCCCATTCGGTGCAGACCAGTTGGATGTTAAACCCCATTTCATTTCATTTCCTTTAACATAAGTGCAATACTGCAAAAACTGATACGGTTGATTGTTGTAATGTCAGAATCCAAACATAATTCCCTTTGACATAGCCCAATTTGATATAGAATTTACGACAATTTGACAGAATGATGGTTTCAGGATCTTGTAAACGCGCCACAGATCAATTCTCTCAAACACAAAATCTCTAATTTTAACAGAATTGAAATGTTGAATATCACAATTTCATAGTTCAGACATGGAGTATAAAATGGGTTTTATTTCTCACCAGCGCATCCAATCAAATTAAATTTTGTCAGTATGTGTTAATCCAAGCTATTATATATTATCTGTTTTATTTCAGTGTCAAGATACACTCTGTCAGTTTGGTACATTTCTATCCATGCAGTTGAGTACAGAAGAATTTGTGAAACGATTACCTTCCATAGATGTTTTAGTTTCTGAATATCACGTACCACCAGATGCTGCCTTTTTCCTTACCAGACCTCAATATACACATTTAATCAGCGTAAGTTATTTGATAAACTTTTAATTCAACCTCTAGATACACTTTCAATTTTAGTTATTACACTTCAGTAAACACATTTTATCAGTGCAAGTTATTACACTTCAGTAAACACATTTTATCATAGTTATAGTTATTACACTTAGTAAACACATTCTGTTATTGTTATAGTTATTACACTTTAGTAAACACATTTTATCAGTGCAAGTTATTACACTTCAGTTTTAGTTATTACACTTCATTAAACACATTTTATCAGGTTATTACACTTCAGTAAACACATTTTATCAGTGTAAGTTATTGCACTTCAGTAAACACATTTTATCGGTGCAAGTTATTGCACTTCAGTTTTAGTTATAACACTTCAGTAAACACATTTTATCAGGTTATTACACTTCAGTAAACACATTTTATCAGTGTAAGTTATTACACTTCAGTAAACACATTTTATCGGTGCAAGTTATTACACTTCAGTAAACACATTTTATCAGTGTAAATGATTACACTTCAGTAAACACATTTTATCAGTGTAAATGATTACATTGATACTAATAAATTACACCTATCATATAAACATTTAAGCCATGTAAAAGTTACTGCATCCTAGTATACACAATTTATCAGTAGATATTAGCTAGTCCTACAAAAAAATAAATAATAGAAATAGACCAACTACTGTTCCCTGTTGTAGTTTATATTTTGTGTATTTTGTAACTTGATAGGTTCGCTATGAAGAACTCAGGAAGATAGATAAATCGAATAAGACAACTAGTCAGAACAAGGTAATAAAAATACATTTTTATACGCCCACATTTTCGTGTGAGAAACTTCCAATCAATAGAAACAGGTAATAGAAACCAATTACAGAAGGTTTGATGGGATCAGTTTTGACTGTCAGAATGATGCATTTGATATTCCGATCAGATGATATACAATAATTAATAGAATACAATATCAAAAAACCATCGTTTTATCAATGTTTTGTTAGTAAAAATGCTAACTTCTTCATGGATGAAGAACTAAATACAAAATGACTGAAAGTCAGTTATGACATCACTGCCAGGGTTATTACCCCTGATCTTGTGGATGCTCTATTGTAGGGGTATCAAACATAAGGCCCGAAGGCCACATCTGATCCACCAAGGGTTTAAATGTGGCCGTGGAACAAAATTCAACCAACTGAAGTGTCGATAATTTTAGGAACTAGCGATGGAAATCATTTATTATTCTCCGGTTTCAATAAAACTCTGACTTCGGTACTGTATGTCATAGATATCTAAGTTGTATGTAATACAAGAGAACATGTTGTTTTCAATATTATATCTTGGCAATTAGGAAATCAGTCTAAACATTTCCCTGTCAAGGATGTTTGGCTTTGTTTTGAGAATTCAGTAAAGTTCAAGGACGTTTGTCTTTGTTTTTAGAATTTTTGTATATCTCCGGCCAACTTGATGTAAAATTTTAGTTCATGTGGTCCCTGAATTAAAATGCGTTTGACACTCCTGGTGTGTAGGCTAAAGTTGATATCCGTTTAATGGATTATTTCAGACACAGAGATATATAGAAGCTGCAGAAGAAGTTATGAAACCTGCTGTAGATACTGTTAGACAGATCTATGAACAGAAAATATGGGATGATCTCAGGTAAATATAACATGAACTTTGTGCATAAATGCAAGGAAATGAAAAAGGGTTTAATGTCCTACTGTTCTGCTCCAACTGGGCTAATGAAGACGGACATAGGCCATACATTGTGCTATGAGGGAAATTTTTGCCCAGGCAGCGGCACTATGGCCTACTCTTATATCGAATTCCAACTGCCAAGGGATCTTTTAAGTGCACGCTACTATACACACGTGACCTCTGTTTTTCGTCCCATCCAAACGACTAGCCAAATTTCCTCGTCAGGCCCTCCATCCTGCACCACTGACAAGGGGAAACCACATCCGAAAATCACGATAAACTTTCTCGGCCATTGCAGGGATCAAACACGTTACCTCCAGGCTAGTGAGCCAGCGTCTTACCCAATTTATGCAGGAAAGTGTGTCAAATTATGATTTAATACTGCTGTCAGCTGTAGGAATTTTATTATTATAGATCTATATATAGCCCTTTTCATAAAATGTTCAATAGCGGTCTACAATTTGAAGATTGAGTAGGCCAAAACGGTCAAAATGGTCAAAGTTTCCCACTCGCATACAGAAATATCAAAAAATAAAAATTACCACAACATATTAAATATAATAACAATCTGATTAAAATACAGATCTATATTTCGTTTCCTTTCTTTTGATGGCCTCTAGAAGGATACCCACAGTTCCGTGCATTGATCGCCAAGAGGTCGCTGTAACAGACCGTTTCATTGGCTAATCCCTCACATCATCCAGAACGTAGGTTATATAACAACTCTTCCAGATCTTAGTGTAGTAAAGAAAAGTAAAAACAAAATGAAATAGGATCTGTGTTTTAATCTGATTGATATAATAAGGAATCATTTTAACAAATCTAATCTGTTTATTTTCAGTCCACAATTCTATGCAACTTTCTGGTCACTTTCCATGTATGATCTGTTCACTCCTAAACAAGCCTATGAAAAACAAACTGCCGCACTGAATAGTCAGATAGCTGCTATTGAAGATAATAGAGACATGGTAAGATAAACTTATACATTTCAAGACATTAATTGATAAAAAAAAAACTTCTGTTGAAAAAAAAGGGCTACAGAAGATTTAGAGGCTGTTTCTTAATTAGTACTTGCTGATATCTCGGTTTTTCTATATAAAACTATCCCAGAAATAAAAACCGTCCAAAATATATCACGGTTTAGATTTTTCTGGGTGATATTTAGCATAAATATTGAAACAAGGGTCAACATTATTATTAAAAAATTAAGCATAAATACACTGTACTGTATTTATACTTAATTTTTGAATAATGTTGATTATAAAGTGTCAAGTAATTTGTTGTAGATTAGATAGTAAATGAGATTGCAGAGTTGAAAGAAAGAAGTTCACTGTTTAAAATAAATCTGATATCTATTTCTAGCCTCATAGTAAGAAGAAGAAAGAAAAAGAAAGATGTCAGAATTTAATCGAGAAATTAAAAGAAGAGGAGAAACGTCAGAATGATCATACATCAAGAGTTTTAGCAAGATTAAAGAAATCTAAGGATCAGTGGTTCCTATCACGTGAGTTCCCTTATTCTTCAATATTCATATTAATTTATTCTCAATGTCTATATCACATTTTGCTTATAAATCTTGTTTTTGATACATACTTGAATCTTGCAATTCTGATTATAACAAGCACAGCACATCAATTAAATTCTGTCAATTTTTCTGGGTTTTTTTTTAAAAAAACATCCCAATTTTTATAGACTATTTTTTTTAACAGTAAATATTTTCCATCCTCTAGAGTGTTTTCATTACCTATTTAGAAAGCATTGCACTTTGTTTGTCAATGTGATTTTTTAGATGAAAATTTTCCAATAATCTTTGATTGTGTTTTTTAACAGGTGTAACAAAGAATGAAGCTGTAACACATTTTCTACAGTTATGTGTGTTTCCTCGATGTATATTTACTGCCAGTGATGCTGTTTATTGTTCAAAGTTTATACATGTTTTACATCAACTGAAAACACCCAACTTTTCAACCCTTATCTGTTATGATAGGGTAAGTACTCACAGTATTTATTATTTCTTTTAAACTTTATGGTATGAAGTTTATTTCTTTTAAACTTTATGGTATGAAAGCAAATTGGAATTTTTATTGACATGGAATTAGTAAAGAATTTCGTAGAATTATGTCCATGTTAAAACTTCTGTTTGACCACATTCCACATACCTTATATTCTGCGCAAGATCGTCTGTGGATCATTGGAAGAGCCATGAAACATAACACTGAAACACACTTCTGCCAATACAGTTAAGATTTTGCTTTTTAAATTCCGTCTATATAATTCATTCATGTGGGAATGTGGTCATACAGTACCAGCATTCCACTATGGAAGTTGTAAAAGGGTCTCTGGAATAAGTAAGCATATCGTGCATTGGGCATAGAAGCCACGGTGGGTAAGACGCTGGCTCGCTAGCCTGGAGGTCGCGTATTTGATCCCCACATTGGCCGAGAAAGTTTATTACGATTTTCCAACATGGTTTTCCCTTGTCAGTGATGCAGGAAGGAGGGCCTGACAAGGACAGCTGTCTAGTCGTTCGGATGGGGTGAAAGACCAAGGTCCCGTGTATACATTGGCTTGCTCGTAAAAGATCCCTTGGCAGTTGGAATTCGATATAAGAGTAGGCCATAGTACCACTGCCCGGGAAAAATTTCCCTCATAGCACACTGTATGGTGTATGCCTGTCTTCATTTACCCAGTGGGAGTAGAACGTTAAACCCCATTTCATTTTCATTTCATTTCATTGCATTGGGCATGATATCTATCATTATCTTACATCTAACATTTAATTTGAATGGTTGTTATTCTAATAGGTATATAGAGAGGTCCCTAAAGATAACTTGATAATAAGTTTTATTATCTCATCTCTATTTGTAGATATTTTGTGATATTACATATTGTGTAACAAGTTGTACAGAAAATGAAGCACATCGTTACGGCAGATTTCTGTGTACAACTTTAGACACTGTGATGAAATGGCATAGTGATAAAACATCTTATGAAAAGGTGAGAATTATACCAGAGCATTTTAAAATATTCAATTAATAAAAGTCGACATTCTATTATCAAATTCTGTTTGAGATCCTATAATTCACCATGAAGAAGGAAGGACATTGTCTCTTCAACAGTAAGTTTGTAACCAGATATACTGTAAAATTGGTTGAATTTATGCAACACATAGTCTTATCTTTACATTAATATCCAACTGTGTGTTGTTTAGTAATAACAGACAGCTTTATGTATAACATTCACTAGGTTAATTAACAGTAGCGTTTCAATGAGGTTATTACTTGATAACGGTGCGAGTATACTCATTGTTATCTAGTGAATGTTATCCATAACGCTGTTTGTTATTGTATACAGGAATGTGTTATTATGTATATGTACAGGAATGTGTTATTATGTATATGTACAGGAATGTTTATATGTATAATTATGTTTTTATAAAGGAATGTGCCACATATCCAGGTTTTGTAACAGTATTTAGAAAGGGTACAGACAGCAGTAATAAAGCTGATCAGTTAGATTTTGAGAACTACAGACATGTTTGTCACAAGTGGCATTTCCGAATAACTAAGGTAAGTAATCCAATAAATAATATCTTTAAGTAACGAAAACTGTATCATTGACATCATTAATGTAGATATTTTAACTTAAGAGCAAAATGTTCTTGTTGCTTTGGGTTTTCTCCTGGTCCTCTGGTTTCCCCTCACTGCCATACGAATTATTGAAATAAAATTGAACCATGTTAGTCCTGAAATGATCTAGTTTGTGTCCATTAAACTCTCTCTCTCTCTCTGTCTCTCTCTCTGTCTCTCTCTCTCTCTCTCTGTCTCTCTCTCTCTCTCTCTCTCTCTCTCTCTCTCTCTGTTAATTAGCTATATATACACTATTATTGCTGATAATTTGATGCGGGGGCTGGGGGAGAGAAATGAGGTTTAACGTCCACTCGACACAACTAGGTCATTTCGGGACTAACATATGGTTTAATTTTATTTCAATAATTTGCTTGCGCATAGGGGTCTTTAGCAGTGGGAGGAAACCGGAATAATTTGATGCACATTGTCTTATAAACATTATACTATTTTCTTTTTCAGTCAATGGTTTCTAGCCTGGAATCTGGAAATTATATACAAATTAGAAACTCACTCATTGTACTCACAAGAGTAAGTATTATTAATATTGTTTTATAGAAATATATACATGTGTAATAAATATAAAATATACTTCAAAATGTTTTGATTTTTTTCTTATGAATTTTTATTGTTAAATTTTGTAGATTTTACCCCACTACCCTAGAATATTACAGTTCTGTCAAGCTTTAGAGAGACGTGTTGATAGACTTGGTAAAGAAGAAAAAGAAAAGCGACCAGATTTATATGCTCTAGCCCTGGGGTATGTTAGTTTTTATCTTGTCACCTATCTTACAAAACAAAATGTTTGGTAATAGTATATGTATTGAGCAATCTGTTTCTTGGTAAAATGGTACCAATTGCTTGCATATAAGTTAAACAGTCAAAACTTCAGAAATTAACATTTACTAGAAATAAAAATTTTAAAAATAACTTTTAGCATTTTTATCTTGTTATTCATCTAAAGTTTGAAATGTTGATATTTCTGTTGTTTTGCTACAGTAGATCATGTAAGTAAAGTATTTTGTTATATAATATTATTTAAATTATGTGTTTATAGATATGCTGGTCAATTGAAGAATAAGAAATCTACATGGATACCAGAACATGAATTCCATATCAAAGATAAGGAGGCTGTAAGTAGACGTAGTATGAATTTTAATATTGTCTCTAAAAGATATGGGCGGGGTTTGGATGGCCGAATGGTTAGCGCATGCGCGTCGTTTCAAAAGGTATGTCTTTGAGTTACCAGGTATGATTTCGATTCTCCGGTTGTATGTGACGAGGAGTAGGGTTGCTTGTCCAATCTCACGGGTTTTCTCCGGATCTTCCAGTTTTTTCCCACAGTTAAAGACCCTACGTGCAAGCGAATTATTGAAATAAAATTCAACCATATGTAAGTCCCAAAATGACCTAGTTTGAGACAAGTGTACGTTAAACACCATTTCTCTCTCTCTCCACATAAAATACATGTATACTCTATTGACATCAATACTACATGAATTGAAATAATTTAACTTTTATCATTGCTACAGCCAAAATCTAAGATATCAAGTAATGGTGTTTCAAAATCTGATGTTAAAAATGGTGTAAAGAATTCATCCAAGACATCAGATGTAGATGGTATGTATAAGCATCATTATTTTATTATTCTCATTTACTTATTTTACATGGCAGTCTTAGAAATATATAATTTAACATATCAGTTTTATTGATAGAGGGGAGCCATGATGGCTAATTTGGTAAGAGCTGGCTTGCTATAGCCTAGCCTGGAGGTCGGGTGTTTGATCCCTACATTGGTCGAGAAAGTTCATCGGGATTTTCTGACGTGGTTTCCCCTTGTCAGTGATGCAGGATGGAGGCCCTGACAAGGACAGCTGTCTAATCTTTCGGATGGGACGAAAAACCAAGGTCCCGTGTATACATTGCAATGCACGTAAAAGATCTCTTGGCAGTTAGAATAAGATACAAGAGTAGGCCATAGTGCCACTGCCCGAACAAAATTTCCTTCGGAGCACACTGTATGGCGTCTTCATTAGCGAAGTCGGAGCAGAACAGTAGGACGTTAAACCCAATGTCATTTCACTTTTAGTGATAGACAATTGGGAGTTGTGGGAGTATGGGAAAATTTATTCAAGATATAGATGTCATGTGATATGTCATTTAATTCAGGTGAAAAAGGAAAAGAAAATAAGGAGGTTAGAGAAAAGGTAGATAAGTCTAATGATAAGAAAGTGAAACTTGATAAACCATCTGAGAAACGTGAAAAGAAAATAAAGGATGAAAGAGAAACAAAAACATCATCAGATGGATTAGTTGAATCAAGGTAAATATCACAGGTTCTGTTCGATTAAAATACAGATCTATATTTCCATTTGTTTTTTTTATTCTTTCGCTTGCCATTACTACATGAAGATCTGACCGGTTGTAGTGGAAGGCTCGCGTCAGTGGTCATATGACCCTATGACATTAAACATTTGATTGACCAGTCAGCGTTGATGTTTTTAGTGGGTTTCCCACAGTTCCGTGCATCGCATGCCAAGAACTAGCCTTTACAGACCGTTTCATTGGCTAATCTCTCACATCAACCAGAATGTGGGTTATATAACACCTCTTCCAGATCCTAGTGTAGTTTAGACTTGTAAAACGAAATTTTGAACTATAAAAAACGAAACGAAATAGGATCCATGTTTTAATCAGATTGATAAATTCTTATGTTTAATTCAAAATCTTTGAAGATGCGTATGTTTATTGAATTAAAAATTATTACAATGGGTCATGGTTTCATAGCAGTTGCTCTATGTGCAGAACAGAGTGGAGGGCTATTTTGGTTTGACAGCACCGTTTTTGCCTTCTGTTCATTGAATTCCAACTGTGAAGAATTCTACGTCAATGTGTACATAGATGGACCTTAGTTTTTCGTATAATTCGAAAAAAAATACTAAGAACCCCTTAATGGTCATCCTCTCTGGTATCACCCCTGATAAGTGGGAACATTCTACATTATAGAACCACTTTCATGTTATTTAATTTGTATTTTTATGATTTTAGAACCACTTTTACGTTATTTAATTTGTATTTTTTATAATTTTAGAACCACTGTATTTTTTATGATTTTAGAACCACTGTATTTTTTATGATTTTAGTGCCAAATCTAGAGATCGCTCACCTAAAGAGAAATCCGACGGGAACAAAGAGAGCAAGAGCAAAGAGGATAAAATATCCAAGGATGAGGCTAAAAAGAAAGAGATGAGAAGGGAAGAGAAGGCCAAGTTAAAAGAAGAGAAGCGACGTGAAAAGGAAGAGAGGAGAGAAGAAAGACGTGAAGAAAGAAAACGTAGAAGTGCTAGTAGAGAACGGGAGAAGGGTGTAGAGGAAAGATCGTCCAGTGTTCAGTCTAATGGTAGTCATGGATCTCATCGTAGAAGTGCTTCACCTAGACATGCTGAGGAAAGAGGTAAATAAATGAAAGCTGATGGGAGATTTTGTGCTCACAGTTTCAGAGCTAAAACGATTTCATTAACGAAATGAAGAGTACAGTAGAATCTGCATTAAGCAGCCACCCAAGGGAATTTTCACAACTGACCGCTTAACGGGAGTGGCCTCTTAATAAAATCTCGTTGCTTTTTGTGCTGACATAAATTAAATATTACGCTTGGATGCATTGGAAGCGGTAAATTTGTCTGTCGCTGAATCTTGCGCCGAACGAAAATTCTTTACTCAAATCTCGGACATAACTTCTGTAAACTTGTCATTTTGTACCAACCTTCGATACTACTGTGATGCATTCGATAATATTTATCCATTTTTGTAAAGAAAATCGATGAATTCATTTTATTTTATCAAAAAAGCACATGAACAAACAAACATCGCTAATTTTATCACCTATTTACAGGGGGTGTAACTCTGTATCTAATATTATAGGAGGCGCTAAGAGAGATACTAGATGATCGTGACAAAACTCGGTACTTTTATTTTATTCAATCAGCATCAAATAATGTGTTGTTACGCGTGAAAACAATGATCAGGTTAGTCGTTTAATAAAACAAAAGATTAATTAACAGATAATCCCGGGTTGATTGTTATTTTTACATTTCTTTTTACCTGATCAGTGGGGGTCCAGTTAATTAACTACTACTCACGGGATTAGCGGGGGTGTTACAAAGAACGACAAAATGGTATCATTCAACAATGGCCGTTGAATGGGCGATGTTTTGTTGAATTTATTAGTAAAATAGTGACCGCTGGCCGCGTTAGAGGAGTGACCGTTGAATAAAGAGATGAAACAACAGAATTTCTACGGGGGGAATTTATCGTGACCGCTTACAAGGAGATGTCGCTGAATAGGAGTGGCTGCTCATACAGATTCTACTGTATTTACAAGCCTGGAAATAAGGCGCCTGTCACAGATCATGTCAGGCACAGATTCAGGCTTTGTCAGGCACTAAACCTCTGGTGCCTGTCATTTTGTCTGGCCTTGATTTGTCTTTTTTATTGATATTATTAATACATGTCTGGCAATAAGTTGAAAATGTCAGGTACTATTTCATTAGTGCCTGACATTTTGTCAGGTACATCTAAACCGTTATTTCCAGGCCTGAGTATTTGAAATTTTTACTTTGATTCTGATAGTTATTGCATCAATCCACAAAATATTGAGACAATTTCTTATTATTGAAATAAAATTGAACCATATGTTAGTCCTGAAGTGACCTAGTTTGTGTCGAGTGGACGTTAAACCCCATTTCTCTCTCTTATTTATGGTTAAGCAGACTTCCTATTTCAATTTTTCGGCGTGGTTCTCCCTTGTCAGTGATGCAGGACGGAGGGGCTGACAAGGAAAGCTGTCTAGTCGTTCGGATGGGACGAAAAACCAAGGTCCCGTGTACACATTGGCGTGCACGTAAAAGATCCCTTGGCAGTTGGAATTCGATATAAGAGTAGGCCGTATTGCCGCTGTCCGGGCAAAATTTCCCTCATAGCACACTGTATGGCGTATGCCCGTCTTCATTAGCCCAAGTTAGGAGCAGAACAGTAGGACGTTAAACCCCATTTCATTTCATTTCATTTCCTATTTCAATTGTTTTCTTCCGCAGACGTGAAGAGAAGAAAAGTGGATCTGGATAAATCTGGTTCTAAGGTTAGTATTGATTTGGAGATTAAATCCAATAATACAGTGCCGGTAATGGTAGAAATTCAACAACAGTAATAACCATGGTAACTGAACAACCAATCGAATGGTCTAGAATGGAAGAAGATACTGGTGTTGTGTATGTGTGTCTATGAGGCATTTTGTTGTAATTTATGTGGTTAAGATCATTTCTGCTGGAAGGGTATAAAATTTGTTCTGCCTGATTCAGAAGCTTTTGATCAAGTTTCCTAAAAGCAGCAGATACCATCATCCTAATCAGTGTTGGTTGTGGGTCATTTTCACAATATTTTTTTCTGCAAAAGGTGTATTCTTTGGACTCCTTATTTAGGTTGATCAGGTTTTCAAGGAGAGAACCTTTTATCATCTTGCGTTACGAAAATGAGTTTTAATTTGGAGTGTGAAGAATCCCCGTGTTTTTCCAAGTAGATAGCTTGTAAAGACTTTCCATCCATATGTCTACTACGAATTTGAATATCGAAATTTGATCCAGCGAAAGATCTTGGCTTTTCTATGAGATAAACCCGACCAAGAACTGGCCCCGTTGCCAGAAGATGATCTTCTCTCTTAATGGCTAGTATTTTTTCACACGTTTTGCTACCACGTCAAATGTAACCATATATAAGAGACTTTATATCATTCACATAATACAAGCATCACTTGAAGTAGCACGTAAAAAAATATGTTTTAAAGCATTCGAAAAATAGCCTTGTTATTGGTTCAGATTCAGAAAAATTCTCCCCAACTTGTATCTCTTGGCATTTTTGCTAAAATGAAGTGCTAAATGTCAGCATGAAACTTGTTGCATGTATTCTCCTTCTAATGTAGCAGTTTCCAAACCAGAGGCTCATTTGAAGAACTTAGTCTTGGGAAATAATTCTTAAAGAGAACCATCAATCATCACCTCTACCTGATTCTGAAGATACCATGGTCCTCTTGGATGCCAGCTCGGGATATTTTTTCTTTGTAACAGTTGTGCCATAGCTCCAGATCTTGTGGCGCCAGAGTTCCGGATGGTCCTACTGGATGCCAGCTCGGAATATATTGTACCAGAGCTCCAGTTCTTGTTCCGCCAGAGCTCCAGATGGTCCTCCTGGAATGCAGCTCGGGATATGTTGTCTTTGTAACATTTCTACCATAGCTCCAGTTTTAGTTGTGCCAGAGTTGCGGTTAGATATTACATGCCATTCCACTAAAGTTCTAGTTATACCAAACCTCTAAGTCCAATTGCATATATTTTCGATAGTATGCTGCTGCTCTACCAAAGTTCCAGTTAAGCCATATTTTGATAATATCATACATCCTGTTCTACCCAAGTTGCAGTTGTAGCAAAGTTCCAGTTCTAATTACACCATAGTTGCAGTAATATCATACATCTTATTCTACCAAAGTTCTAGTCATACCAATGTGCAAGTATCAAACAAATGAAATGAGGTTAAACGTCCTATTGTTCCCATCAACGGGGCTAATGAAGATGACAGGATAAAAGAATGAAGTTTTTATTCGCCAAGTTTCAAGAGTAAGACTACTGAAGTTTTGAGACCTGAAGTATATGTAGATTTCCTGCAGAATCTACATGAAAGTGCCATTAACCAAAGATTAATATAATTATAAGAAATCCATTTTTCATCATCCAGACTTCCTTACTTTTTACCATGTTCAGAAAGACACACAGAAGAAGAGAATCCAACCATTTTCATCATACAGAAGATCTGATGGCCGTATATATGATTGTCGAGTTATAAACAATTTATAAACATTCCATTTTACGTGAAACCTTGATGAAGAAATTAATCATTTATTTTTGTTGTTTTATTATTTGGACCAGTATTAATAGTCATGTGATACTATCGTTAATGGAATCCCAGATTTGCATTTAATGCTGTTTTAAGTTTTATCATTAGTTAAATGTGTTTGGTTATCCAGAATTAATTTAATCACTGCCTGTGCGAGTCGTATATTTATATAACAAAGAATAAGGTTATCCATATTTCAGATGAAAACTTGTTCCTTAGTTGACAGACTTTTGATCTATATTTTTTTTTTTTGATAGAAATCCTAGTCTTCTTTATAAAATATTGAAGTATGATAATTTTATATAATAAATCTATTGAGTTTTTTTATCATGTGTTGGTCAAATATTTTGAAAGAGGTTATAGTTGTGTGCTTGGGAGAGTGTTGTATTGATATTTGGACATTGTGAGATCAACAAAATCATTGTTTTTACGAGAAATTGTGTTGATGCCGTATTTGTGATTGTGCTATGTTTCGAGGAAATAATTCTAGGACAAGCACTGACTGTGTTCAAATATCCTGTTTAATGATGTGCTAAAATGATCAATGGATATGATATTCGGAAGAAAGTGTTTTCGTTTGCAAACCATTATAAAAATGACGTCAAATTTATTGTGCTTATGTTTGTGCAACGAAAGGAATAGGAGTGGTTTTCATATTGAAGAGGTGAATTTTGCTTTAAAATTTGTCTTGAGTGGGGTGGGTGGTGAAATGTTTGAGTTTCTTCAAATGTGTTACTGGATGCTCCTGGCTGATAACAACTACCGTCTTATCTTCAGGATCAGTTTATATTCCTAATATCCTCTATTAAATCTACCAGTTTGTGAAAATGCCTCAGCCAATTAAATAAGTAGGGTTTGTATCAATAGAACATCATTTTTGACACCAGATCTAGTCGCTTAAAATTTTCAGATTCCACATAAAACGCAGACTGTACCTTTTTTTTGTTATTTAAAAATATTCATTGAAAATATTTGACCAGACACTACACATGTCCCAAACTCACTACTTCTATATAAGTAATACTGAATAGTGAGTGGATGTTACCCCACCCCACCTCCTCTTCTCTCTCTCTCTCTCTCTCCCCCCCCCCCCCCCCGGTTTGAAGCAAAGTGGTTACAAAGTTCATCCATAAACCATCCAGCTCATTTCAATTACATGTACTATGTCAAAAGCAAGAGATATAATCGTCTTCCTCTCTCTCTCTCCCCTCCCCCAAAAGAAAAAAAAAAGATTATAGAATTTAGGCGTTCCTATATGAATTTACATTCTGTCAATCTGTGCCAAATATTTTCATTGAATATTATATATGTATGTGTATACATGTATTTATAATTAAGCTGTATTCTTTTCTGTATTGATTTCAACATATATATATAGCCATTAAATTTGGGTGCATTATGAATGTATGTAAAATTGCTGAATTATCAAAATTTAGATTTTGTGGCAAGATTGAATACCCTGATAATAATGAGTGAAGGCAAATATATTTAATTAGAAGTTTCTGACTTGAATATGTTTGTACAGTAAGAATTAAAAGAATACAGCTTTAATTATCAACAAATGTGATGATGATTGTTATTTCACAATGTTTATCATTAGTTTGGTTTAAACAAGAATATTATCATCAAATAATTCAAGATATTTTAATGGTACCCATGATAGTGATACATGTTTGTTATAACCATTCTGTTTAATAAACATATTTCTAACATTATTTTATTAATCTTGTAAAAGTGATACTCTTTATTTCTTCAAATTAAACATAAATATTGCAGGTCTTTCTTTAGACCTGAAATCTTATCTAAATTATTAAACATTAATTAGCTTATCCAGACCATAATCAACTCTTGATGCCATCGTTAGCCTGCGATATTTAGCAGATTGAAATATACTTTTTGAAAAAATTCAACGTAAAAATGGATAATCGAGACTGAAATGTTCAGCATATTCTATTATAGCGAGAACTGTCAACTCTCTATCTAATCCCCCATAATGCCCCTTTAATGGCTTACATTACTCATGAATATATTAAATGAAATCTAGCCATATTAATGTCTTTTATATAATTCCTCGACAACATCTCTCTTAATGTTAAAGGAGAATACTCCCAATTTGTGGTATTTTCTGCACAGTGATTTGCTCCAGATATAACTGAAAGAGAGTATCATTTTAACATCTAAGGGCTCACATGAATAGTCTGTTATGTTTTTCGGTGATCAGAGAAATGCTGTTATTAAATTAACACTTCCTTGTTTTAAATAAAAACTCGCCATGTTTAAAAACAACAGAATGACATGAATTATACAGCTAACTATGAGCTCATATTTGTAGCTGTCGAAACTTCCTGAAAATAACAAGAAACAGGCTTTATAGTGTGAGCTCTTAGAACTATTCTTGTATGTTAACCTTTGAAATTGTTTTAGATATTTATCATTGTTTTGTGCATAGATATGTAGTAAATGATTTTTTTTAACATTTAAAGATGCAGTAATACTTTCATCAAAAAGATAAAGTCATTAATTTGTAACATACACAATTATCAATGGTATTTAAGAAAGTGGGGTTGGATGGCCAAATGGTTACCACATGCTCGTTGTATCATTAGGTCTGTCATTGAGTCAACTGGTATGGTTTAAATTCCCTGGTTGTACCTCATGGGTTTTCTCTGGGTCCTCTCAAGCGAATTATTGAAATAAATTTGTATCATGTTACTGTTAGTCTCAGAATGACCTAGTTTGTGTTGAATGGATGACAAACCCCATTTCTCTCTATATATATATATATTTAAGAAAACCGTAATTATCAGAAACTAATTATTAACTCAATTATGTTTTCTTTAAAAACCAATTTGTAATTCATGTCAAAAAGAAAATCTTGTCAGAAGAAAGGATCAGAACATTTCACTATTACAACAATATGATTATTGTCATAGGGGGCTGGTGTCTATTGTAACAGCTTGTTTATTTAAAGACCCCGTGTATCTACTGGTTTATGACAATATTGTCAAAGTAATACTGCGTCTTTAATATATGTACATGTATATATATAGTTATATTTCAGGTATAAATAACAAATAATTCATATAGATTGACACACATCTTGAACAAATGTCACTTTTATCATATATAAACATATTTCTTATACACTCATAAAAAAAATAACTCATATAAAAAAATATGAAAAAGGTCATATGTAAAGAATCTAAAAATACAATTATCTAACAATTACATAAAACAATAGGTATACCTTTAACAGTTATTATATGATCATTTTCTAAATCAGTGATTACAATTATTCCATTTGGATGTAATCATTAAAATATGGATACATTAAAACATGAATACTAGTAAAACAGCTTTGAAATGGAGTAAATTATTAATGAAATGAACGGTAGATTGTTCATTCTGTATGTTAAGCTCATAATAACAATATACAATATACATAAATATTACAACCTCTTTAAAATCAAGTATAAATGTGTACTGAAAGCAATATAGAATTAAAATTTCATTTTGGTAGAGTTCACAAAGACCAATTAATTTCATGCATACTGAACATAACTTTCATGACATTTAAACGTATGCACACCATATTGTCACATTTTAGGGTTTCTTACCCAAGGGTCTTTGGGGGTCCATGGAGGGCTTTTTCTCTGCTGGTCTAATAATCTTTATAAAATCATTTTAACACTCAATTGTTTTATTGATATCTTTTTTATTACGTCCACATTTTTATGTGGACGTACATTGTTGTTGCCCTGTCCGTACGGATATCCTTCCACAGGTCACAATTTTTATCCGATTTTGACCAAACTTGAAATGTAGGTTTATCTCCCAAAGATCTTGGTTCCTTTCGATATTGACATGTATCAGACAGTAACTTCATGGATTATGGCCCCTGATTGTACGAAAAATCGCATTTTAGCTTGTCGACATTCTACAGGTCACAATTTGTATCCGATTGGAATGAAACTTGAAATATGTTTTTATAACCTAAAGATCTCAAGTCCTTTTGATATTCGCGGATATTGGACAGTAATTTCGTGTATTATGGCGCTTGATTGTACAAAAAATCTGGTTTTAGCTAGTGGTCCCTCTAGAGGTCACAATTTTTAACCAATTTAAAAAAACGTTTGGTTATATCACCGTTGCACCATAATGACAATTGAGTTTCAGACTGAAACTGACGGACAAAATGGCCGCTCCATGTATGCAAATAGTGTTAAAGTATGTCATACCAAGATTGTGGACCATCTAGAGGTCACAATTTTGAACCGATTTTGATGAAACTTAAAACATGTGTTTATATTACAAAGATCTTGGTTCCTGTCGATATTGGTGCATATCGGACCGTAACTTTCTGGATTGTGCCTGATTGTACGGAAAAATCGCAATTTTAGCTTGTTGATCCTCCTTTAAGAGGTCACAATTTTTATCCAATTTTAAAAATCGTTTAAATATATAATCGTTATCACCTGATGATGGTTGGGTTTGTAATTCGTAAAAATCGGACCGAAATTGCCCAACAAAATGGCCGCTCCTTGAACGCAAATAGCGTAAAAGTATGTAATACCAAGGTTGTGGACCCTCTAAGGTCACAATTTTTATCCGATTTTGATGAAACTTAAAATATATATTTATATCCCAAAGATCTTGGTTCCTTTAGATATTCGCGTACTTCAGACCATAAATGTGTGGATTATGGCCCCTGATTGTACGAAAAATCACATTTTTAGCTTGTTAATCCCCTAGAGGTCACAATTTGTATCCAATTTTAAAAACCGTATATAACCGTTGCACCGTAATTAAGGTCGAGGTTGAAATTCGGGAAAATCAAAACGAAACCCTACAAAATGGCCTCTCCTTGTATGCAAATAGTGTAAAAATATGTAATACAATGGTTGTGGACCCTCTAGAGATCACAATTTTTATCCGATTTTGATGAAACTTAAAATATATGTTTATAATCCAAGGATCTCTGTTTTGTTTTTTTTAGCTTGTTCTCTATCCATCTCTTGCAAAATGTGGGCGTATCTTGCATGGCAACAGCTTGTTTAAATTTAAAACATGTGTAGGGGGGTACAGAATAAGTTGTATAATATACAATCATTATTGTTTATCTTTTAAATTAACAAATAAAAAAGTATGGTTATTAGGACACAGTTAAAGAGAAAAGCTCTCCTCTCCCCCTTAAAGGCTTGTATCCTTAAAGGCTTGATGCTTCATTTGCATTTCTCATGACGTAACACACTATATATACACAGATTGATTATTTAACATTTAATTAAGAAAACAAAATATCAACACTAGATAATCTCCTGGCTTACATTCAATCAGATTTAATCTAGTTCCATCAAGTTTCTCTGTGCTACCAATAAAAGATAACCGTGTCTTGTTATGCTCAAGCAGCATAGATCAATCATATTTCAATTTATCATAACTTTTTAAATACTGAACGGAATTGGACCATTTCTGGACTGATGGATTAACCTTGTACAATATTTGCAAGGGGTTCCTATAGCTCTAAATGATGCATCAAACCTTTAATTAAAGGACAACGTTGGTGTCAGCCACTATTATATATGTGATCTAACTGGTTAAACACATTCCAAATATAATTTTAACACACAGATCATTGCTACGGTAGATGTGTAATGAAGATTTGAAGAAACAGCAAGTGACGCAAAAAATGGAAAACACGAGTTATCCTTATATATATAATTGTAATTGACCGAAGTAATGAACATGGTCAATTTTCAGCTCACTGATAGTTCTTTTGAAGATGAAATGTTGATATATGAGACTGTGAGAAGATATCTGACAGTTCATGAAAAGAATTTTCTGTCATAAGATAAGAGAAAAATAGGAAAAGTCTGCATTACCAGTGTTAAAATTATATTTGGAATTTGTTTGACCAGTTCTGTCACATATGTGGCTGACACCAACATTATCCTTTAAATATCCTTATACAATAAATATTAAAGAAAATGGTACGATTCAACTCTTTCTAGTAGATTCTCAAAAATGTTCCCAAATCACAAACATATTTGATACACATATGTAGATGTACATCAATACATTTATTTAAATTAAACATTGTTTATAAAATTTGCAGGAAAATATATGTATGATATTTTTCAGGACGCTGTTCCAGAAAACAAGATTAAATATAAAAGGGTAAGATTAAAATGTGTGTAATTTGACAAATGTAACTTGAAGAGGCGTTGTTACAGTGAACATGAAATTATATGTAATTAAATATAGTAATATGTTCAAGATATATGTGGCCGAGAAAGTTCATTCAGATTTTCGCCTGTCCAACCTCGTGGGTTTTCTCCGGGTCCTCCGGTTTCCTCCCACTGCTAAAGACCTCTACGTGCAAGCGTATTATGTAAATAAAATTAAACCATATGCTAGTCCCAAAATGACCTAGTTTGTGTCGAGTGGACGTTTCCCCTTGTCATTGATGCAGAATGGAGGGCCTGACAAGGACAGCTGTCTAGTCGTTCGGATGGTACGAAAAACCGAGGTCCTGTGTACACATTGGCGTACACGTAAAAGATCCCTTGGCAGTTGGAATTCGATATAAGAGTAGGCCGTAGCGCCTGGCAAAATTTCCCCCATAGCACACTGTATGGCGTATGCCCGTCTTCATTAGCCCAGTTTAGGAGCAGAACAGTAGGACGTTAAACCCCATTTCATTTCAAGATATATGTAGACTAGCACAGTTTTTGAAGATATATGATATAGTCTAATTGCGATAATTCCCAATAATTACGGTATGCGCGTCTGCAAATCTTAAAATGTCTGTATCAAAGAGATGGGTTTGAATGTCTTTCAAATTTTGAGGCACAAAGTTATTGCTGATGGCATTTTGGCATCATTAAGGCATCATGCATAAATACTGTAGTTATAGATGACCCCTTCTGTCATCCACAATTTTTACATTTATCAGTCAAAGTTTGTGAAAGCTCTAATAACAAAAATTACTAACGACAAAAGTTATATCCTGATCTGTATCAAATTTATTAGCATTATTTAAATTCGTAAAACATTGTTTTCTTTATTTGGCAAATGAGCTATGAAAAAAGCTCGCCTCATTTTCAAAAGGGGGGTGGATGGCTGAATGGTTAGCAGGTGCGCCCTGTATCATAAGGCCCGTCATTGAGTCAACTGGCGTGGTTTCGAATCCCCAGTTGTACGTGACAAGGAGTAGGGTCGTCTGTCCAACCTTGTGCGTTTCCTCCCATTGCTAAAGACCCCAACGCGCAAGTGAATTATTGAAATCAAATTAAACCATGTTAGTCCCGAAATGACCTAGTTTGTGTCGAGTGGAGGTTAAACCCCATTTCTCTCTCTCTTTCATTTTCAAAAGAAAAAAATCACTCTCCTCAGTTTGGACAAGGTGAGAGATTTGGCTTTTGATCATTTGTCAATGATATAAAATAAAATATGGTAATTAAGATGCTCAATAAAACAAAACTCTTCTCGATCAATATTCAGGTGAAATGGTGCACAAGCTGAATCATGCAACTTAAAAAAAAAAAAAAACGACTAATATAGCCACACAAGTTGATAATGCATTTTATCTAGAGTATTGACAATTTGATTAAAATAAACATCTATATTTCATTTCGTTTCTTTATACATTCAATGGCCTACACTACATGGCCAGTGGTACTGGGAGGTTGCGTCAGTGGTCATATGAGCGGCTTTTGACCCTGTGATGTAAGACATTGATTAATCTATCAGCGTTGACGTTTCTAAGGGTTTACCCACATTTTCGTGTAGAGCAAGCTAATAGAGCCACATTTTCAGTAAGAGAGAGAGAAATGGGTTTAACGTCCACTCAACACAAACTAGCTCATATCGGGACTAACACATGATTCAATTTTATTTCAATAATTCGCTTGCAGTGTATCAGTGGAAGGAAACCGAAGGACCTGGAGAAAACCCACAAGGTTGGACAGGCGACCCTACTCTTTGTCACGTACAACCGGGGAATTAAAACCATGCCAGTTGATTCAATGACAGAACTTATTATACAACGCGCACATGCTAACCATTGGGCCATACCCTCCCCCCACCCCCCCTGCCGTAACAGACTATTTCATTGGCTAATTTCCTCACATCAACTAGAACGCCTGTTATATAACAACTCTTCCAGATTTTAGTGTAGTAAAAACAAATAATAACGAAATTTTGAACTATAAAAACGAAACGAAATAGAATCTGTGTTTTAATCAAAAATGACAATAATAGCAACTTGCAGTAAGTTGAAATGGTATCGCAAGGAAATATTGTAATAGATATTGATGCATAGTGAAAAGGCAAAATCTGCTGCCGTAATCATTTCAATTTTTCGAACAGTTTTATTTTTAACCGCTTAATTCAAGCAAAAATGTACAAATTCGTTATTTAGTACTTAATTTAAGAAAAAAAAATTGGAATTTGTAAAAGATTACACAGATTGAAGAAACATAAATGTATGTGGCCACCTGGTGCTGTAGACTCATCCCTCGAAACAAATTTTTTAAAAATAAGTTAAGACTTTTGGAAATTTGAAAATTATAATAGATAATTTCTCAGCGTTTGTTAAAAACAGGTTCATTAAAAGAATTTACCAAACATTTCTAGGTGGGTTGGATGTCCGAATGGTTAGCGCATGCGCATTGTATCATAAAGTCTGTCACTGAGTCAACTGGCGTGGTTTCGCTTCCCCGGTTGTACATGACAAGGAGTAGGGTCGCTTGTCCAACCTCGTGGTTTTTCACTGGGTCATCTGGTTTCCTCCCACTGCAAAAGACCCCACTGCTACACTGCAAGCGAATTATTGAAATAAAATTGAACCATATGTTAGTCCAGAAATGACCTAGTTTGTGTGGTGGACCTTAAACCCCATTTCTCTCTCTCATACATTTCTATGTAGCACTGTTTTGTTTATATAGTGTGTAGATTTAACCTATTTTAGAGATGCAACTTTTACAATATTGTGGTTACAAGCGAATCACAATCCCACAGATGATGACCAGTTATTTTAAAGTTCTGCCTTATTAAAATGAAATGAGTAGGCAATTAATGACAACTAATCATGGTAAAATATATACCATTAAAAATTACTCTTTCTATAGACCCAACTACCAATAAAATATAGAAAATAGTTGTTAGCACCTAGCCACAGTAGCTCAGTGAGTAAGATTCTGGCTCGCTAACCGGGCGGTCTTGGGTTCGCTGCCTGTGTTGGCCGAGAAAGTTCGTCAAGATTTTCTGGCGTGGTTTCCCCCTTGTCAATAAAGGACAGAGGTCCTGACAAATAAGTATCTAGCCCAGGCTTTTTAGACATTATTGAAATTTTTTTACAACTTTTGCGAAAATGTTTGATAGATTTCAGTCAAATTTGGTAGGAATGTTGCATAATTTGTACATAATACTGATTACAAATGTATTTCAAATCTAAAAGTAACTCCATTATGGCCAACAGTGCGTTTACACAACTTGAATGGGAAAGGAACATGTGTAAATTACTGGCTGTTTATACAACCATAGTGTTAAATATAGTGGTTGACAGTAGAACATTTATTGATCCTATGTAAATAAATCGAACACATTTTTGAGATAGTTAACTAACATTCAATCATTAAACATACATTATACCATCCCAAACTTAGGCTGTCTTTCTACAGTTAGCTCCCCCTGGGAACAGGCCTTAACCTAATTAACCAACATTTTAATTCCTACATCAACGATTTTAGTCGAAAACACTGAGTATGCGTATTTATTTATTTATTTCTCTTCTATTATCGTATTGAATGAAATTTAATTTGTTTATTAAGCCGTTGTGTGTATGAAAGATGTCAAACGGATCAGAGCCGTAGCACGAAATAGTCCACTAATCCAGGGCTCACACGGGCTTTCAATTTTTTCCGCCTAAATGGATGATAATTTTTATATAAAAATATGTTCATATTTTTTTTCGCCAACTGGAATATTTTATCTGCCAAAAATGTGTGATAAAAAAGAGAACATCTAACAATTTTATGACTCAGCTAGACTTATTATTAATATTATAAAACAATTACTGATATACAATACAATATACAACAACTTTAAAAATCTGTCTGTATATATTATACATTAGCACAGTTTGGATTTAATAAGACCAGATTGCCAATTTTCTATAAATTAATGTGTTGCGTGTACAATATGCCTCTAGTTATTTTCAGGTAACGTAAAGGTATCAGAATCTGAATCCCTGATAGAATGATATAAATTTCAATTATGTTTGTAAGAGATGCCTACAATTATACCCGTCCCTCACCTTTAGTTTTAGATCGTTTTTGCGGCGGTAATATGATACATATGACGAAATGATTTCTCGCTCAAGAATCATTGCTATTTTAGGCTTGGAATACCACACCCACCACCAGAAACCCGACAGACTTACATTTTGATGATACCAGATATACATGCATCGATACCATATAGGAAAAAATTGGTACTTTTCAGCTAGGTTAACCCCCTGGGCTCCTGGTCAATATCTTGGCTCAGGTTGGAGCAATTTGACTGAAATTTTCAGCATATTCCCTTTACATTATCTGGTTTTTAACTATTATAGTGAGAACTGCCAGCTCTTTATCTAATCTTACCTAATATCCTTTTAATAATACAGCTGTAGATTTTAATTTTAATGTATGATTTCCAAAATGCACATAACTATATGAAACAGATCAGGATAGGTAATAATTCTTAAAGCAATATACAATTTGTCAATGTAATAAAAACAAATTGTATATATGCTTATTTTGTTTTTCATGATCTTGGTTAAGGCAAGAAGTGCACTGGGGCTCTCTACCTGTGATCAAAATAAACAATCGTGTTTTAGATAGACTACTTGAGATCTTTATACAACAATACAACCAAAATGCCTTTACAATCTGTAGAAATGTGAATAAATACTTGAATTGAACTCTTTGCTTGCTTGGTCGTTGCTCAAGTGTCTAAACTAGGTTTATTTTGTGAGCTGGAAAGTAAACACAATTTTTGAACGTCAAAGTTTTTAGAAGGTCAGTGTAGCAAAAGCGGACTTGTATTTGAAATTTTGTTTAATTTGGCACAACATGAAGGGTCGAGTTAAAAAATAAAATAAATTCGTGGATTTGACAAAAACACTTGGGCTACTAGGTGGAAATAAACCATTTAAATTTTCAAAACAAAAGAATAAGCCTTTTGAAGAAACATTGGTAGTTGAAAAATGTTATTGATATTGGTGACAGATATTTGTTGTATGCTGCAGGTCATGTAGACAAAATAAAATCCCCCGTTAAAAAGGGTATCACAAAAGTTTAGTAAGATGCAGATTTTTAAATGACACTTTAATCGACTTGGTTGAAAAGATCTAACGGAACATTAAACAGCAGATGCACAATCCAAAATTTCGATCATTTTATTGTTTGTGACCGAGGACTGGATTGCATTACATGTATGTATAACAGGTGTACTTGTAGAGACGAAAAACAATTTGCTAAACAAAAATATCAAGAAAAAATGGACACTTGTCTTTTTGTTTTTTCAATCCTGTTTACCATATCTTTGAATTGTTTTTACAGAGTCCATCAACAGAAAGAGAACGAGAAAAGAAAGAAAGAAAAAGGGTAAACATTATTTATATTCTATAGTGAGAAAACTTTAGTGTAAATATTCATGAGCAACCAGTTGCATGTGGTTATATAATATTGATGCTCTTAGAGAGCAGTATTCTAGAACTGTATTCATGGGGAAAAGTAACTGTTTTCTCCTGTGTTAAGGACTTTCCAATAGACACAGAAAACACCTATCACAGAAGTCTTGCGGACATTGTGGTATCAAGGGTCTAAATTAAAAGATACTTACACTAAAGATCCCTGTGCAGTTTAAGGATGATGGTTATAAAGGGTAATACCCCAAAATGTTAATAATTAAGTCAACTTGAGCTAGTGTATCATTATTTATATGTAGTACTTCTAAAAAAAACTATTTTTGTTAGCACAATAAGTGTTTGTAGGTCAAATTAAGATTTGATCTTTCATTAATGTTATAGAATATTATCCATTGGCACCAATTGTACGCTGGTATTTTTATTCATTGATTAAAGTCTTGGAAGTCTTGGAATCCCCATTTCTTTAATCCCTTGTAAACTACCATATTGTGAAAGTTGGATCTCTAAAAGTAATATCAGTCCGAAAATACTATTTCCAACTGAGCTGAAATTTGTCAACATTTGTTGGTATCTTCTACAGACAATATTACAGTCCAGATATGATCAAAAGTCAATACCACCTGTAATCTTGGTTAAGATCCTTTAATGAGCCCCTGATAAATCTAATTGAATCCAATCTGAAGATTAACTGTGGTTGATATTTTGATTTAAATTTATATAAGGATTTTTAGTACCTTTTATTGTGTAAAATTTTGGGAATTATCCACAATAAATAAAAAAGAACCAAGATTTTGATAGTTCTGGAAATGTTCTACATGTAGCTTTCTTTTTTAGGACAATTCTGAATTAATATTCATGCTAAATTTGGAATATATCCAATTTCTCATTAAATTTTAACTTAAAAATTTGAGCCAGTTGGCAGAAATGTAGTAATAGCTCTTTCTAGAATATTCATTTTCAAATAGTTATGTATCTATTTTAAAAATAAAACTCAGTGCCTTGAAGCTGCAAATAGATTTAATGGGAGCATATCATTCATAAAAACAATGTTTCTATTTTGTTGTCTAATAAATTTTATAAATAGGCCTACCAATGTTTTATAGGAACTTTCACAAGATAGAGATACAGAAGCAAAGAAAAGAAGAAGTGAAGAGGGACATTCTCGTAAGTTACGATTTATAATGTTTTCAAAATTTATGAATCATTTTCAGATAATTCTGATCAACTCATTAAAGTTACAATTTCATATTTTTAAGTTATATTTTTAAAATGTATTAAAATAAAGCCCTAAAATAGATGGTATCTATAATCAGTCGTACCTTGTTAAAGAATAATCCTATTAATCCAATAATTCACTATTGCCAGTTGAGAAATTGGCAAAAATATCATTTTCAAACGTTTGAAGATAGCTATTCCATGTTGGGGAATAGGAAAACAAGGGAGGTAATTGTGTTATTATTTCCGGTGTGAAGATTTTTAAGTGTGAGAAAGATAACCTATGATCGTATAATAGTGAGTTTACAACCTACTGAGCAAAAGACATAGAAATAATTATGTTTTGACTTTCTTAGAAAATATGAAATTGTAACTTTAAGTTTTAAATTTATTATTCATTAGGATTTGTTTGCATCCAAATTCCAGGATCGAAAATCAATGGTGAACCAGAAGTGATCAGGAAACGAAGTGAAAGCAGTGACAGAGCAAGAGATAGGTTTGATTATGAAATTACTGCTAAAAGAACTGTTGCTAGAAAGGTATACATAATACAGTATTTGCAAATGATTAGAATGTTTTCTGCTTTGCGGCAGTCAACGTGACATTTTCTTGGTGGATGTAAATTATGTTGGTTGGAATATTTATATTCTGTTCAGGCACTTAAGTTAAACTAGTTTAAAAATTTTAATTTTGTCATCTAACCCCATATCTCTCTCTTTTTGACGTCGGCTTCCACCATGGGTGATATCGTAGACAAGTTTGCTGAGAAACTTGCCAGAGGAGCAAGATAATTACAGTCTAGCATAAGTAGGAGACGCGAGATTGATTAGTAGGCCTCTGATAATAGGCTTATATTTATAGTCACTGATGTATATTAATCTGTGAAACATTTTGTATATTTACTATGAGTTATTAGGGAATATACGTGTAATACACAGTAGACTGATCTATATTTTTCAGTACAAGGTGTGATTTATATGTTCATCTACAGTTGGACTACAGATATTGCACATTTGGTCCATTTTTAGGAAGAAAGAAAGCAATTACATATTCTATATACATGTTTTTTTGTTTTTTTTCTATTTTCAGACTGCCTCTTTTGATGCCGAAGAGTCTCCTAAATCAAAGAAAAAAGAAAAGGAAAAAGACAAAGTGTATCCTTATTGAAATCTGTAGAAAAAGAAAATTACTTTTGTGGAGGGGATCAGCTCTGACATGCATTTTGTCAACTTTCGTTTGTAAAATCTGACTTATTTCATGTCAGCTTTGAATTTAAATTAACCCGACACCCACCAGTGTTTTTACAATTGGGTACATAAAAGATGAAATACAAGGATTTTTTCTATTTTTCTCTATAGAAGCAATAACATTAATTTGTTTTGTTTACATTCCTTAACTTGACTACAGATCAAAGAAAGTCAAGAAATAAAGAAGAGGTGTTAATCAAATTCTCAGACAAGATCAAACTCAGTATAAAATGTAAATAAATTAATAATAATTGTACATAATGATTCTGTATCATATCATTGGAAAAAAAATATTGTGTACATAACAATCATTTACAATATCAGATGGCAAAGAAATCGTGCTATTTTTAATAACACCCATTTTTTTTTGTCTGTTTAGTAGTTTCTGCAAAATCTGCTGACATCTTGAGTTTGTTTTTACAATACAGTACATATATTATGTACAGATGATAAAATTTGATTTTAGTTACAAACTTGCCTTTATTAAATTTGAAAATCTAGTGCTATAGATTAAATCTTATTTCTTAAGTAGAGGTATATCACATAGTTATTTGGTTACAATATATTGAAGAACACAGCAGTTTTTATAAACATAAGATGAACATATTTCAAGATTCACTTACTACAAAAAATAAAATTATATTTTAAAACAATCTTTGGTGTTTTCATTTACTACCTTAAGATCTTGTAAGCATGTAGAATTGTGGGCCCTGAATGTAAAATTTCAATGGAAGTCAAATACAGTACTGGACTGACAGATTGGGTTGCCGAGTGGTTAAGAGTTTTCAAGTTCCATAATTTCGATTTCCCAGTTGTACGTGACAAGGAGTAGGGTTTCCTGTCTCACCTCGTGGGTTATCTTCGGGTGCCCCGGTTTCCTCCCACTGCTAAAGATCCCTACATGCAGGCGAATTATTGAAATAAAATTGAACCATATGTTAGTCCCAAAACGATCTAATTTGTGTCGAGTGGATGTTAAACCCCATTTCTCTCTCTCAATTTTCACTGCTAAAGACCCCTATGCACAAGCGAATTATTGAAATAAAATTGAACCATGTATTAGTCCTGAAATGACCTAGTTCGTGGCAAGTGGATGTTAAATCCCATTTCTCTCTCTGACCAGTTGTAGTTGAAGGTCGTGTCAAAGGTCATACGAGTGGCAATTCTTGAAATAAAAATTGAACCATATGTTAGTCCCAAAATGACCTAGTTTGTGACAGTGGACTTTAAACCCCATCTCTCTCTCTCTCTCTCATCCAATGGAACAAATCATTCATAAGTGTCTTTAAAAGGACACAGTCTAATTAATATTGATTTCAGTTACATTTTGTTATATTAGTCTACAGCATAGTGGGGGGGTTGGATGGCTGAATGGTTAGCGTATGAATGGTTATCATACAGTCTGTCATCGAATCGACTGGCGTGGTTTCGAATCCCCGGTTGTACGTGGCAAGGAGTAGGGTCACCTGTCCAACCTCGTGGGTTTTCTCCGGGTCCTCCGGTTTCTTCCCACTGCTAAAGACCCCTATGCGCAAGCGAATTATGTAAATAAAATTAAACCATATGTTAGTCCCGAAATGACCTAGTTTGTGTCGAGTGGACGTTAAACCCCATTTCTCTCTTTCTCTACAGCATAGTGTCAAAATCAGAAAAAAAATTAAGATTGTAATCTAATTTTAGTTCGATTGAATATAGTATAGACGTACCAATAAAATGTGAATTTATATTGGGAGCTTTGATGTATATGTGATTAGAGAGTTCTATTTTTAAAGTCTCTGCATCCTTTGATTTATGGTGCCAGGGAGTACAAAATAAAGATAGTACAATCAAGTAGATTTCTCAAGAGGTTAAACATTTGTGCCAAGAACCATATGCATGGGCTTAAAATGCTTTTTTTCAAAATAAAAATGTTATTGTGTGACGCAAGAAGTAAAAAATTGCAATCTCCCAAAATTCAGTTAATTTGGAATAAGTCATTACCATATGTATTCCCTTTGTGGGTGGGGTGAGCGGGGTGGTCGAATGGTTAGCGTGTGTGCCTGGCATCATACGGTCTGTTATTGAGTCAAGTGGCATGGTTTCAATTCCCTGATTGTATTTGACAAGGAGTAGGTCTCCTGGCCAGCCTTATGGGTTTTCTCCGGGGCCTCTGGTTTCTCTCCCACTGCTGAAGACCCTACGCGCAAGCGAATTATTGAAATAAAATTGAACCATATGTTAGCTAAATTTAGAAGGTGACTGCTATACATGAACTGTATCTAGAAAGGGGGGATGGTTCAGTTCAGTAAGGCCAGCTTGCTAATCAAAAGAGATCCTGGTGTGACTGAGAAGTTTCAGTATGTTTTCTCCTTGTCAGTAGGGCTAAATCTATTTGTTAAGGTGAGCTCATCTTTCGTCAAGGTCGCCGAGAAGTTAATAAGGTTAGGGCATGTGATTGTTGCCGAGATTGCAGGTCAGGGTTAGGGTAAGCATTGGGGCTAGGTCCTGGGTTAGGGTTGGGATTAGTGCAGGCACGTAACTGGGGGGGGGGGGGGGCAAAAGCCCCCACTGCAAAAAGTTTCCCCCCCCCCCCCTGTGAAAAAAATTGTCCAGCAATTTTACAGCACCCCTGAGAACACTTCCTGCCCCCTGCCCCCCATTGCTCTGAGCTAGTTACTGCCCTGGATTAACGCTACCGGTGGTCCTGTTTACAACTCGTGAAGTTGGCTTATCAAATAGACCTAATTTTAACCTTGTCAATAAGTGCAGGATGGAAGTTCTAACAAGTGTCTAGTTGTTTGAATTGTCAAAAAAAGAAACCAGGTCCTATGATGATGGTATTAATGAATGGATACCGTAGTAAATTTCCCTTTTTTGGGTTTTCCTAATTTTACTCTTTGACGGTAAAGTTGCGGTTAAAGTTACTCCGGCCTGAAAATAACGATTTTACTTAAATCAGGCAAAATGTCCGGACATTTTAAACTTTGCTCAAAAACACATAGGCCTACAGCAAAATGACAGGTACCGATCAGAAAGGTTTGTGTCTGACATGTAGACAGTGGCAGAGGTGGGTTTCCAGGCATGAACGTATAGCCTACTCTGGAATATTACTAAAATTGGAATCTACGTTTTGCCATCTGATCTCCATTGTCCATCACATAGATAATACAAAACGAAAACTTTGTCGTTATTTCTACTTGTCTACGATATCACCTATGGTGGATTTAATGGACGTAAAACTTTAGAAATGAACGTTATTTCTATGTTAGAAATAGAAACGATTTTCGGCTTTTCCGACGTACCGTAGGCCTGCTACAAAGAACCGTACTATAAACTATACGATCTTAATTAAAGGAGGTCTTCGTTCTCTTCATTCATAAATGTGTTTGTAATAAAGTAACGGGACTACAGGAATTACTAGAGTCGTCATACAGAAACAGGCGTATTCGTGCACAATGTGCACCAAGCCCTTAGGTTTGGCTGCGCCTGAGGCAATAAATAAAAAAAAAAGATAAATGGTCATTCTGAGCCGAGACATTAATAATAACCCCTCCTTAGATAAATGATTGCTCCCACACGGATAAGACTCAGTGAAAGACAAGCTCAAGAAAATGTTGACGTGTAAAAACTATCTTATAATCAATCCATGACTTGTCTTTGCAACTGGTTGTAACACAACGGCAAACTCTTACATGTCTGTTGTATGATGTGGGGTTATTGGATAATACGGGAAAGTAGTGTAGGATAACTGTTATTAATCAAAACTCGGGCATGCACCCTGAATTCGACCAGTGACTTCTGTCAAGACATGTTGATTTTCATGTGCTTTGGTGGTTATGTGAAAACTTAACATTTATATAGGACCTCTCAATATCAACGTTTTTGTTACACACGAGGATTATATAAGTCATACGTTGGAATTTGTTTTAATTTATCACACAGACAATATATTAATATGCTTTCTCTCATCATATGATGCATTACAACCGAATAATAAAATGTTCTGTATGTAGCCGTAGTAGGATACTTTACTTACAAAAAGGTGTGTAGATTACCAACCGGCCTAACTAAATACACGTATATATAGTCGATAATACAGAGGATATTTTATTATCAGCTGGGAAGATATCAAAATTGATTTATGTATTCCCCCAAAAATCAATTGTTACTTTAATCAGTGGAAGATAGGAGCAATTATTATAGTCAGTTCGAGAATAGGCAAAGGCCTAAGATCAACAAAGTAGCAGGAAGTTGATATTTTAATCTAGACAGTTATAAATTTCTAATATCCAGTGCAGCTGGAACTGCCCATACACTTCATAATACTACAGACAGCATCATGAGAAGGAATACTATTACTTTAATCAAATATTTACTTGGTGCTGCAATATTTTTGGCGGCAGGACCCATGGTGTTACGGTATCTATTTGGAAATAGACCACCACCCAGTGTAAAAGAAAAGCTTGTTGTGGTTGATAATCATCTTGTTAATGATGTGAATAATCAAGTACATGCTGCTGATGATTCGGTAAGTATATGATTTACATGGACATAATGGCCTGTAGTTAAACAAGCTTACAAGTGTGTGTTTGAGAACAAATAAACTAACTGGACAGACGTATTGAGAAGGGGATCATACCTGTTGATTTTAACAACTCTGTGACTACTGCCCATTTCTAGTCTCATAATCGATGTTAAGCAAACAGTTAAAATATTACACAGTCATTTCAGGGCTAAGATCTAGTTCAATCTTATTTTATTAATGTACTTGTGCTTGAGGGGCTTAAGAGGGAGGATATATGTAGAGAAAACCCACAATGTTGTACATGCGGCCCTACTCCTTGTCATGTATAAGTGGGGAATCAAAAACCATGCCCCTTAATTTTGACTCAATGACAGACCTATCCTTATGATCTAAAGTTCACGTGTTAAACCATTCGTCCACCTAACCCAGAGCCAGCTAGGAATGGATTTTTAAACTAAATGATTCATCTCACTTGCATTATGTAAAGAAAACTTTCTAAATCCAATATTAAAAATGTGCATTTGCATAGTGAGGAGTCACGGCCATTCACAGTTAGCTTATTAAGCCATCTCGGCCTAAGGCACATTTTTATGAATAAAACTTGTTGATTTTACTATTGTTTGATTTTTGGAACTGCTTCAGAGTCGTTCACGTAAAATTTGAATGAGCAAATCCCCATAACATTTTGATCAACATTTGAAGCCAAAATAAAGACCTACAGATTTAGCTCTTACATAATGCATGTTTAAATGTTGATTTTAATATTTAATTTGGAAAAAAAAAAGAAATCTTTTGATCTGTCCGCAATTGCTCGTGGAAGCTCTAGAGACCAAAGTTATCATCGGATTGACTTTAAATTTATGCACAGTGTTTAAGGTCATGAGACAACGAAGCCTAAAGACTTTTAACTATATGCGATAATTACTACTGGAGTTATGGACCTTGATCACTTTGAAAACTCTCGTGGATGCTCTTGAGACTAAATTCATCATCCGATTTACATGTACTTTAAATTTATTCACAGTATTTTAAAAGGTCATGGAACAACAAAGCCTATTGATTTCCAATGGTTTCTAATAAATATTGTCAGAGTTATAGCCCTTGAGAAATAGAACAGCTAAATTCATGATATTACATGTTTTGCATACTGGGGCAGAACTAGAAGTCAAACAAATTCTAATGATTTCATTTCTGATAATTATTTAGAGTATTGTAAATGTTTTCATTACCGACTCGGAAAAAAATATGCCATCCAAACTTTGATGGCTGCTTGGACGCTTACCTGCTGTGGGTGTATATATTTTATAGTCTGGCAACCTATATTTGTTTTGGCCAAACCATGCTGATGGGCAGCCTGTTCGGAGTGTTAAAGCTGTGTTTTCTTTACCAAATCAATAAAAAAATATATACCGGTATACATGTGATATTGATCCCCTTGAACAACTTTTACAATAATATTGTAACAAGATATTAAACAAACAAGTTGTTCAATTTTATATATTGAAAGTTTGTTGGTTCCCCCAGTCCTGGAATAGACTGACACAAACTAGGTCAGTATGGGACTAACATATGGTTCAATTTTATTTCAATAATTCACTTTCACGTAGGGGTCTTTAGCAGTGGGAGGACCCGGAGAAAACCCATGAGGTTGGACAGGCGACCCTACATTTACTCCTTGTCACATACAACCAGGAAATCGAAACCACGCCAGTTGACTCAATGACAGACTTTATGATACAACGCTAACCATTTGGCCGTCCAACCCACCTATTGTGGATGCACAACAGGCTAAAGTTATCATTTGATTAACTTTAAATCTATAAACAGGTGGACACAGTTCCAAAAGTTAATCAATGCTAATAATGATCTTAAGATGTGAGAAAATATATCCCAGAAGTACAGAGACAAACCCTGTCATTATTAAAATAATTAAAGTGGAGAGGTTGTACGACCCAAACCTATAAAATGTTTTAGTCGTCATTTTAATTATGTCTCAGAAAGAAATGATGATAATGGATGGCAGAGGTAGGAAACAACACAACTTTCTGGACAGCAATTGGGAATTCCGAACAACAGCAAAAATAGACTAAGACGAATCTACTACAAATATAATTACCTTTATGCAGAATCAATTAGAAATATGACATAAAAAAATTGATAAATTGATAATATATTCCACACAGCCATCAGAGTTACATTATAACTTTTCCTGAAGACAAAATATTATGAACTTAAATAAATCCTAATTTATGATAATCTTTATTCACGAAACCAACCAAGTTACAAAAATTTTGTTTTACATAATTTTCTTTATATTTATACTTTTCATTCCTCATGATACTATAAAAGATTTTAATTGTACATTAAATAATAGTTCCTTAAAATAATATATTTTATTAAACATCAGACTATTACTTAAAAGTATTTACATATTTTAGAAACAAGAAAAATGACAATATATTTTCAATGAATTTACACCTGTTTAAAATATACCAGTAACAGAAGTTTTCATTGATTTTTGCCAACTAACATTTTTCAAACTGTATTTAATGGTTTTGACTACACAGAAATATTCTAAACGACTAGTTAGGTCAGAATTATCCAGGAGGGTAGCAAACTGGTTCCTATAGACTTGATATCAAACATGTACATGCCATGTATTAATAAAAATTATTATGATTAAAATAATTTAAAAAAAACATAAATTTTAGTTGACATTAAAAACATTTCATCTGTTTTCTCACTTAATATTTGGTTAAACTAACATGTTCAATAAGAAATTTACCGAAAGTGAACTTAATTTACATGATTTTACAGAAGTTTTGACATTTTGATTGACTTTATCATTACAAGCTAACTCACACTTACTGAACTCGCTATTTATTATATAATCACCTTTAAAACATACATTTATGCAAGAGCTAAATATACCTATTGAAGGTCTTTCTTTAGGCCTGAAATGTTATATAAACTATTAATTAGACATTTATTAACACGAAAACTCTTGATGCCATCGGATGTCTTCGATATTAAGTAGATTAAAACGGTTCAGGCATATTTTGATTTAATTAAAAAATGGAGAAGCAAGGCTTAGCTTCGAACAACCAGTGCGGTGTTTGCAATTAATGCACACATCTTGTCAAATCTTCAAAGGCTAATATCTTCGCTCGCAATAGAGCAATTTGAATGAAATTTTCAATATATTCATTTTGCATTATTGATTTTCGAACTATTAGCTATGGCTAGCTCTTTATCTAAATCTTACATACGTGTAATGTATGTTTAAATATGGTTGTATGTGGATTTTCAACAGCTTCTAATAATTAAATGGGTAAAACGCTAGCTCGCTACATGGAGATCACATGTTCGATACCTATATTGGCCGAGAAAGTTCATCAGTATTTTCCGATGTTTCCCCCCGAAAGATGGGACAAAAAAAACTCTGAGCCTGAGGTTTCGTGTATACACTGGCGTGCACGGAAAAGATCCTTTGGCATTTGGAATTTGATATATGTAGGCCCTAGTGCCACTGCCCGGGCAAAATTTCCCTCCTAGCACACTGTATGGCGTATGCCCGTCTTCATTAGCCCAGTATTTTATTTCATATCTAATAATTAATGCAATCGTTTTTGCCGTTGACCATGTTAAAAAGTTATCATCTGATTGTGTTTATATGAAACCTATTGATTTTCAATAATTTTCTGATAATATAATACTTAAAAAATTATCATCCTTGATCACTTAATAAAAAAATCTTGAAGATTTTAAAATAATACATCTGTTATAATAATCTGATTATACTATATGCTTTCTTTATAGTAAGTCGTCAATTTTAATTACTTCTTGGTTTGTTACCCATGATAAGTTTTTCGTGCCTTGTAAAACATTTCATTTATGGACTGTATGGAATACAAGATTGGTTATAAATATATTCTATATAACCAGATTCTCTTCTGGTCTTATTACAGTCATACACAGCTGTATAAACTTATTGATTTATATAAAATTACATTGTAATAGCACTTTTCTAATTTATTCAAAGAATTGAACTTTCTCACTTTTAAAACCAGTTTAATGGTAGTTATACATAGTTATACATGTACCTTAACATTACCTGTCCAACCTCGTGGGTTTTCTCCAGGTCCTCTGGTTTCCTCCCACTGCTAAAGACCCCTACGCGCAAGCGAATTATTGAAATAAAAAATTGAACCATGTGTTAGTCCCGAAATAACCTAGTTTGTGTCGAGTGGACGTTAAACCCCATTTCTCTCTCTCTCTCTCACCTTAACATTAAAGTTTTTAAAACGTTTATTGAAGAACACATGCAATATTGTTACAAATTAATTTAATCTTACTATATTTGGGGGGGTTGGATGGTCGAATGGTTAGCGCATGCGCGTTCAGTCATAAGGTCTGTCATTGAGTCAACTGGCGTGGTTTTGATTCCCCGGTTGTATGTGACAAGGAGTAGGATCGCCTGTTTAACCTTGTGCGTTTTCTCCAGGATTTCCGGTTACTTCCCACTGCTAAAGATCATTACGCACAAGTCAATTATTAAAATAAAATTGAACCATATGTTAGACCTGAAATGACCTAGTTTGTGTCCAGTGGACATTAAACCCCATCTCTCTCTCTCTCTCTCTCTCTCTCTCTCTCTCTCCCCTCCAAAATCTGGTATTACATTTATGTGATTTAGAAAGCTTTACTAGTATTTAGTAAAAGAGCAGGTCCTGATAGCTAAAACTGTACCAAGACATACAGTGTAAGTGACGTAAATCCTATAGTCTTTCTTGTTTTACATGTTACACTAATATTAAACAAAGAAAATATCTTGATATTCTGCCAGTTTTCATTTACTAACTGATTTATAACACATCAAGTAGGCCAACTTCAATGAATATGACTATAAACCACATTTCACAGTTTTTATTGCAATACTATATTTATTTTTAAATATGAAAATCATCAATTTAGATATTATAGTTTACTGGGGTTTTTTTTGT